GGCTTCCCCGCGTGAGAAGTCGTCTCGGTCAAACTCGAGGCTGCGTTACACAATTGTGATATGCTGGTTGCTTGTATAGACTGTGCACTTGGCGCCAGGATGGCACCCTTGGGTCTGAATGATAAACGATACTGAAAGTCATAAAAAGTTCAAACTTATAATTTCAGCATTCTAATATTTATGTTTAGTATTACAATTATTGTAATAATCATCACCATTGTATAAACAATTTAAATAAAAAACAATAATAATTGTTTGCAATAATCAAGAAAAAGTCTTGATCCAAAAGATTTTTTACTGGTTTTTGGTCAGTTGGATTGGGTTGTTCGTCCCAAGATAAAGAACAAATGAGATAATTTTGATTGCTTGGAAAGTAAAAATGGAGTCAATTCCACCAAGTCTAGTAATTCTTACTGCAATTTATGTTCTGACTTAAGTGACACATATCAGAAAGCATTGAACCACCAATTCCAAGCACAAAAAATGTTTGTAAAAAATTTTTTATGCTTTATCCAATCAAAACTCTTTTACCAACACTTATTACATATTGTGATGATTAAAAATTTTAAACATTCAAATTGAAATGCAACCTTACTTCTAGGTAATTAATACTAAATTAAGAGGTCTTTGCAAATATTTCTCCATGTAGGTCCTACAAGATGACTGTTCCAATTGTCACTTATAAATTTATTCTTACTTAGCAAACCTAACAGTAATTTTTTCCTCTAAACATTTCTATAAAGAATTACTGTTTAATGACAAAATAAAATTCATTAAAGAAGAATAAATTCATGAGCATCAATTGGGATATTGGCCATACCATCTACCCTGTTAACATATATTAAAAAGCTGATCTGTGAATAATTATTATTCTTTAGAGCACTTATATACATCTCCAGCAAATGATAATCCCATGTTACTATTCGAAATCACGACGACATGTTCTTATCTAATAGCTAACATCTCTACCCCAATAAAGTCCCATAGTTTTCACAGAAAAAATCACCCATCGATTATTTACTAAAAGGATTATGTTTATATTTATTTTTAATTTGCGAGAATTATCGATAAAATCAGAGACTAATAATCGTGATCACGCAATGGGATTTGCAAAAGTACTGCAAGGCAAAGAGGGAAAAGACGAAAAAGGATATATATACATACATGTAGATACTTTCTGTATATATATGTGTGTATATATATCCTACTTTCTCAGGGAATAAACTACTGCGGCGTTTGTAGCAAGAGCTGAATCTCCAGGGAAATCAGGGAGACACGGCACCAGGGTGTTTATGTGTAAGAGAGGTGAGTCGTGTAGGCCACGTGTACACCTACACTAGAGTTACAAACACATCCAGGAGTACACGTGCTTTTGGCCGCCTGCTTTCGTACAAGAAAATTATCTCTCTCTTTTGTTTATAATTCACCGCGAAAAATGATCTTTCTAAAAAATTTTAAATCACAACTGCCATCATTCCATTTTTTGATCTTTTTATTTTTATAGAATTCTTTTTACTAAGGTTATTTAATGTTTAGTTTCAATATCTACAGATATTGTTGATTTCTTGTAGTTTTTAAATACATTTGAAATTGATGTATAAAATTAGAATGGAAATTAATAAATAATAGTAATTAAAATATTTATTATAATTATTTATTCAATAATTACCGCCTACATAATTTTATTTTGCGGTTTCCAATAAAATATGTTTTATAAATGAATTTAATTGAATCAACATTGAAAATGTGGAGTTTAAATATGGAGAAAAAAGACTGATGAAAATATTTATTAATTAAATTATTTTACACAAAATGTGTTTATTAGATTTAAATTGTAGTCACCATTCTTTATTTTAAATAATCATCATTTATAATTTAACGATATTTATATTTTTAATAAGTTGATCAAATAGATCAATTATTTTATTCAATAAAATATTGTTAATATCACTTATGAAAATACATACATATTTATTATTAATATAAGTAAAGTATATTATGTTAAGTTATCATCAAGATAACTGTATTTGAACTTTGTAAAAATTATTTGAATTAATTTTAGAATTTTACTTTAACCAAGGAATATTGAATAAAAATTTTATGATATTTGTATGACTTAATAATTAATTAGTCAAATCGGTTACTAGATGACAGGTGGTACTTTATTTTTTCAGTTGCCTTAAATTTAAATTCTATTACATTATTAGTTTATTAACTATCTAAAAACATTTTGTTACAGAATATTTCTTACCATAAAAAAAAACTAATTTTCTTGTAACCAAAATTTTTTAAAATTAAAATCCTTGTATAATTAATTTACACGATAATTTAAAAAATAGAAATAACTTCTGAAAAGCAGATACTTTGACTGATGATTGAGAAAATTATTGCACAAAGTTGTTAAGGAAACTGATTAAATAATAATTTCCTGCACACGTGTTACAGACAAGATACTGGTGACAAGTTAGAGTCAGGTTCTTGCTATTCCTTTTGGTCCATTGGAAGCTTCAAAGTTGATTGATGTCTGCCACGTGGCTCAATTGTTATTGTCTTTTGATAGTGCTTTTGTAGTTACATGACAATGACAGAATACGAATAAAGCTTGTAAATATGAAAAGAGTTGTCTCTTGCGAATGTATTAAAAAAAAAAAAGAAAGTAAAGTGTATATTTATCGATTGCAAGACCGTGAGATATCCCACATAAAACGATTGATGCATTGATAAGTCTTGAGTAATTAACGATGAAACCTTTTCGAAGTACTCTAGGGACATGAAGGATGAAATCCCGGATTGGTCCCTTGGCAAAATATCCCAGCGGAGAACAAGAAAGAAGGACAATCCCACGAACTATACCATTACTCTATGCTCGTCCTGCCATCGAAGATCGTATGATATTGATATTTACTCTACTCCAGGGGAGAAGTGGATGGTTATCGGTGATACTCGTGGAAATTGAAAAATTTTTTTGTTGAGTAAACTAATTGTGTTGGAAGAAAATAGACTAAGTGATTCTGAAGTTTAACAAATATTTATCAATAATTATTAACAATGGGTATTTTTAAATAATCAACAATAAATGGTTTTAATCAATTAGAAATAATTTTTAAATACTTGGAAAACAATTATATGTTTTATCAAGAAAAGTATCCAATGATGGGAATAAATAACCTTATATTACTTTTAAAAGTTAAAAATTTCCTCAAAATGACATTTTTACCAGTCTAAGGTTGATATAATAGTTTGTTAAAAGTTTATTAATATCAAAGAAAAGTTTAAATTCATTTTCTAAATTCTAAAATCATTTGATCAGTGTCATAGAAATTTCTACAAGATGATGATAAAAAGGAGTAATAATTACTAGGCATAGATGTAAAAAAAAATGTTATCATCAATCAGCACATTTTTTCATTACATCCAGCTCGAATAATCCTACATTTATCTCTAAAGATTAGTGATTTATGTTAGATAATAGACCATAATACTTTTACCATCTGTAGAAGCATGCAAAGATGTGGCTCATACTAGATGTAAACCATCTATTTACGTCACGCATGATCCATGAAACGCTAATGAAGACCCCAGGGTATTAGAAACTCCAGGAAGGTGGTTTGTAGTATATAGCTGTATGGATAATACACATTTTCATACACATATGTATCATCAATCGTTAAGAAATACATGTTACAATTCAAAACAGTAACAACTGCAAATATTATTATCTACCACTGTTATTAAAATTTTCCATCCATAATTCAGAGAAAAAAACCATTATTTATTGAACGATACAACTTGTGTTAACTTTATTTTTTTATATAAAAAAAAAGAGAATATTTTTCAGTCCAAGATATAGAGTGAAAAATTGCTAGAACCGATCTTTCATGTTGCATTTGCTTATTGTTGCTTGTTGAAGAGTCATTTATGAAGAGAGAATTAAGTACATAGCATCTTTATGAACAACGCAGTTAACCAAGTAATGAAATAAATAAAATTATCCAGTCCACTTTTTTATAGAATCATTGCAGCTTAAAGTTTAAGATGGTCTATAAGGGGTTGAAACTCGTTGCAATCTTGGTTTAATTATGAGAGTCATAAAGTTTGCATAATCAAGTGATCCACATCTGAAAGGGTGCTGATAAAGTTAATCAAGACAGCATAATATCATATCCCTAGCTTTTATATTCCTTTCCCATCTTCAATACAGCTTCAATGTCAAAGTAACTATAAAGACGAAACTTCATTCTAAAACTTCTTTCAAGATTTCTATAATATACTAAAACGAATGTGGTCAGACATAATCTAATCATTGATAACAATGAATAGACCAATTCACTAGGAATCTTCAAGAATAAGATAGATAAAATATTTTACTTTAGAGAGATACTAGGGAATTGATTGCTGAGCAGAAATATCTCCACTGAAACTTTCAAAAAAATCAGTAAGTACTGGGTAGTGAAAATAAAAAAAAAAATATGAGAAGACATCTTATCAGCAATGAGTAGATCAAGTAATAAATCATAAATTATCCAGCATTACTATAATTACACCTGAGTACCTTGTACAAGGGTGATATTATTGAATGAAAGCATCGATCTCTGCCATGTGTGAATGCACTCTATGAAGCACTCTTATCATATAAATAAATTAGTCACGCGAAGTCTGATAATCTACCACATCCTACATGTTATGTAGCGTCATTTAATGCTATTTTACAGAAACCCCATCCTAAAATAACAAATAATTATAGTAAAAAAAAATGTAAGAAAAAGAATTCAAACAATAAAATTGTCCAATAAAATAAAAGGTTTTGTTGTCATGAGTTGGCTCCGATTTTATTTGACGTGTAAAGAAAGAGAAAGAAGTCAATGCATGGAACAATTGAAAAAGTAAGGGACTCTATTGTCAAGAGTTCCATTCTCTCCTCTCCCTTCCTCAGTTATATATCTACGTATAAAAGTTGTTTTCTTTTTTATTCCACTCTCATTCTTTATTTCACTTTCTAGCTTGGAAGCCAGCTCTTCTCAGCCTACTGGCCTTCATGCTTCTAATCAACGGATGCATGTACCCATTAGGGTGCTTATTGTGCGTGGGTGTACGACCAATACATTGAGGGTAAGTTTGCAGAGAAAAAATTTCCTCTGACTTGTACAAACTCTAGTGTCACTTGTCACTTTATTATTTTTGTTTCTACCATCAAAGAGACTCTTTTTCATATTTCTCTCTTTTATTTTTGATGTCAGGACAAAGTCCAAGGATCAATGAAAATTGCGTGACTGCTGGAAAACAAAAAGAAGAGCCAAAAGCATTATACACTTTCAGGGTGTCTATATATAATACTTGAAAAAGTTAAATGCTAGCAAGCTATCTAGACGATCGCGCATCTGCCGGGCATTTTGGTGAATCATTCGGGTGTCTGAACTATATTATGGCTTCCGTACATAGTCCACGGGTGTTCCGGAATATTGCCTTCCCCGTTCTAGAGCAAAAGCTTCACGGTCAGCTGGAGAAGTCGGCTGTAAGGTAAGACCCACCAGCCTTTCAATAATTACCTTTAAATCAACAATCATGACTCCAGTAAAGTCTGCCAGCTTGATGATGAATAAGGGAAAAATTCACTTCGACAGATTTATAGCTATTTTAATAGAGAATAAATGTTTTGAAATATTTTTAAACAATTAATTGTGTACATTTTCTTATCAAATTAAATAAATTATAAAGATAAATATATTTAATAAAATTTACTTTCAATCCAACGAATTAATCTTGAGAGAATAAGATGAAATCTTTTCTTCATTTTTTTATGATTCAAAGATTTTATTAATCAATTTTCATCATATTTACTAAATTAAATCTATGAAATCAAACTTAATTATTATTCATTTTTAAATAATAACATTTTAGTTTTTCTTATTTAATAAAAATAGTCAAAGTAAAATGCACATAATTTTTATAAGTTCTCCAACACTTTTTTATAATTGTTAAAATAACATTTAACTTTTATTTACTCAACATTGTCTGATTTTATTATTTAACTCATTATATAATTTAAACACTTCTGCAGACATTCATATCTTTATTTGCACATCAAAGAAAATTCCCCAGAGATGATACAGCTGAGTTAGAATTTTCTTGAAAGTTGTCACAATCAATTTTAAAAATCATTCATTTATCTATTCTACTGAAGGCAAGTTTTATTTATTATCTTGGATGAAGGGTTTGATGATTAGTTGAAATAATAACTTAATCATTTGTAACAAGGTATGAAGTAGTAAGGAATGCATTGATCAGATACTCAAGCCTCACCCACAAGGTGGAAGCCACAGAATAAACTGATTCGTTAACCACGTTATGTGAGTATGAGCCTAACCAAACATTGACATGCTTGATCATTCTGATCCCTCGTCAGCACCAGTCGGTTCGCGCGTCCTATCCACCATCTGGCCGCATGTTCTAGTCTAGGGTCCAGGAAACTCAAGGGTAGAAATTGAAATGAAAACAGGGGGGTTACATGGACTATGTGTGCTACTGAAAGGGGTGCCAATGAGGGCTATTAGGCCACGATATGTTTTTCCGTTTCACAGATTTCTACACTTTGACTTGACTTCTCGAGTATTGAATTTCCCCTATCATCTTTTTTTATTTGGAAAAAAATCTGTAAACTTGATTCAATTAAAGAGATTTTTTTCCCTTCTTTTTGTTGAAAATAGAGAAGACAAGTAATGATTTTTTGATAATAATATCTGCCACAATCAGAAGCCTGACAAATTCCCCATTGAAATACGCTTGAATATAGATTCATAATTTGCTACTGTACATGGTGAACAGGAAACTATGCACGAGCACAGAGCAGCTTATTATCGAAAAGATGGGGATGCGCTGGTTATGAAAAGGGAGATATTGGGAAGTCCTGCAGAAGAGATCGAAATATGGTATAACGAAAAAAATCCATCCCTTGTTTCATTGTTAAAATTAATAACAACCCTCCATGATTATTTTTCAATAGACAATCACCTGATCAAACTGAAAAACCAGCAATATGCATCATTATTATTTTAGCTATGAATCCAACTTATAATCTAAATAAATTCCTACCATTATTAATAAATAACCTTTTATTTAAAGCATTAGACTGCATAAAGAAGTTATTGTTTTGCAAAATAAAAGTAAAAGTTTCATTTGATCAAAGTATAATTCAATGTTCTTTTCTGATATGTTGAAAGAAGTAGGATATTTATTTAGACTTGTTCCAACTGTATAATATGAGATTAAATCCTTGGGTTACGCCAAATAATAATAACCTCGAGATGATTTTGTAGTGAATTTTGCGGTGTGTCAGACGCGTGGCGACTCGTGTCCACCAAATGTTTCAGTTACTCTTTTTCAAATATTTCATACAACGAAAATAATTCACTTCAATTCTGGGCGTTACTTAATATTCTTTTAAAATAATTTACATCACAAATAAATCTCAATAAAACATTTCTGAATGAAGTATTAAAAATTTAATATTCCATTCGTAGTTACTTGTTTATCAGAAGTATCCTCTTATAGAGCAGCTAAGCATTCATGAATGCGATTACCTGAAACCTAAACATGAAAGATCTACACCCAGTAGACATCTGAGGATTGCTGTATTTTGCACAGCACAGGATGCAAGAATAATGGTGTCGAGTCACCATAAATTCCGGGCATTTTCGTTTGAAAAAGGAGCGGCTAGATCTATTGTAAATCGTCACCTATTTTCCTGACAATGAAAGTCACCTTTGCAACACCCAGGAGATTCAGTGACCGTGATCGAATAAACCTAAATCACTGTTCATTGCATTGATGATCAAATTCACTCGTACTTTTCTGTGCTATGTACTATTATCAAACTTGGTCATTGTGCACTGTAATGAATTATGTAACAAACACTCTAACCACCCTCACAATTGATGATTGTTGACAACTCCTAAAGTTAGAAAGACAGTGTAAGTTAAGTGTAGAAAGTGAGATGAAGTGAATTTAATTATCTTAATGGACTTGTGAGCACAAGCAAGAACGATTGATTTTTTTGTTCGATAAACTTAGTTCGAATCTCGATTTAAATTCTTGACTTGATGTTTTTGGAGAACAAGTTTTAGACAAATCGATTTTTATAAACATGAAATATTTTCAATAGCTAGTTGAAGTAATTTTCTATCAATAAAATTTCCAAATTAGTTGAAAATAATACTAAAATTCAGATTAGTTAAAATAAAACAAATTAATTATTGAAAAATGTTTCTGGAACCTTTTAAAAAACTGCAATTATTAAATGCTTGTTGATAAAAAAAATAGTTCAGACTTATAATAGATATTGATTCCAATTTTTATTTAATCAATGAGTCTGCAAACTTTAACATTTTCATCTGTAAAGTCTTTCAATAATGACATAATCTTTTTTGCTTTAGATTTCTTATCTACGTATCCAAATCTTATTGATAGCTGCTGTATCTCCAATGATAATAATCTTGTAAACATTTTCTCGTGAACTTGTCAACTAGAAATATATATTTATATCATGATTGGATACTTCTTGATTGAATGCTGATATTTTCTTTCAGTATGAAGTACATAAAGCCAACAAATCGTTGGATTCTCAAAAACGCACGCCCTCGAAAAGGCCATAGGTGTATCAAGCTAGCGGAATGAACAATCCACTCATCAGTGTCCACGTGTCAGGCACGTGCCAGAGTGTGCTAGGACAACTGGTGTCCTAAAAGTTCTCTAGCACCATGTGTACACTCCAGTAGGAATAAAAGAAGACACACGTCGATGTGGGATGACATTTAGTTCATGAATGAACACACTCAAGATCGACTTGGATTTAATTTTATCAGAAAAAACGGAATAATTTTAATACTAATGTTTTATTTATCATCACATTTTGATGATTAGATATGGTAAAAGGATACATGATGAAAAACTAATAGCCCGCATGATCAAAAAGAGAAGCGAAAGAGATTACTAACAACTTGAAAGTTAGCTTTTAATCGCAATTCTGACAATAGTATTGTTGGACTCAAGAGCTGTATCACCAACTGGTAGTATTGGAGCGCGAGGTGAGTAAATTCAGTGACATATGGGTTCAAAAGATCGACAAGTCATAGGGTTGCTAGTCGATGACCAACATATAGGACACTCTAGAATGATACCCACTTCAAATACTCATCGTCATTTAGGATTTAGATTCAAGTGAGTGAACAATAACTGATACAGATAAATAGGGTTTTAGCAAATAATACCAACAGGTTTATAAGACCCTAGAAGATTTTAGATAGAAGTTCAAAAAGATTGAAATGAGAGGTTTAAATTCAGTCCATTTATATTCAAATATAAAATCTAGTGCTTTGGAGCATGTTTCTTTTTGCAATTGTGAATTGTTAATGGAGTTGATAAAAAATTTCTTTGTTCAATCTTGAAAAATCTAGGTCAAAGGATGTAATACAGACATGATGAACAATTATTTTAATTGATGCAATAGAAAAGTGTATAAGAGATTGTCGAGTTAATGTTACATGAGTTCTTGTGATCAAAGCTGAGAAGAGTAATTATTTCAAGAATTTTTAGACTACTGAATTCAAAGTTGGAATCAAAAGAAAGCTATTATGTTTCATTTTTAGACATCAGTCGTTAGCTTATTAAGAATTAAACATGTACTAATTTTTTTCCTCTGATGGATACTTAAATTAGTCAATTTTAATAAACTACAACAAATAATCGTCAGTAGAATCATTACTTTATAATTATAATTAGTAAAAATGATTCATTAATTAAATAACATATAATAAGCAATAATTTTTGAAATTGATTATTTGAACCTAACAAATTAAAAATCACTAGATGTCTAAGAAAGCTTATATCAACAAATATTTATTTTTTATATTAAAAAAGTAGACATATTAAATAATAACTTTATGTTTTATTTGAGAATTTGTTACTTATCATTTGGTAAGTGAGATAAATTGTTATTTAAACAATCTTAGAACAAGAAATTGCAAAATGCATATGTTCATTTATAATAAACGTCCATAGTTTTTATGTAATTAACTTTGTTTTTAAAAAAAACAAGAAAACTTGTTATTAACTATTAAATCCGTCATAAAAGGAACAAACCAAAAATTGTAAACATGAGTATTAGTACCAATAAAATGTTTGAATAAAGAATTAAAACAAATAAAAGCAGTAAAAAGTAAACAAAATAATAAAAATAAATACAACTCACGTTCAGTTTTGATTGGAGGACTACTTGGAGTATCACGTCCACATTCTAAAACAAAAAAAAACTGGTAAACAAAAACCAAACGAACTAAAAAAAAAGCAAAAAATAAAAGATAACAGGAAATAACAATAGTATTCAAAAAAATAATAGTATAAGCTGTATTGTTTGGTGTAATAATTGTTGATTTAAGTGCAGTTTAGTTCCCATCAAGAGCCACCTAATCCGACGGGAACGTCGTGGTTATAGCAACAATGCATATAGCTACGTTACAAACACCTCAAGCTTCTCTAGAACATCCATGTAGTATATACTGATTACTACGCTATATATGATTATGTTACGCAAACAGCATCCGTCCAACAGTCACGTGCCATCAAAGTGAGTACTGGTTCAATGTTGAACCACGAAACACGCCCCTTGCTACGCTTCCAGTTCGCCTTGTCAGATATCAAGCATCCCCTGACAAAACAAGCAACCCCCTCACGTAAAATGTCCACCCCTACGGCAGTTCCCACGTAAATAGTGCTTGTTACTGTTTTGGCGTTTCGGATTACCAATGCTTCATGTCATACAGTTGCCTTTCAGCAGCTTGACAACATTATACTTTGCATCCTAGCCCTTTTAGTATCTCATTAAATAATATTTAACTGAATTGCTGTAATCTTTAGATAAAGTTGTAGTAAATCATAAATAAATAAGTCATTAATGAGTAAATTATAAAAAAATATTGGTCCACAATCATCATTGGTTGGGAATAAATAAAATAGGTATGATAAAATTTCTTTTGCATAGTCTTGGTAGATCTTGATGGTTTTGAGATACTTAACTTTGTCCATGTCTGATGTTGATAATATGTAAAACCATAAATAATTCTGTTTTGGTTAATTAAAATGATCGAATGAATAATTTGTCTATTATTAGAAATAAACTAGTGCATTCGCCTCGAGTTGAACAGGAAATAGATAAACGAAGTCATTCTGTGGCTAAGTTCTAATGTACTCTAATAAATTATCAGTAGGATAAAAACTTCATTACTATCAAACAACTTTAGTAAGTGGAAAAATTTTATAATCATTCGTTTCTGGAGTAGTTTAGTTCTAAGTGTCTGACCAGACTGTTTACATCTATTACATATTTGCAGACTACTGTTACATAACTACGTAACTATATTACCGAACATAATATCTATCTAAAACCTTATATAAACTCATCATCATCATCAACTACATCAACATTTCTAAAATTTAAAGTTGTTGATTTTGGTAGCTGATATTAATTTTAAGGATCATAAAATATGTTGGAAATTATAAAAAATCACGTTTGTGCTACTTTAGTTTCTTTTATCAGTTTTGAAAAAGTAGAGTACTAGAAATATGTTTGGAATTTGGTTTATTTGAAATACATACAACTGAGAGATAAATTTCAGACAATTCTAGATTGAACAAAGAGCAATGTGAACTTTCCTCGAGGTCAATCGCTTGTAGATTGATAATTTTAAGTTGCATATACACGAAAGAAATATTATCTACTGTCAACTTGTTTCTCTGTCACCTTGAACCCCATTGGCATTCGGTCATCATTATGTACATTGTACAGAACTCATTATTAAGCTAAGTTGATATTTTATATATTTTTATTCAATAATTGGTATTTATTTTAAAAATTATTCATATTTTTCTTAATAAATAAATTTTAAATCTCTTTTTCTTTTCTAGAAGTATTTCAAAAGACCTGCATCATTGATAGATAGTACAAATTAAAGAAAAAGTGGTCAAGAAAATAAATATTTCATTGATAAATAGCTCTAAATGGACTAGCATTATAGATAACTAACTTGAGTCATAGTACACATTCTTTGCACGTCTCAAATCAATAAAAAAGAATAGATAATAGTTTAATACTCTAGGGTACATGACTCTCATGAAGTAATTCAATACTTTTCCACCATTTAGACGCGTGCCAGTTTGTTCAAAAACATTTCTCATACATTTTCACTCGAGCAGACCATTTATTTGATCAATTAGTGTATTGAAAAAAGAGTAAAATAAATATGAAATACTATATTATAAAATTTCTCTCTTTATTCACATAAAATTAAATTTACTAACTGAGTTGAAGCTTTTGATGCTTCATTGATGGTCAAAAACACTAGTTTCAAGCACAGATAAAAAAGAAGATTGAAGGATTTTTAATTTTCTACTCATATAATCTCTATTTGCAAAATTTATTATAAAAAATTAATATTAATAAAATCATAAGAAGATCTAAAGATTAAAAACTATTGGAGTATTTTTTAGATTAAATTTTAAAATGATGATTTTGTTTGATAAAACAAAATGAGTGAATGTATCATGACTTGCTATTTAAATAAATAATAATAAATGATTAAATACATAAATAAATTATAAGTAAAAATTAAATCGTTTAATAATGCATTCATAAAAGCTTTGTTAATTGTTTACATTGAAAGGCTACTTTCAGATCAAGAATTCTATAAATTACTGTAATTCAATGTTTTGAAATGATTTTTTATTCATATAAATAGATTATTTAATTGAATAATCATAGATTCAACATAAATTTGTCAAAAAAAAATAAATAATGTATAGACTTCAAGTGTCTTATCAGCATTTTTCTTGCATAACAATTAATGCAACTGTTTATTTGTTACAAAAAATTGTCGTTAATTGATAATTATGGTTGAAGGACAATTAACTTTGATAATATAATTCTTTATGCTACATTCAGTAAATAAATTTGTTAAAACAATTAGTTGAAGACAAAAAAATTTATTTAAACAAGCTTATGTTAAAAAGAATAAATTTATTTCAATAAAAATGAATGTAAATAAAAATCTGATTATTTCTTGTAAAATGCTTTATTGAACTAAAAAGCAAGAAGATTTTTATTACAAATGTAATTTTGGAGTAAATAATGTGCATTTAATTCACAAAAACCAAATTTCATATCAAAATCTACAACTCACTATTAAATATCATCGATTTTTAATTACTTTCTTTTTCTAATTATTTTCCAATTTTCCATTTGATCAATAAGTAATTTTTCGAGGGTTCACTGTGGTCTCATAGATCTTACTAAAAGTTCTATCAGTGTCAATAAAATAATTATACCGTCATTAGCAATAACTTATATCGCTATATCCTAGGATATTAGAAGGTAGAGAAAAAAAAGATGTGTGGAAATAATTATTAGAGGGTTGAGAACGTGAAAAGCGTAAAAAAGCACACGAAAAATTAGCTAACTTTTTGATAGTTTAGTTACTCTTTTATAACACATATCGACTGATTTATTTTTATAAAACTTTTATCCTTTCTTTTGATATATGTATATCCGCCATTTTCTTTCCACCCTCGCTATCCTTGACAACCCTCCTATCAACCAACCCCTAGTCAGAGAATGTTTCAGTGATAAGCACGAACGTTTCTTCGCGAATGAAAATTTTTTCTTGTCGATAATATGGCCAAGTGCGTGTATCTTTTTTTGTAATGTTATTATTTTTTATCATCTCCAAAAAAAAGAGATTTAAGATTAAATAACAAATTTGATGACCTTGTATTGGTGGCCTTGCGATAAAAAGTTGCAAACTAAGTACCATTGAAAATAATCCAAGGTCATTAATTGAATGAAATCAGTGAAATTTTTTTTATATTAGCGCTTGCGCTTTCTTATCACCAAAGTATTAACAAGCTAAGAGGTTGTACAAATTTTCGAATCGTTTAGTATAGAGTGCTTTAATCATCACAATAATCCGAAGGTCGACACGATAAATGAGTTCTTGGAACTTGATTGCACTCTAATTCTCAGTTAACGACATGCATATACATTTTATTTGTTGCGAAATGTGCACTATGGTTCCCTTTAAATAAATAATGAGAAATATTATTTATAATTATTCGAACTCTTGATATACTTAGATATCTACTTAACATTTTTGCTTTATTTTCACATCAAAAACTGTCTCAAGAAGTTGAATAATGTATGATTGAAAAAATATTATTGCTGCTAGTGTGATGAATAAATTTTCTATAACAAAAATGTTGAAGTGATATATAAATTATTTAGAAAACAATTTCTAATAGTTTGTAAAAGTACTCTTAATGTGAAAATAAATAATAATTATTTCTAGTTGATTTATTTTTAATATCATTCAAAAAATGTATTTAAATTTTAAATAAATATTTTTGTATTAATTTCTAAAATTGTTTATTATTTTAATGTTAGTGTATTTAAATATTGAGGAAAAATCATTGATATCAATGGTTTTTTTTTATAAAATTATCGAATTGCAAATTATACTTCAGATTACGATCAATTGATCAAGGTGTTCACTTGAACAACAATTAACAATAATTATAAAATCTTGATTAAATTTAATTTATCTGTTCTTGAACATAAAAAGATATAATTTTATTCAATAAAACTCAAAAAAAACAAAATTTTATTTTAGTCTTTCTAAAAATATTATTTATTTGTCTAACACAAATAAATCATAATATATATAATAATAAAACTGTAATTATTATTTTATCTTTCTAACTATTCTTATTTGTAAGTATAAAATACCATCACTATTTAGTAATAAATAATTTCGAAATAAAAATGACTAGAATTCACATCCAGAATTCCAATCGAGATTTTTTAAAAACACAACCGAAGTAATAAAAATATTTTTAAAGGTGTAAATACAGCAGCTTTTTAGCTTTGTGATATTTTTTTTTGGCTTTAATGCATTCAGAATATTATGCTTGGGGCAATATCGTATTGATTGCGGGGTAGCCGTGCCCTCGAGAACACATTACATGATTAAACTACCCTGTGGACGTAGAGGAAGAGAGGGTGTTAGGCCGGCCTTGTAGCACTTACCTTATTAAAATATCCACCGAGCCGACGTGCAGCCCTTTTAACAAAAAGCTTCTTTCTAGGTAAATCGGTCTTATCTGTCTACATTTTTTTTTCCATTTATTTATTTACAACCAAGACTGTGTCAACCGGTTTGCTGTTTGAATATTTATTATCAACTCTAGTCTATTCAAAGGTAATAAAAAATTTTATAAATATTTCAAATCACTTGATAATATTTTATATATCTTTGATACGTATGTGTGTTAATATATTTTTATTTGATGATATTTTGGTTGACTTACAAGTCGCGATGGAAATAAATGGAAGAACAAAAGAAGAAGATCCTGAAATCTTTTCTCTTTAGAACCTATATGCAGTTTTTTCTTAGACGCACGACCAAATTCCTTGCTAGCTCGTTTATCGACTCCAATCGATTTTTGCTGCTAAATTATTTCTCGAATCCAACGCTCGAGAGTCTTGGATATCCATCACGATTTCTTGCTCGAATATCTCAGCAGATTCCATATTTCAGGATTTATTTTTCTATTTTTCGCATTCCTACATTGTTAATAAAATTCATTAAAAATTTTTTTTTTTATTTTATATAATAAAAATTACTGGGTCAAATCATGTGACACAGACATCATTCATACTAATTTAATTAATATAATGGAATATATAAATAAACGACGATTGTGAAAAGTTTATCATCATTTATGTTTTCAAATAGTTTTTAATACAAATGTGAAAAAAATTGTTTTAAAAGATTTGAAAGAAAACTTGAAGAATATTAATCAAATACTTTACATTAAATTAACTAATTTTTTAAATAAATAACAGCCAAATGTTTTATTTTAATACTTGATAGCAACTATTTAGTACTTTTCATTTAATTAAATAAAATGCATAAAAAGCAATGATTGAATAATATTTTGGCAGCAGATAAAAAAAAAAACCATACTATGAAATAAATAATAATTTTTTATCCTAAAATAAACTGATCTATAAAATAATGCAAGGAAAAAATGATAATAGATTAATATTTTCTCTTTTTCATAAACAAATCTTTTCTCCAACTGCATAAGTAAACTTTAAAAATGAATATAAATGATGGTTTTTTTTTTATAAACAAATAAACAATGGTTGGGGTTGAATAGTTAATCTCAGAAAATAATGATCACACGATGGTATCATTATGTTTAATATTAATTGAGATAATTTTCAAAGTCGTTCGTTAACTTGGTTATAAAGGCTCCTGGCACTTTCCAGTCACTTGCGTTTGCTCTTCCGTGTGCATAATTAAACGACGCCTTCGACCTTGCTCCACTCACCGAGATTGAGGGGATGAATAAGTCACGTGGACAGGTGAATACGCTGAGATTTTTATTGAACGATTTAAATTCTTATTCCTACATTTTTTTTTTCTTCTTTTTCTTTTAAACATATTTAATATTTTATTCACTCTTAAAAGCACTTACTTTCATTAAATTCATATAAATCTTGTCATTTATGAGAAAAATATTTATATTACAAATGTCGTATATGTAAAGAATGCAAAACACTTGGCACATTTTCACGCAAGTACGAGTTTATTTTACTCATGTTACGGTGCATATACCTCGCGTGAGTATACCGTAAAGTAAATGTGCATTATGTACGAGTGGCAATCTGTTGCACCCTTCAAATTTTTGCTTGTTATATTTTAATAAACTCTCAAGATTCTTTTTCTAGACTCTCTTGAATAATTACATAATAATTTAGTCTCTTATCAATAAAGTTGAACATTTTTTTTTAAATTCAAAAAAATTTTAAGATGATATTTTTTGCTTATAGGCTTAATTATCTAGTAAATAAACTTATCAAAAAAAAGAGTCAAATTGACCTTAGATTTAAACCAAGATAAAAACTAAGTTAAATGTCTGCATATTATTTCAAGTGTTTCTTTCCTGTACCTAAATTCTAATCTATTATTTAGATTTTATAGCTATTTTTTATCAATACGATAACGTTTGTTTGAATCACCTGATCTTTTTTATACTCAAGTGATAATCAATAAAAAAAATAAAAACACAATAAGAACCAATTGACAAATACGGTTGAGTAACAATTCTACAGCATGAGAGAATGCTTTTTTTTATCAATGAAAAATACTTACGTTCGAGAAGTTTATTGCGAGCAAGAAGAGCACGTACAAAGTCTGGAGTGGGAGGTGCATCAGTGAGATCAGCACCTTCCTGATGTGCCGACGGAATAGAAGGTCCAAGTGGTGGTATTGATGTTGGTGGGGGCCTTGGCATGAGTACAGGTCCGTTTGTGAGGGGTGGCAAGGCCCCAAGTGATCCTGGTGGGTGTAGAGTATTGTGGGCTTGAGGGCCCGCATTTGATGCTGGTTGTACTGCTGCTGACATTGAAAGATCGACGCCGCCTAAGAGAACCGGTCGACAACCACCGCTTCCGACGCCACTTGACACCGCCGGGAGGATTCCTCCACCCCCCGGCAGTGGTGCGTATGGCAAGTACAGCTCCAGTCTAAAGCTTGGCTTTAATTTTATTCACTAGACCTCCTTCTTACTGATACTCCAACTATTATAATTATTATTGTAACACCTTTTTCAATGATCACTTTGATACTCCTGAGATGAATTGATTTCCTTTCAACTAAAATGTATTTTCACAATAGCTCAAATGTTTTTGTTGGAGTTTCTGTAAAACTCTGAAGCACTAGACTAATCAATTCAACTGAAAAATTGTCACTGTTGATAATTGTTTGTTTGAGAGATTGTTCAATGCAACGAGCTTATAGTAAGAATAATAATAATAATAATGGTAGTTATTATTTAACACTATTACACTTTGACACTAGATTATTGTTTCTATGATTATACTTGTGGTCTGTCGCCACAATTATCATCACTCAACTTTTCCCGCACTTTCTGCGTCTCTTAGTCACCCAGAAAAGTATCCAAATGCTTTTCATGAATTTTTTTATCCTCGTTCTCTCTGTTGGAATGATAATGATACTAATATTTACATCACAGTGAACTACTTGATGCTCTAATTGATAGCAAAACTTAGCTAATATTAGTCACCGATAACAATAATGAATTTCACAAATTGAGCCCCGCGGCAGGGTCGCGTCCGAGCGGGCCCAGAGCCAGCCGCGTACTCGACACAAACTCAAGCCGTCGGTTCGTTTCCTTATCAGGCCGTTCACGACTCCCGGTTTATCTCGACCATAACCTTGGCTATTCCGCACTCGGAAGATCCAGCAAGATCTCAGTATGCTTCAGCAAATTGTTCTAGTTGTGATTAAGAATAATTGCTGGTTGTTTTTTGCTGTTTATTAGAAGTAACAATGATACGATCATGGTCTTGGTTGACCCACGAGAACGTGTGTAGCTACGATGACAATCAATATCGCTTTTGATCTCTCCAAGACTCTCCCTAGTCTGACGATTGGTAGAAATGGGTTTTTACACGCGCGTCGATGTAAATCCAGTGGTCGAACTTGATGTAAATCGTTGATGGGAGAGAGTAGCAGAGAAAGGAACTGACGAAAAAGCACAACTGACTTAGTCGCCGCTCCTTTTGCGGATCCTCTTTCGTAGCCGCGCCAGGAGACCGCCGGCACGTAAGAAAGAAGTCCGGATTCCGTGACTTCGACGATGAGGATGAGACACGATCGAAACCATTCGACTCTCTTTGATATCTTTTCTTTCCTTTTGTCACCACTATTTTTATTTATTTGCTTTAATATTCTTTTTTCCATGCACACAGCAGTAAATTTATCTCCATTATTTTGTTTCAGTGTAATTTTGTATTTGAGAAATCGAATTCTCCAGTTCACTTGATGACAGAAACACCCCGGGCGCGGATGGAAAGGTGCGATTTGATAACCGAGTGCCGAGGAACTATGGCAGTTGGAGTGCTAAAGTCCGGTGTATGGAGCAAGAGGTGGTTCTTGCGCGGGAGAAATTTCTCGGAGGGATGAGACGAAAGAGTCAACCAGACAAGAGGTATTGAGGGTGTGAAAGAGCGAGGAAAAATGATTCTAAAGCGATAGAACACATGATATGTAATAGAGAAAAAGAGACACACTATCCCTACTCGATGTTTTCGCTTCCACCAACCCCAACTCACGTCAAATCCACCACCCACATTTACGCTCTTGCTTCGTGGTAGGGATGACCACCCCCTTGCACACGCTTGCGCTTTCATTCCATCGCGATTTGCCCTCCATTTCGCAAAATAAATCGCAAAAACCGCCAACATGAATTTTACTGATGTTTTATTATTTCAAGATGATTCTTTTTCTGCCTCAAGACTCTAGTAAATTTTCTTTTCTTTTTTTTTTGGATCTATTTATTGTAATGAGAACGATTTTTTATTGTTTATTTTTAGAGTAAATTCTTGTTATTTGTATTATTTTATTTATTATTATTGAAAATAATTTGTAAAAAATATCAAAATTCTAGATGAATATTTGGCTTGAATCATTTATGTGAGAAAAATGTTGCCTCCCGTCACAAGGCGCCGTGGCTTAGTTGGTTAAAGCGCCTGTCTAGTAAACAGGAGATCGAGGGTTCGAATCCCTCCGGGGCCTACCCTTGGGGTTATATTTTTTACAAAATTTCAACCAAGGTAATCACAAAAAGGAAGAAAAGAAAATTTGCAAGTCTACTAATTGACCACTCAAGTCATTCTATTTCAATATACTTATTAAAGTTGGTGAATAAAATGCGGAATAATATTATGCAATATGTTCTCCAGCCTTTGAGGTAAAAAAAAACTTTTTCAATAACAGTGCCAAGTAATTTTCGTTGGTTTTCTCTTTTAAAATTTAAGACGAAAACTTTAACGAAAGTGCAGTCACCGTTATCTCCTACTTCTTTTACGTCTTTTCTTTCCAAGTTTTGGCAACTTTTAAAAAGCTCAGCTTGTGGTTCAGCATTTTTAACCTCAACCACTGGAGAAAGTTAAAAATTCACTGGTGGGTAGTATTTTATCAAGGGAAGCTATTTTTCTAAAAGACTCATATTCTATTATTCATTTGAAGTCGAAATATTTTGCAAAAATTTTTTTTAAAAAATTACATTCTCAACTCTTTTTAATAAATAAATAATTATTCAACAAAAAAAATTGAATTTTAAAAAATCCCATAAAAACTTTTAGATTATCCTGCACAAAATATTCATTCCATGTCTCCCATTCAGTCTTTATTTAACAAAATTATAATAAAAAATAAATGATAAATTTCTACTCTAATGCATAATAAAAAAGCTAAAGTCTAAGTTAATTATAAAATAATATTAATTTCTTTATTCTAAATAACCTGAATTGAAAATTGCAATTTATATCATGGCTTTTATTCTTTTAATAATTGATATCAATCTTAATGATAAGAATATACAGTTTTAATAAACAATGACAATTCTTCATTAAAGGTTGATATGAAATTGAAGTAATTTGTCAGCACCAATTCCATCATCACTTACAGAGAGAAGTCAGTATCAAGATATGAGTACAAAAATAAAGGTTTAAGTAAATCGATTAATCGGTTAAACTAGCAAACCCCCATGAAATTCAATTGTCTTTGTGCCATGCATCTCTCCCATGTCCTAACCACCCTTATATTTTCATCCCTCTTCTCAAGAAGTTAACTCGAACGATCCTGTAGCTATTAGGGTGTCAATTAAATTAGATCATCCAACCAGGGGGTGATTTTATTCGTAAAACCTTTCTCTAACACTTGTTGTTTATATCTTTATGTCGATACACTTGCGAACTAATCAAGTTTATACTCTTTCTCTCTTTCCTTTTTATAATTTTTTTTTTCTACGTACAGGTTTTATTGATAGAAATTATTACCCATGCTAAAAATGACAATCAATCGCAGTATCATATAAACATAAGTTACTAACCTTCCATTGATGTTTATATGAATAATTTAAAAGTTTTTCTTTGGGTTTATTAAACGAGGGATCAACCCTTGCTAGTCATCACCACGAGTAGGATCTCTAATCCCTTTGGGATAAGGAGTTTGATTTTGTAGTTGGACTCTATGTCTAATTTTTTTATTGTATGAGTGATGGAGTTTATGAGAATTTTTGACTACTGATAATTAATTCATAAATCTATATATCAATATTGTTCAATATTTGTATAGATTTGATTGAACTTTAGAACAAATAGAAGCTATAAAATGTATTGCTTGATTTTATTGAATTAAAATAATTCAAATTTAGAAATAGATAACGAAGCTTGGCTTATCATTTCTTATTTACAAAGTAACATTTCCAATAATAAAATTCTTAATAACATTAAAACAATTTATGTTGCAATATTGATGCACTTTATATATTTACTTGATACTTTTTAATAAAAACAATTCTTAAGCAAATATTCCTTTATAAATATCACGATTTTCATCATGAATTTTACTTAAATTATTTCAACTATTTTATTGATGAAACTTGGTAAGCTTATTTTTTAATAAATTAAAAATTTTAGAAATTCAAAAATATTGATTTTTTTTCCAAGTTTGTTGAAAAGGATTTTTTTTGATCAAGATTTATTTTTGAAGTAAAATTTAGAACAAGTTCTATTCTTACTAAAATTGATTAAAACCAGAAAAATATTTTCAATTGATCACTTTCAATTGTGCTCACTCGCATGAGTTGTTCTGAATTTTGGAAGAGTCAGATCACCCCTCAAGCCATGAATCGAAATGATCGCTCAAGCCAGGGTTCTGATCATTGCTAACGATAATGGTGGATTAGCAGGCATCTGCCATCTGGCATAAGACCCGTATCACTACACATTTCAATAGAAAACTTTGACTTTATTGCTAGCCAAGTTATACTTGAACCAATCCCCCCCCCAATCCTTTCCATAATTACCAAAATGATCTCAAAGCTAACAAGACTAATAGTTGGATGTTAAAAATTTGGAAAAATCAAAATGATGAATCGTTTCTTTATTTTTGTGCTTACCATTGTGTCAAAAATTTATAGGATATGAGTTGTTTGAGGGGAAAATAGAAGGACTTATCTGGGATATACATTTAATTTGGAAGTTGGCCAATTGGCACGATCGACTTAGCCAATTCTCCGAGTATTTCATGGATTTACCGAATATTTAGTAGGGCTTATGGCTTTAACGTTTGGTAGTGTCGCAGGTGGCTGACACTTGCGTGATTCACGTTCTGTGTGGTCGTCGCCTCGATATGGATGAGCCCATGATACACCCTGTATGCGGTTCTCCCTTAACATTATCTTTATCCTCATATCACCTCTTCTTTCACCTTCTTTTTCTTTTTCCTCACACAGTTTACATTCTACACATCTGGTCAATTTGTGGCTTCAATCCAATATTCAAAGATCGAAAGTTTCAAGATTTATTTCTGCATTTTCATTGCTGAATAAAATATCAGTACTCATCGTTTTTTTTTTTTCCAGACTACTTTCTTCTTTCTTGTAGAAATTTTAAATCGATGACACACGTGGTTGAGGGTAAATAACCTAGAGAAAAATAAAAGAAAATTATTTATTAAACTGTATTGGCAATGATCAAAATGATTACTCTTACTTGGAAGACAAGTATTTTCTTCAATTAATTTGCTATGGTATTAAACGACGTGCTGTGACTTGACCTCATTGCAACGAACTTTTTGTCTTAAAGGGTTTTATACTAAAACTAATATCATGGAGTCTATCTGTTGATGATGATTCTAGTAAAATAAAAATTTTTATCATTGTTTACATTTTTGAATTTAATCATTTAAAATGAATGAATTGTTTTAAAATAATTGATAATGAATATTAAATTTAATTTGTTATTTATCTTTTAAAATATAATTTTCCATTAATGTTTTATTAATAAAAACAAAAAATCAATTCTCATTGAAGTATAAGAAGAATAATTTCTAAATTAAAATACCTAGTAACATTAATTATAATAACACATTATAACGAATAATATTAATATGGTAAATATTAATTATTGTATCAGCATAAGTAATTGTATTGTCATAGTAAATATTTTTATGATATTACACTAAAGATAGGATAAAAATAGAATAAAAAATAGTAAAATGTGCGACAATAATTATTTTCAAAATTAGGAAAAATTATTAATGTTACTTATTTTATTCTCTACTGAAACCAATATTGTAGATTGGATAACAATTTTAAATATGACTGCGCAGGTTTACTGTTATCCATTTGGGTAAAGACACATCTGGATAACTATTAATAAAATTGTTTGTTAAGCAAATAGAAATTTACTGCTTCAAACATTTTTACGCATAAACATGCGTATTTATCCGAATTTTAAGTATTTTTCTCCAATGATAATTTATTTTGTTACTCACAGCTTCGATAACTTATAAATTACATTTTTAAAACTCTATTATAGCTGTTGGATAGTTAAAAAAAATCTATCTATTTATTACAAGTTTTTGAAATATCAAATACTCTAATGCTCTGTAGGAATTCATTTATTATTTATTATTCTTAGTGTTAAAACTTAATTTAAAAATGAATTACCACTGGAAATCAAATTATTTATAAAGTATTGGCCAATTTGAATAAAATAAGTGGAAAAAAAATCGAATGAATGAAACAAAAAAAAAGTATCCAGGGGGCACCCGGGTTTGAACCGGGGACCTCTCGATCTGCAGTCGAATGCTCTACCACTGAGCTATACCCCCAGATTGGTTACCACGTCTATGTTACTAGTCTTATTTTACAATTCTATAATCAATAAATATATTTTAATCACAATTGATTCATAAATATTCTGCATTCTACGATGAATTCATGATTAAATTCCTTAAAACAGAAGCTTACTTCTAAAAAAATGACAGAATATAAGTGATACTACGAATAATTATTACTGATATCATTATGTTTTCACAAAAGAATTGGACGTGATTCAGAGCATGATATAATTTTCACATTGAATACAGAAAATTTCAATCTATTTTTGTGTTTATGCATTTCTGATGTGAAAAAAGTCAACTGAAATATTCTGAATGCTCCAATACTCTTTTTAATTAATATGCATCTATAAAAAAGTATTACAATCAACTAATAATAATACTAGTTTGTTTATCCATCATCACAAATATTAATACCAATAATTATCGAATAACATTAATATAAAATACTTTTGTATATTTGTATGCCAATTCATTACATAAATTCTAATCAAAACCACGGACAACAATAGAATTAGGAATTATAAATATTTGTGTAAACAGCAATCCTCAGTATAATTATAATACTAAATAGATAACATTATCATTAAATGAAAAATAAAAATAGAATAAATATCTATTTACAATCGTTCTAAATGTGGAAAGAACATATTGAAAGTAATTAATGTTCAATAATAAAAATTGTTTGATTTTCATTAATAAAAAATTTCAAGTATACTATTTCCAGCAAAAAAAAAACAATAAAAATAATGATTGAAACATTCTATTAATAAATCTGATATTAGAAGATGATCCTAATATTACTGATGGACTGTACTATGTGAGTTGGTCGACAGGTTTTCACTGACGTTTGCTGAATCGACCGCCAAGTGCAAACACTCATAGCAATGGAAAGATAAATACAGAGCATTCAACAAAGGTTAACGCATATGCAATATAAAAGAATATTCCTATATCTTCTCTACAAATTATGATTATATACATAGAGCAAATAAATGTTTTTTTTTTTTATTAATAAATTCCCTTTTTTGCTAATTAAATAACATAAATCATTAGTTTATTGCCCCAGCATCTATGAAATGATATAAACGCATATAAAAACATCAATATATTACACATGAACGGATCACGCAATAAAATCATCCACTTCATTTCATTTTATTAGCTATGTACTTAATACTTTTTCAGAATTGAGAATTGATTCGCTAATATTCTTATGACTTGAATTTACTTTGTAGTTGTAGATTAATATTCATTTTTAGCGAAAATAAAAAATTATTAAATTATGAGTTGTATTTATTTTATGGAGGACATTTTTTTGAAATAAAAATTACTTGAATTATATTCTAAATATAGATTAACTTGAGCTTCATAAAAAAAATAATCATCATTAATGAACATTTTTAATAGAAGTGGAATGAAAAATATTGTTTAATACTTTCTTGGAGCAGTTTATCTGCTATAAAATTCCAAAAAAAAATTTAATTTATAAATTCATGAGAATTTTTTTCAAATTTAAAATATAAATTTCTATTTGCTATGATCCAGCTCTTTTCCACGTGCAAAAAAAAAGAGACGAATGTTGGACAAATAACCAGGAGAGCATGCCTCCTACTATGGCATGTCTGACGACAGGTACGATAATATACTACAGACCACCTAGTGACTTCATGACTCCACCATATGCTACCATGACTAAGCCACACATGCTTGTGTTACTAAAAATATATCGAAAATTATGAACAAATAAAATAGATTAAAGAAAAGCCATTAAAAGCTCCATGTAAAGATGAATAAATAATGACTTCTACTACCATTAATGGACTTTTGATTCAATTGATTTCTAAAATAATCTGTATTGAAAAGCTTGAGGGACTGAAGGATTTGATCAAGTTAGATATGAAGCAAGATATCAGAAGAGGTGACTAAATGTGTGGACAGGTTAAAAATTCGTAGGGTGGGCATTAGGATGAATGAATGTTTTAACAGACAATAATAAGAATAATACTCACCAGCAAAACATATCGAAGATCATGCAATTAATCAACGTAAACAGAACCAGACGAACAATAGATCCCTTTTTATGTCATCCTCTTACCCCTCTGACTTGCACGCACCGCCTTCTGTCAATAAATAAATCTTGTCCCGCAGAGAGGCACCCCATCGATGCTTGTACCATCGAGTTCCGCGTTTTCCGTCAAGCTTTTTGAAGGGTGACATTGATATGTCGCATTGGGACGATTGAAAAAATTCTGTAAACAAGCATAAATAATAATTAATCGACTTATGACTAATGGATCTGTTGCTTAAGAATGTCTTACTCTTAATATAGGCTTTTCTTGATATACTCTTCATATGGAAGTAGTATTTCCATTCTAAGAGTTTTTAATTTTTTTATTAGATTCTCTGATAAGGTAAGTATGTCACTTTATTAAGTACTGAAAGACCTGAGTAATTGAATCAGGATTCACCTCAATGATTTGCATTAATTATTCAGTAGGAAGGTTTGAAAGACATGTTATGCTTGTTAAATATGACTCTGATAAAATTTAATATTCTATTAAAACATGTTTATGTGCTAGATTATCTAATAATTTATATAAGTAAAAGATTAAGTATTGTTGATAAATATTTGATTTGATAAAATAATTGAAAAAATAATTATGTATCATGAATTATGTTTGAAATATTCGAGTTTTTCTGTTTTATTCAAAAACACAACTTGGTCATGCTTGTAAATGTCAATGATATATGTATTATAAATTAATACATTTATCTCACACCAGGAAAAATACTTTTTGTTAATAATATAAGGTAAACCATGTATTTGTTTACTTTTCACAATCACATTAAATGATAAACCATTATTACATTTTGTCATATAATCATTTTTTTTAATATTACATATACTTTTATTTTGAAAACACTCTTTACAATGTTTTTTGTTAATTAAAAAATTAATGGAGGGAGAAACAAGAGTATGTGAATCAAAATGAAAAGTAAATTTTCCTTTCAAGTGTGTCTGAACATTGCAATAACATTCTAATAAAATTTTCGATTAATTAGTTCAAATTAAAAATAAAATCTGATTTTATTTATTAATATATTTTAATCATAAAAAATAAAGAACTAATTAATTATAATTTCTCAATGAATACTTTAAATTTATATGATTTTCTAAAAAAAAAATATATATATATCTTTTTATATTTAATGCAAATAAAAATACATTGAATAAAATAAATACCTTTTGACTGCTTTTCATTAATAAGAGAACGATGTAAAGTATTTTTATATCAATAATCCACCTCATCAAGCATAATCAATGTCCAATGATTACTTCACATCAGTAATATATGAATAGCAAAATGACGAAATTTGGCTAAAAATAGAAAGAAAAATATTAATGCTAAAAAATTCATATGACACAGTGCAGAAGCTTCACGACACGAATTATCTGTTCGTTACAAGCATTGGGATGCTGGAAAATTGACAGACCAACAGACGAATCATTTGTTATACCCTTTTGCCTATCTGGGAGAGGCAAAAACATACTATTCCCCAACCAGTCCTTGCTTTCCATTCCTGTCGCGAATTAATCCATCAAAGCACCCACAGTGCACTAACAACTCGGAGTCGCATCCCCCCAAACCTCCACGCCTTTTTTTTTAGAGTCACCTACCTAAATACAGAAGAGAAAATGCATGAATTCTATAACTTCATCATAGCTTTATGCAAACAAAATATGCAATTTCCCGAGTTGCTATAAACTGATGATTTATTCTAGACATTTTATAACCGATAATGATAAAATTTTAATCATGGATTCAATGATAGAAATTTGTACAAAAATATTATCATATATTCGAGAAATTGTTAATTAAAAATTCACCATATAAATATTTTACGATTAATAATAATGTTAAAAGATTGATCAATTATTGTTTATATTTTTGTGAGTGGTCATTCAATGTAATAAATAACAAATCAGTTGATAAAACGATTAATTAATTTGAATAAAAGATTAATTATAAAGTTGATTAATTACAGATGAATGAAAAATATAAATTTATTGGTAGCTGTGAAATATTGTTATACTTGTATCCTAATTAAATAAATGAAAGGAAATATATTGAAATAAACAGCGAGTCGAAGAATAAATACTGACATATCTAAAATAATATAAATTCAAAATTATTGAAGAATAAATGTTTTAACAAAAGTTTTTGTTAATAAAAAATATATTAATTACATAATAGAACAGGATATAATAAATTTTAAATATCAAATTTATTTTATATCATGCTTTCTATATATTCGCAGCAGTGTTAACTCACACTGGTTATTATCTCCTGTTATATCGGGTCAGCATCTCTTCAGTTTGATCGTCAAAATACTGACCGAAAAATTTATAAAAAAATTCGATATTTATTCAACTTGATGTAAATTATTTTTTAAATAATTAATAAAAAGTTTTTCAAATTTTCCAATCAATTTTTAAATAAATAATTTATAAGATTTATTTTAATAATAAAACAGATGTTGTTTATGTATATTTTTATTATTTAATAAACTAAAATTAATTAAATAAATAAAAATGTTTACCTTTACATTCATTAGTGAATAATTATTAACATTAAATCTTCGTGTGCTGTAACAATTATTATAAGTCCATAACTTCCTTGTTGTAGTTTAAATAAATGACTTATTTATTTGTAGCAATAAAACAATTGTTAATTTTATTGTAATGTTAAAAAATAATTCAAAAATAGTGCATTTGGAGGACAGATGCTAATGATTACTTTAATTATGATTTGACTGCGAATAACTCACACATACACGTAATTCGAAATACCTTGCAAAAATGCAAATTTATTTTCGATTTACTGTCCATTAACAAACTTTTAGGTATTACAAACATTGGCATGCGTAAGTGCATTATCATTAAAGACCATGTCATACTGACTGCAACATAGACATTTTGCTCCCTGGTGATCATTCAGAGATGGTAGGTAAATGCACATGATGTGCAAATTATTGTTAGTTCGATATAGGCCCCAGCTTGCGCCGGGATCACAAAAAATTAGTTAAAGACTCATCAATTGTTCCCCTCCACGGAAATCTTTAGTAAAAGGCGAAAGATTTATGCGTGTATTGAAGGGAAACCAGAGTGAAGATTGTAGTTCAAAAAATAACTTATATTAACTTGATGCAACTACTCTACATGCGACTTACTGAATTGTCAAACTCCATCTAGCGTGCGAAAATAGAATTAACTTCCCCGCTTGTATACCTTGAGGACTAGTGGTTTGGAGCTAAAACAGCTGTCTTTTAAATCCATAAATGCATTGATGTTTGGACTAATATTGAATTATTATGAATATAGAATCTATCCCTTTAATAAGCTGCAACTGTAGGAGATGTATTAAATGCATAAGAGTTAGTCTATCGATTTGGTGAATATTTAAATTTGTGTCACGATGATAGATTTCGTCATAAATGCAATTACATCATATGGAGTTGAACCGCCTGACACCCTAACCGCATCTTCGCCACTTTCCAGTGATTATCTCTTTCCATTTTCTCCCTTTCTTCCTTGCCTTTCCATGTTCCAGTCAAGCTATTCAATTGACAATAATTGGATAACGAATCTTCAACCTGTTGGTTTATTTCATGTTGTGGTGCTAAATAAAAAAGTCCGAATTAATGTAAGATTTTTTTTTCTTACGAAATAGAAACAATAAAAGAAAGATGTTCTATTTATCAGAGGTAAATCAGTATTTCAAGAATGAAAAATGTAATCCATAATTAAAAATATATTATGCATCAGATAAAATTTTTCATCACACGTACAGGATGGTAAAATGTTATCAAAAGCAGCAGATAAAATTTTTGCAGCATGATTGGCGAGTGTGCGGGCGTGGTGTAACGTTTACTCGTTCGCTTCAATGTCTCGATGCTTGCGAGTACAAGCGTGGGATCAATATAAGCGATGAGACTACGAGAGCTCATCTTTAAGCGCCGCCCGATGCAGACCACCAACCAATGACTAGCAGTAGTTTGCTTGGTGGTAACCAATCCTGGTGCTTCATTGATTTTTCGCGCTTATTTTTTCTTTTTTTAAAAATGAATTTCTTCGCGCAGGCGGCAGCTTCGAGGGTGGAAAGCGAGGCCAGAGGTGGAGAAGAAAAAGAAGATAGAGGAGAATCGATGAGGGCGAAAGAGTCTTGTAGGGGTAAACGAACCCCTGTTTCATCCACCCTCGCGTCACTGTTATCGGTTGTCCCTTTTTCAATCATGAAATCCACTGTAAAACGAAGAACCAAACCCACAAGTTCATTTTTGCATTCAATGTATGAGTATATATACATTGCGCCAAAGATGGAAATTTTCTCGTATTCCATATTTATGTAGATGTTTTACAATAAAAGTATTTTTCTTGGATCTTAATCATATAGATCGATAAAATTGATATAGAATATTTCATAACCGAAGCAAGCCATAATGAAAGATATGAAGAAACATTATCGATAATAATTATCCATGAATTATTAATAATTTTATGTATAAAGAAATGTATCGTAATTTAAACTTCAAACAGAAAATTTAATTTACACACTTAAAAATTCCCTGGCAAGATTTTCAACAGTAGCTTATATAGGAGTGTATGTACAGATCCTGGAGATACGTCAATGAATTTATTATAAAATCGTCTGCGCTTTACGATTCATACAGAGAATTCGTGAGAAATCATACGAGAATTCTGGTGATGAAAATTAGCCCATAGGCGAAGTTAAGTTTTACAATTTACTTAAGACTTTCATTTACCAAGTTGAACTCGATATAAAATTCAAAAAGTCTAATAAAAAATACATTGGAGAAATACTTGACCAGAAAAAATCTTAAATGAAGTTCCAAAGTACCTTGTACTGATAAAATTGAAGAGAATTTTTTGATGAATGTTTAAATATTTAGAAATTTACTACCATCCCGAAGAAACTCTTGACTTCACTAAAAAACCAATCAAATACTTTTTTCCTAAAAACAAATATAAAATAAAATATGAAAATATTAAATCCACACGTGCATGTCATTATAATGCATATAATAACCTTCATGAAATTCCATATTTACCTTTCACTCAACAGCTTTAATTGAAATAATAATATCAACTTATTTATACAATTTTAATGACAATTATTCCAGCCTGAAATACATATATTATTCCAGTAGATAAAATGAAATAAAATAATGAATTACTTAAAAATCTTACCTGAGATTTTATTCATACATTTAATGCATTTATTCAAGTATATTTTCAAGAGCAATAAACGAGTTTCATCTGACAAAAAATCTCGTATTCGCATCTCAGAATATACGGTCCATAACCATAACTGGTCGGCTGTCATTTCCCGATGTTGAAGGCGAGCTTTTCTTGTGTCTTGTACGTGACGACCAAGGGGAAGAGGGTCATCATCCCCATGCTCATGTCTCCAAGTCTTCAGAAATTGTCCAATGAGAAAGTTCAGGGTTTATGACAATTCGTGGTAAGAATACAAATCCACCATTGACTTTATTTTATTTGGCAAATTTTATTTCTCATTCTCTGATGCTGATTAATTTGATTCATCATTTCACTTTTCTAATATTTTAGCTCAATGATAAGTGCCACATGCAAGTGGTGGTTTTAGGTAGATTTCAAGTACTACAACATTTGATTTAAACATGAAGATTCTAATCTTTTGGCGACATTTAACTGTAAGTGGTAGTAGACTTAGACGTTATAAATGACCATAAAAGTAACACGTTCTTGCGACAGCTCCAATTTTCTCTACCAACCACCAACGCCCTATTACTTGTCTCATTCTCGTGAATTACCGATCCGTTTTTCCCGCTGAGTGTGCAGCCATTTTTTTTACACAAAGAGTTCAATAATCTAAAATGATCTTCAACATACAAAGTCAACGTGCAAATTGAATTTTTTTACAGCTTGAATAAAAATTTCATAATAACCCTATAAGGGTGAAGGGCGACATGAATAGAGTAGGCTTAAAGGAAATACAAAACGAGTTTAAAAATACGTTAAAAATATCACAGATATATTCCAAGCTAGTTTTATATTTTTTTTTTGGTCTTGATATTTATAATAATCAGTTGGTAGGAACAATTTTTTCTATTGTATTGATGCTTTTGCTCTAGTTGTTATCAGTGATAGTAGACCAGTTGATCATCATCAAATGGAACTTTTGTATTATTAAAAATAATTATTAAAAACATTCATTCAATTATAAAATTTTAATAATAAATCTGTTAAAAGATTATTCAACTAGTTTGGTTTTTAATCATATTGAGAAAATCAATTCTCATAATTAAAAATTATTAATTAATGTTTTCATCAATGGATAATCATTTATGCAATTATAATTCAAACTTTTGAGAGCAAACGTAATTAATTATTCCAACAGTTGTGTATGGTTTAGGTTTTCATGATGTACAATATTCTGTCCATGTCATCACTTCATAAAAAGAACATTTTTGTGATTAACAGTATGTTAATATCACTGAAGTTAACATTTTTTGAATTTTAAAACAGAAAAGCAAACACATTGCACATTCTTATTAAAGTCAACATTTGAAAAAATTACATGATATTTTTTGTTGAAAAAAAAATTTATCCATGGAATAGGCAGAAAGATAAAATTCCATACAAAGATATAAAACTCCACACAAATGTGCAGTATCATAATGGAAAAAAAATGCACCAAAAAAAAATTGTGAAGACAAAAATTGAACTTGAAATAACAAAATAAATTATTTTGTTCAGCTAAATTGAGTTTAACATCTTCAGTTCTTCACCTTACAAATCCAATCTAAATCCAACTATTAACCAGTATGGAGACATGGACATAATTTTTACAAAGAAAAAAAAACTAGTCTCTTTTATTGAATTTCTTCCCTACGTGTTGAAGAAGATATAGAATAATTGTTGAGGAGAGAAAAATCAAAAGTGTTATCTCATCAGTAGAATAAAAGAAAAGTGCTTTGACACGCACCAAGAGTTCATTGGGTACCGCGAATTGCACGTTTCTCTTTGGGAATCGTCCACAGAGTAGTATGAGGATAAGCCGCACGAGTGAGAATGAAAAGGTGGAAAAGAGAAAAGCTTGGAGATCGCCGTAAATTCTCGGGAAATAGCTGCAAGTAAAATATAGAGGTGGCTACATTCCACATATGTCATCTGGACCTTTCTCTCTCTTTCTTTGCTATTCTCCTTTTCTGTTCTCTATATATGAATATCGCACATATGTGCCGTTTTCGCGACATCTTCCACCTACGCTTTACTGAATTGCCGAGAATATATATCTCTACTCTTACACATGCGTTCATTTAGACAAAGCCAACAAGATGAGATCGTTCATCAAAGTGAAACAGCAGACGTTGATCAGTCAAAATTAATCTATGATTGTAATAAAAGAAAAAAAAACAAGTGTTTTGTCTTATATTTTTTTGAAGATTCTACGATGAAATTCTTTCAAAGATAATGTGGCGAGGATGCATGACGTCTATGAAAGTTTCTAAAGATTGTACATTACAAAGTCGCAAAAACGTAAGGAGAGTAAATCTTACAGACGAGAGGGCACAAGCGGAAAAGCCGACGAACTCGAAAGCTCGCCAAGTTCGCCAGAGCACGATACTATGAAAGAGAGTGTCACGTTCCCATAGCAACTGGACGACTCCGCCTCTCTGGACTCCCTCGTTCGTTCGATATCCCTGAATCCTCTTTCTCTCTTTCTCTCTTCACTATCAATCCGCTCTACATTTTTCTCTCTGCCAACTCTGAAGAACAAGAGGGAAAAGATGAGTCTCATACGTTGACTCTGGAGAAACTTCTTCATATAAAAGTCTCTCTTTTCTTCTCACACACAAACACTTGGATTTTTTAAAAATTATGATGTAATCAAAAAATCCTGATTGTTCTCAGGTACCATTATGTGCACCTCTTTAAGATTTTTCATCGTTTACTTTTCTTTTGAATATTTCATTGCTTTCGTAGATTCATCTTTATTATCCACATACTCATAAAATTCGATCGACTCCAAAACATGTTTTCGGTCTGACTTTACATCACATTGATATAGTTTTCTCTTTCTGATCCTGCTGACTAGAGAGTTTAATTCCGTTGAGTGCATCCAGCGTTGATTTAAAATTGCGTAGCCTCACTATCTGTACTCTTCATATAAATGCACTAACATTAGTATCAGCATGACGTCAAGCCAGTGTGCCTGTATAATAGGAAAAAAACTGCATGAACACAAAGGTCGCAATATATTCTAGGAGACTTTAAAGCACCACGTGCACTTGTTTACGAGTTACAAATGGACTACTATCAGGTCCGAAAGTATAAGTCTCTGACTTTGATTGTTTATCATAAATATTAACGACACAACAGAAATTTTCTATTCAAAGCTTTATAATTCAATAATTAACATTTGCAAGTAAACAATCAAAGTCAAGGGTCTATCTCTATCAACTTGATAGATAAAATATCCTGTTGTGAAATGTTTATTCAAAGATATTTAAAAGAATTTACCTTGTATTTACTCCAATATAACTGAGCACATTTCTCATGCTTCAAAAAATTTTGTTGAGGCTTCAGCAACTTAGCAAAAGTTCATTTTCTTTAATGCAAAAGTAAAAAAGAAATTTGGAGGCGCCGGGCATCGATCCCGGTACCTCTCGCATGCTAAGCGAGCGCTCTACCATCTGAGCTACGCCCCCGATGAAATTTCTCAGCTATAATGATCATATATAAGTCTGATGCTTGGAGATCTTAACTTTTACTCTTGAAAAAAAACAGGAGAGAGACACGCATACGTATCATAAAGATGTACCAGCATCGTGAACACCTTTCTGAATCGTTGTGTGACTTTACATGATCATGAATCTTTGCAGAAAAGAATTTTATACATACCAGATGGTTTTTAGATTGCTTATCATGTTTTGCACAATCCTTTGATTTATCTGAATCTCTTATTGAAAATAGTTACTCCGGCCTAATTCCAGTCGTAAATATATCGACTTCATGGTGTATTTCTTCCACTTATCAATCCAAAAACGTCATTTAAAGTTGCTAAAAATTTTCCTGAGATCATTATCTCATTGGTACTTTGTCTCTTTTGATAAAAAAAAGGTTAATTTCGCAAAATTGCAAAAGTAATGGGCTCGTCCGGGATTTGAACCCGGGACCTCTCGCACCCTAAGCGAGAATCATACCCCTAGACCAACGAGCCAGAGTTGATGATCAATCCTTTGATTCACGTCGTGACCTGTAGAAGACATTATCGATTAGTAAATCATACAAAATAAGTAAATAAAACTATTATATAATCAATATCAACAAGTTTTTATATATAAAAACTGTTTCTACAAAAACTTGAACGAATTTAACAATTACCTGGATTTTTGGTGAAATAAAAAATTGTTTACCCAATTCAATGATTAAGCCTCAAATATTCTTTGGAGCATGAAGAAAATAAATGTTTCAAGGTTTGGCTAGCGTTGATGATACATGTTTGTAAAAACTATTGATGATATTCTTCAGTGAAACTGAACAATTAAAATTATATAAGTTCACAAGTTTTTTCAAGCGGAACCAATCAATTCAGCAGTGATAAAAAAGTATAATTGTCTTCATAAAGACAATTTCTTCTAGGAATAATCAGTAAACACTTTGCTTAATAAAATAATGACAGTAGATTTCCTTTTAATGGAAGAAAAAAAACACAAATGAACTGTCATTTACCTTTCATAACGGTACACTTGAAGTAAATTATTTCCATAAAATTAAAATTTTATAATAAAATAAATATAATTATATCAAGAATTTTTTCTGAATGTCATGCCTAATTAATTAACTCATTGAAGAGCTACTTTTTGGAGCAATTAACAGAAACAGATAATTTTTGAAATATATTTCCGGAACTCTTTTTGCCTTGATTCTTTTTCTAACAAGGACGTATTTGATATAATAAGAACTTTATCAGGAAATAGTATAATGGTCATATCGTCATCTTGAATCTCGTGATTCTCAAGAAATAACAATCGATTAGATTGACAGAAAATGTATATAAAGAGAAAGAATGTACAAAAAGAATAACAAATCTAGCCAGTAGCTTTGGAGAACCTAATCAACTATGTATTGCTGTTAAAAATCTCCTTTGACAGTAGTGACTTATCAATTTATCAAAGAAACATCACTAAAAATATCAAGTATTATAATTTTCTTTGAAAAATCGCATCATAGTTGTAATCATCTGTCTTCAATCATTTAGACTTCCAATATCTGTAAGTAGTATTTATTCATTGTTGACTATCATTATAAATCAACTAATTATAGTTAAATTATTATTAATTTATTAAACACGCGATACTTTCGAAGATTAAAATTTAAGAAATGATATGATGAATATATATATCTTGTGAATATTCTTATTATTCTATTTGGTGAACTTATATTTTGAATGATTGCGGAGAAAGCAAGAGAAAGTCTTCAAACTCTGGGATGTATAAATGAACGTGGGTCCAGAGATCGTAGTCATTTTGTGAAAGAAAGTTTTAGGTCCAGTGTTGTCACTATTTTTCTTTCATAATCATCTAAATTAATTTTTTAGAATCAATTTGAAGTTCAAACTTTTGAAATGAATATTCAGTTGCAAAGTGCTTATTAAAAAGTAGGCTGGTATTTCGAATTATTAATAATAATATAAAAATTTGATTACAGTGAGTGGATTAATTGTTAACGTGAATAAAAAAAAAATGGAAAATAAAGAGTTTGAAGAATTTGGAAAAGCAGCACTGGACTTAATTGTGAATTACAACGAAAGCTTAAGAAATCGAAATGTTCTGCCTGATGTAGAACCTGGATACTTGAGCAAGTTGATTCCTGGTGAAGCTCCAGAAAAAGGAGAATCCTGGCAGGAAGTGATTAAAGATATTGAACGCGTCATAATACCAGGAGTGAGTTTTGAATTTATTAATTATTTTTTATGTTTACGTCAATCGATCTTTTTAATAAGCTCGATAGAGATATGATTGCTGATCGAAAAATTTATTAATTAATAGTTTTCTCTGTCATTAAAGATCACCACTTTGTAAATCAAATTTTAATCTATTTGAAAGCTTATTTTAAATTAAATAATATCAATAAAAAAAAATGATTATTTTGATCTAGGTTACCCATTGGAATTCCCCACATTTTCATGCTTATTACCCAACTGCAAACTCCTATCCAGCGATAATAGGAGAGTTATTGAGCGCAGGAATCGGAGGTGTTGGTTTTTCTTGGATAGCATCACCAGCATGCACGGAGTTGGAAGTAGTAACTATGAACTGGTTAGGAAAAATGATGAATTTACCAAAAGAATTTTTAAACTGCAGTGAAGGACCTGGTGGAGGAGTCATACAGGTAATTATAATTTTTACTTCAATAAATTAGCAATATTAATGAGGACTCTGTTTTTAGACCTACATGCCAGTTCAGCAACTATTTTATTGAAGTATTTATTTAATTTTCCAGGGCTCAGCAAGTGAAGCAACTTTGGTGTGTTTACTGGCAGCCAAAGAACGAACAGTACGACGTATAAAAAGTCTTCATCCTGATATGGATGAAGGGCTAATTAAGTCAAAATTAGTTGCATACTCTTCAAGTAAGTCAAATATAACTTCAAAAAATTAATAAACAAAAAATCAAAGGTAGAAAACCATTAATATAAACAAGGAAAAAAACTAATTAATAAAAATATTTCAACTGTGATTAATTATTGAACATTGAAAACATTTGTTTGCAGATCAATCAAATTCCTCGGTAGAAAAAGCAGGATTATTAGGCTCGATGCCAATGAGACTATTGTCTGTCGACGAAAAATGTTCTCTCCGTGGTGCGACTTTGTTAGAAGCAATAAAAAAAGACCAAGAAGCTGGGTTAATTCCTTGCTATGTCGTTGCAACATTAGGGACTACCGGCACGTGTGCATTTGATAATTTAAATGAAATCGGTCCAATTTGTAATGAACATGATATATGGTTACATGTTGATGCAGCATATGCAGGTTTGTACGCACTAGGGTTATCAATTAAATTCAGTTATACTTACCTTTAAAATGGTTTCTTAATGATAGGCGCAGCTTTTGTATGTCCGGAATATCGTCACTTGATGTCCGGTATAAACCTCACTGATTCATTCAATTTTAATCCTCACAAATGGCTTCTCACCAACTTTGATTGCTCAGCTCTATGGTTTGTCGTAAATAATTCACCTGAACCTAATTATGCAGAATAAGATATTAATATTCTTTATTATTTATCCAGGGTAAAAAATTCTAGGAGCCTTATTGAAGCTTTTAATGTCGAGAGAATTTATTTGAATCATGATAAAGAGGGATTAGCACCAGACTATCGTGTAAGATTTCATACAATTAATTTTCAAACAACTTTATACAAAAATTTTGAGATAATTATTTGTCTTACCATAGTATGTTATACTCTGTATTTGCAGCACTGGCAGATTCCACTTGGCAGACGTTTTCGTGCTTTGAAACTTTGGTTTGTTTTGCGCTTATATGGAATTGAAGGTCTTCAAAAGCATATTCGTCACTCAATAAATCTCGCAGAGAAATTTGAATCTCTCGTAAAGTCCAATGAAAAGTTTGAAATCGTCACTGAAAGGTCAATGGGTCTAGTTTGTTTTAGAATGAAGGTAAATTTCCTACAAAATATTAATCGAATTAACAAAGGAATTCTAAGTTGACAAGTAAAATATAGGTACAATTGATACAATTGTCGTCAAACAATCAGAATTAGTTAAGCAAATTAATAATTGGATTTATAACTATCAATTCTTTGCTTTTATACTGATTAAAAGAAATATCTTTTAATAATAAATATTTATGCTTGATAAATTTACGTAAAAAAGTGGTATAGTTATTAATAGAGAATATTATTTCTTATCAATTTATGAAACTTGATCACGAATAACAATCATCATCAAATAAATTCAATTTGTTTTTACAGGGTGACAATGCACTCACTCGACAACTCTATGATCTTTTAATGTCAAGAAAACGAATTTACTTGACTGCTGCGACATATCAAGAAAAATTAATTATCCGTTTCGTTGTATGCAGTCGACTTTGCATTGAAGATGACATCGACTTTGCCTGGAACGAGATCACCAGCCAAGCAGAAGTTGTTTATGCTTTAACACATCAACAGGTCGATTGTACAGATAAACCTATACCTATTCCAGGAAAAAATTTAGGTACTATTACTGCAAGTATCGAAGATTTAATAATAAATGAAATCAAGATTTCTCAAAAAATAACATGAATACAACTTCTTAGATAAATAATTATGATTTATTCTACCGTGTTTATTGTTTTATTGTTACGAAGCATATTATCGATGTAGAAGAATTTTCTTGTAATCAGAATTAGTGAAATCAGTATATTTAACTCTTAATGATTATTAACTATTTGAAAAAATATGTTAAAAGATACTTTGTAAATAAATACTACGCAAATGAATAAATTTGAACAATAAAAACTATTTCAACGACCATTTCTTTGTTATCTTTTATTTCAAGTTTGACTCACTTGACTAACTGTATACTAACGACACATAGTTGAGAGTATAGTAACGATTAAAATCACGGTCGGTAATTAACAATTAATTTACCGATAAATGATAAAATAGTTTTAGACCATAGATGGCGTAACAATGTTATTTTTTTATGTTGGTAAACAGTTTTTGCCGACTGACTAAGAAATCGCAAAATGTTGCGATTGGTCAGAAAAATATTGCCTATTCCAATACACTCCGTAAATATTTACGTTTTATAATCAATAAATTAAAGAATCCTACAATTTTATTTATTCGTCCTATTTAGGTAATTAGTAATAAACAACAATGATATTCCATCGATTAGTAATAATGTAAGTAATTATGAAAACGTAATAAATAATTGAAAATAAACTAAATCAGATCGTCATCGACTTTCTGTCATTCGAGCTGTCACTGATATGAAAAATGTTTGGCTTCAGGAAATTTAATAAAAAATATTAACATCTCAAAATGTCTTAAATTAAATGTCAACTTAATCCTCAAAAAGATGAATATGTAAGTAAATGATAATCATTAAAACAGCCATCTAACCTCTTCGAAATAAATTCAACATACTTTTTATACAATGTAGTTTATGAAATTAATTTTATACCATTTTCAGCATTCGTTTACTAAATCACCAGGCTTAACTTTATTGATTAGATAAAAAAATGAGTGGTCAGTTAAATATCACAATAAGGTCTGAAGCTCGATTGGATGCGAAATGGTTAAAAACAGATTTACGACGTTTACTCTGCCGAGATGGGCTTGCGGAGCTTTGGAACGGAATGGTTCGAGATGGAGAAATAATAGGAAACTTCAGCGATGGTCTAGTGAATTCTGCTGGAGTTATAGCAAGAAAAGGTCTTTTTTTGATAATTCAAATTGAAATAACTTCCAAATACTAATATAAACACAATAAACAAACATAATTAATTTTAATTCTATGTTTTTTTTACACAGGTGACAGTGGTCATTATTATTGTAATTTAGACGTATTAACTTGTCCATGTTGTGATGGAATATGCGGTCCTCAGAGTGGCTGTAATTGTGTACCTTGTCAAAAATTAGATGAGGAAGAAGCAGCAAGAACAACAGCTTTAGTAGAAAAATTCGTACCAGCACAAAATACGATAGATTCATGGCTTTGGGGGTCCCAACTGTCATCAAGTGATTGGTTGAATTGCATAGAATCATTGATTAAAGAACAAACTACCTTATGTCACGAAGTTGCCAATAGTACCTTATCATCAATACGTTTGCGGCAACGAGTGGTAGTCGCACGTAGATATTTTACTGCCTTGTCACGCCACAAACCTCAGGAGAACAAAGAACCTATGACTGTATCAAAGACTGCAACAAAAATACAAAAAGTATCCAAGCCAAGTGAAAAAGCAGCCGTGGGTTTAGCGAGAGTTGGAACACGAGCTGCACTTAATTTTTCATTTGCTTATCTCCGAAGAGCATGGCGATCTGGTGAAGATATTGAATTCTGTAGTGAAATACTTTCTGAATCTCTAGAAACTCTTCAAGCATTACCTGAAGCGACTGTATTTGAAGAAAATAGTAGCTCTCAAGTGTGGCTAGAAGTTGTAGAAAAATCAGCCAAATTTTTACGTCAAGTAGTTAATGGTGATGTTACGGATAGATCTTGGTGTCCAGTTCCAGTATCCGACCAACATACAGCTCTCTGTCTTTTACTAGAATTAGTGATACAAAAAGGTACTCTGTCTGGTATTTTAGACTCAGTAATTTTACTTTTACATCTCAGTGGAAAAACGAAAAATCAAGATAATAGAGTCATACCACCAGGAAGTTCAGCACCACTAGTACCACTTCTTCGACGTCTCAATTCCATTCCAGCCCCAAAATCTCGTCGTGTAGATGATAATTTAACTCCAGGTCCTTGTGAAGTTCTTTTGAAATATTTAACACTCCCTGAAGATGATAAAGTTGCAATAGATTTACGAAAAGCTGCTGTTGTGATAATGTGCAATTTAAGTCGATTGGCTACTCCACATCTTCCTCCTTTAATTACTGACAGTTTGTCTAAAATCCAGTCTCAAACTTTTCAAGAAGTGTTAGTCTGGGGAGGAGTGAAATTTGGTAACGGGTCATCTCCATTTTACTGTGATGCTATTGCAGAGCTTGGAGTTAAACAACTTTGCTGTGCAGAACGTGCTTTAATGATTTTAACACAAAACGGTCAAGTTTATACCATGCATTATGGTTCAGAAACTCAATATCCTCAGAAAGTATCTGGCTTTACGAATGAAGTTATCAAAATGATTGCAACACATCCTGATGGAAGGCATTATATGGCATTAACTGAAGACGGAGTAACGTATTCATGGGGATGTGGAAATAGTGGAAGACTTGGCCATGGAGATACCAATTCTTACGATGACCCTCAAGTAATTAGAGTACTTGAAGATAAAAACGTTACATTCATAGCTTGTGGGAGTACTTATTCTGCTGCCATAACAGCTACAGGAGAACTTTACACCTGGGGAAGAGGAAATTATGGTAGACTAGGCCATGGAATCTGTGATGATATTTTAATACCAACGGTAGTAACTGCATTAAATGGCCATGTAGTTGTTTATGTTGCTTGCGGAACTGGAGATGCTCAGACCTTATGTGTAACAGCTTCAGGAATAGTTTTTTCTTGGGGAGATGGAGACTATGGAAAACTCGGTCGCGGTGGTTCAGATGGTTCTAATCTTCCTAAAATTGTTGATAAGCTTTTGGACATTGATGTAGTTAAAGTTTATTGTGGTGGACAATTTTCAGCAGCATTGACAGCCCAGGGAGAAGTTTATACGTGGGGCAGAGGAACTGCTTATCGTTTAGGACATGGAAACGAAGAGCACGTACGATATCCAAAATTGGTTGAAGGATTAAAAGGTAAAAAAGTGATAGAACTTGCTGTTGGTAGTGTACTCGTACTTGCATTGACTGAAGATCAACAAGTTTATGGCTGGGGAAGGAATGATTATGGACAGATCGATCCTAGTCTTGGTTTTACTAAGGTATCAGAACCTTGGTTGTGTAGTGCATTAACGGGAAAAAGTGTAATTGGAATAGCATGTGGACCAACTCAAAGCTTTGTTTGGTGTTTATCAACATGGTCTGTAGCATCGCGTATCGTTTTTGTTGTTGACGTGTGTGAAGAAACATTTAAATTACTTGACATACTACTTGCCAAGTCTTGTGAAGGACTACCAGGTACTCGACCACCAACTCAAGACCGTGAATGCCTTGCAGTAGCAACTTTAAATTTATTAAGACTACAACTTCATGCTATGATCTCACATGGAATTGATCCTAAATCGGTTGGACTCTGTTGCAGTAATTTATTGAACTCTTTGAAACAACGATGCGTTCATCTAGCAAGTGGTGTAGGAATTTTAGCTACTATTCAAGAAGCTGCTCAAGCAGTTCTTCAAACTGGTTGGAGTATTATGTTACCTACCGCTAACGAAAGAGCAAAAACTTTATCTGGTTTTTTGCCAAATTCTAACAGTGTTGAACAATTAAGTGCTAATAAAGGTCAACAATTTATGGCAGATTTATTAGTATCTAGTTTGATGGCTGATGGAGGATTAGAGCACGCTTTAAAAGCAGCTATTAAAGCAGAAGTTACAGATATATCAGATGAAAAAGAGATAATTGTTCCTTCAAATTCAACTTTAGCAAGCGAAACAAAACAAGCTAAGGAATTAAATTCAGAAAAATATAACATGACCATATCTCTTCTTCAACTGGTCAAACAACTGATTAGAAATGGCACTTGTATTACTCAGTCACAACTTCAAGCACTTCAACAAGGTAGAAGACAAGAAGAAGAAGATAAAAAAATGAGTAATTCACCAAGTTTAAATCTTCTTCTTCGATGGCAACGATTATTAATTGCACAATTATATCAATCCATCAGTATATCTAATTCCGAAGGTACACGAGACAATGAAATGATTGGAATAGAATCTCTGTTGAAAAAGTATACAATTCAAATATGTAACCATGTCACTGAAATTCTCCCTATGGCTAGCGAAATATCAGCAATTAATAATAAATATTTTATGGTAGTTGCGACTATTTTAAAAGGAGATATTGTGAATGTTCTATTACCTGAACTTATAGTTTGTTTGATTCTTCTTCAAATAGATTATTCTATGCTGCTACGAGATATGAACTGGATGACTGTCTTTGCACCAGTTTTGGATGTTTTAGATCAATTTAATCGTCTTGCTCCTACGATAGATAAAGAAGATGCAGATGATATGTCTTGGCCAGGAATAATTGCTCCTCAACAAGGAAACAAAGCTTCCAATGCTGAAGAACCATCACTGATCCGTTGGGCTGACTTAGAAAATCATAATCGTGATGGAGGGCATTGGATTGTCATCAATAATCATGTTTATGATGTTCAAGAATTTTGTCGTGAAGGTTCTTGCACTTTAGAGATGTTTCAGAGATATGCTGGAAGAAATATTCCTACTATCAATACCATAATTCCTCCTCATTTGAATACAGGAATGATGGATTCGTATTTTGTTGGATATTATTGTCAACCAGAACCTGACTCTACACAATTTCCTATCGAAGTTGTGGATGTTTGTTCATCTTTATTAGATATGGAACGTTCTCTGAGTTTTCTTCTTGGCCTTCACGCGCACAGAATGCGACAAAGTTTTGCATTGCTTCCAGCAGAAATAGAAGCACACCTTTGGCTAGATGCTAAATTTCTTCGTGGTGGTCTTCAAATTCTTCAACCACCGAATCCATATGAAGAAGAAAAAGGAGAAGCTCGAAGTACTCATTCCACGCCTGCAAATTCACCAACAGAGCCTGTAGTTCCTATTTCGAGTAAAGATAAATTACAAAAAGTATCTGATGATCGAGTAAGTGCTTTTATTCAAGCTCTTGCTGAAACTCACAAAACTAATACCTATGTCCAAACATTTTTGACAATGGTAGATAAGTATAGCAAAGCAAATAATTTACTTTCCCATGTTGATTTTTGTGGAGATCATCCTGTAGAGGAAGTAGGTCGACTTCTTATGGCTGTAATAATAAAACATCTTGCTCTTGGGCATCAAACGATTATGTTAGTTGATCAAGAGCTAGCTGATGGTAATGCAAAACTAACCAGACCTTTAGGAGATATGGTAAAAACAATTCATCAAACGAAATGGAATTTAATAAAAACTAGACAATTACAAAATCGAAGTTACAAAGAAGTTTGTGCTCCTGTTCAAGACAAATGTCGATTTTTACTTTATGAAGTTAGACCAGCAACTAGTTATGAAGTTAAAGGGTATCAGAACTTGAAATTATTATATACAATACCAAAATTTAAAAAAGTAGTGCACAGTGTTATTACAGATATCAAGAAAAACAAAGAAACATCAGGTAAACTTGAAGACATAGTAAATACTTCTATTCAAAATACGAAAGGCAGAAGAAAATCTGAAGACTGTTCTACACCAAAAGAAGCTACTACACCAATCACAGTTATGCCTGAAAAATTGGAAGATAATCAGAGTAAAATGAATATCCTTCTTCAGTCGATAGAAAAAATGGAAAGTAAAACATTAGTTATTGATCCTCATGAATTAATGACTGATATAATTAATTTTGCCATCTCTGAAGAAGGTGGAGATGTAGAAAACCTCCGTCGAGCAATGTATTGTCAAATTCAGCGAGTAAAAATGCGAGAAAAAGGAATTAAAATGATCAAAAAATTGTTAACAAAAGATTATTTAATTACTTCTGTCAAATATTCATTATTAAATGGTTGGCTCGGTCTTATACCTGATAATACTCAATTATCAAGAAGAATAACTCATTGTTTAAATGACATTCAGCTTGTTACACCATACCAAAAAGCAAAAGTACTCTTGGCTGAAGCTGAAGTGACATCTTGGGCAGTTCAAGCACTCAGAGCTTATGTAATTCAAGCTGAATTACCTAGCAAAGAAAAAGTAAGTGGAAAGAGTAGTTTAAATCAAGGTACTTATACCTGGTTGAGAAAGTTACCACGTGCAAGATTTTTATTAGCCATTCTTGGTATGTTAACAAATCATCATTATGCAAATGAAATAGGACTCTTAATTAATTCCGGCTTATTGTCAAATATTTTAACACTACTTCGACAAATAGGGCCTTCAGCTAAAAATGAAACTGTCAGAGTACCAGAAACTACAGCTATTTATGAAGACTCAGTGCAAAAAAATGAACCTCATACAGTTCAGTTAAGTGGACCAGAACTCGCAGCTTTAATGAAAATTGGTACTAGAGTAGTTCGAGGTGTAGATTGGAAATGGGGAGAACAAGATGGTACTCCTCCAGGTGAAGGAAAAGTTATTGGAGAGCTTGGAGAAGATGGTTGGATTAGAGTACAATGGGATAATGGAACAACGAATTCATATCGAATGGGAAAAGAAGGAAAATATGATTTAAAACTTGCTGAACCGCCTATTCCACTTGAAAATGACTCTGATGATGAATCTCCAATTGATACGAATAAATCAAACGAAGGAAGTAAAAAAGAAATTCACCCCACTACTTATTTAAAAAGTGCATCGACGAATTTGTTAAAAATTCTACTTTTATCATGTGGACTTAACGCCGATGGTATTCAAAAATCTGCTGTAACAATTCTTTCATCTATTCTTCGAGGAATAATTTCATTAGCTAATAAAAATGATTCGAGTATTGCTACTCAATTAGCTCGAGAACATCATGAAACATGGGCAACTCTTGGCCTATTGAAAACTATCGCAAATTTTCCATCTCTATGTCGAGCTCTCAGTACACCAGCATGGATCGATTTTCTTCTGAGTTTGATTGCTGATGAACTGGAAGTCAATTTATGTAAACAAATTATGGCGATTAGACTTTTATCAGCTGTATTGAGCTCCTGGTCATCTAATAGCCCTGAAATGACTCCATTTTTAGAGAAAGTATTTAAATTATTGGGACAAATTGCATTGAGTTGTGAAGCTGGTGTTACTGGAGAGCTGCATAGTAATAAATGCAGAGTGTCTATGACCGCATCTCATAGTTCGACATTGGCTGAAGAATTAATAGCTTTAATAAGACATTTACATTCTCTTCCAGGATGGAGTGATGCATTAAATTCATATTTAATGGAAAAAATGTCCTTAGCTGCAGATTTGTTAACAGATGGACCACTATTTCACATACAAATGAATGAAAATGGTGGAGAAAATAGTACGTTAATTCAACAGACTGTGATGGCTACTTTAATTGTTATTGGTGGTTTAGATAGTAGACCTAGAATTGGTGGTATTGTTGAAGTTGATGGAGAAATAGCGACTATATGTAAATTTACTCCTCACTCAAAGATAGTTGTGCAATTACGTGATACTGGAGTGAAGAAAAAAGTTCTCTTTAATACAATTGTGAATATTCCACAAAAATTTTATTTAGATAGAATGACAATGACTGAATCTCTATTATTTGCGTGGGCGAATTTATTACTTGGTCATTATAATATGGACAGAAGACCCGGAGGAATGCCAGTGATTGCTGGAGTTGTTAATTCATCAATTCTACGAACTCAACAAGAACATTTAGCAGCTTTAAATGCTGGAAAAGCGTTATTAGGATATCAAACGATTCTCCGACAAGTTTTAAAATGTGCTGTAGCAGCAGGAGATGATGAAAGAAGAATTTTATTTCAAGAAATACTCACTAGAGCAGTAAAACCACAACCTTTAAAACCAATTTTTAAGAGAGATGAGTTAGAAGCTGCTGCTTTAGCTGTATCTCAATATTTAGCATCAGAATTACGTCACATTCCTATTCATAGATCTGGTTTAATATCAGAACCAACAACTCCGACATCAGATTGCTCTTTAGCATCATTAACGTCTAGTCAAAAGAGATATTGTAGAAGCAGTGGAAAGAAATCCATCACTAGTCCTCTAGTCACTCAATTAACAGAAATGGGCTTTCCTAAAAAGAGTGTCAAATATGTCATAAAAAATTTAAGCGTCACTGAAGGCAATATTACACCAGAAACTGTTGTAGCTTGGCTGATTGAGAAAGCGGATACAGCTTTTACTGAAATGGATGCTTTATCAAGTTCTGAAACTAGTTCAGAATCTGAAGAATCTTCAAGTGAAGAATTAGATGATTTATCATCAATCCATGATGTCTTAACACCTACTTATATGAAAAGATCTGATTTCTTATCTTTTGATGAATATGCCATTTATGTCAGAGATAATATCGCCCCTGGAATGTTGGTTAGATGTTGTAAAAGCTATGAAAAAGTGGAGTTTGGAGATATTGGTCGAGTTGTTAAAATAGACCCTGAAGGTCTTCATGATTTAAATGTCCAAGTTGCTTGGCAGCATAAAGATGGTACATATTGGGTACGATTCATTCATATTGAACTTCTTGGACACTCTCCAATTCCTGCTCTTAAAATTGGAGATAAAGTAAAGGTTAAATCATCAGTTGCTGTTCCAAAATATAAATGGGCTTCAGTGAATCAATCCAGTGTTGGTATTTTAACTGGATTCATTAATAATGGTAAAGATGTTTCTGTTGATTTTCCTGAATACAGTAACTGGATTGGATGTATAGAAGAAATGGAACGAGTACCATCATGCCATCATGCAGTTTCTTGTAATGCATGTCATTTATCTCCAATATCTGGCCCAAGATTTAAATGTAAAGTTTGTGAGAATTATAATCTCTGTGAAAATTGTTTTTATACTAAACGATCACATCGTCATGGCTTCAATAGAATTACTGAGCCTGGATCTGCAGCAGTTTATGCTGGAAGACCTGGAAGATATAACAGACAAGATATCACAAAATCTCCTTTGATTGAAGATTGGTCCAAGTGTATTAGAACGTTGAGTGTATCTTCGAGAGAAAATTGGGCTACAAGGTTAATTGATGGATCAGGAAAATATTGGCAAAGTAATGGATCAACAGGTAAACATTGGATTCGTTTAGAAATGATGCCTAGCATTCTTATTGATTCATTAAAGATAACAGTAAATCCATCAGATGGAAGCTATATGCCATCGTTAATAGCAGTTAATGCTGGAGATTCTTTTAGTAGTCTCTTAGAACTCGCTACAATTCCTGTAAAAAATACTGATGAAGAAATTACTCTGCTACAAGACATGCGAGAATATTACCCTTGCATTGAAATCGCTATAAAACAATGCAGAAATGGAGGAATAGACTGTAGGATCCGTAATCTTCAAATTGTTGGAAGAAAAAAATTATTTGAAAATCAATTAGCAACATCTGTGTCATTTTTAGCATCTGATTGGGAAGCTGTGCAAGAGCAAATGACTGCTCAAAGAATCGGAGATGGTCCTCAACACTCGGCTGTTTATGTTTGGGGTCTCAATGATAAAGATCAATTAGGAGGATTGAAGGGATCAAAGATTCAACTCCCAGTCTATAGTGAAGTTTTATCTAAATTAAAACCAGTATATATAGCTGGTGGAAGCAAAACTCTGTTTATTGTTACTCAAGAAGGCAAACTCTATGCTTGTGGAGAAGGATCACATGGTAGACTTGGACTTGGAAACAACAATAATGTTTGTGAACCAAAACAAATTCCATTCTTAAGTCAATATATAATTAAAAAGGTAGCTGTACATTCAGGAGCAACTCATGCATTGGCTTTGACTCAAGATAGTAAAGTATTTTCTTGGGGAGATGGAGAAGATGGTAAACTAGGACATGGTAACCGTGTATCTTTAGACAAACCTCGTTTAATTGAAGCTTTAAGATCTAAACGTATTAAAGACATTGCATGTGGTTCAGGACACTCAGCAGCTATTTCTAGCAATGGAGAGCTTTATACTTGGGGACTAGGAGAATATGGACGTCTAGGACATGGTGATACGGTTACTCAACTGAAACCCAAGCTAGTCGAAGCTTTAGTTGGTCAAAGAGTTGTCCAAGTCGCATGTGGCAGTAAAGATGCACAAACATTAGCTCTCACTGAGGATGGATCTGTGTATTCATGGGGAGATGGAGATTTTGGTAAACTCGGAAGAGGTAAAGGCGGTGGTTGCTGTACTCCTTTATTAATTGATAGATTAAATGGATTAGGTGTTGTTCAAATAGAATGTGGAGCACAATTTTCATTAGCTTTAACAAAATATGGAGAAGTTTGGACCTGGGGAAAAGGTGAATATTTTCGACTAGGACACGGGGATGTTGATCATGTGCGAGAACCAACAGTTGTTGAAGGTCTCAGAGGAAAAAAAATAGTTCATGTGGCAGTTGGAGCACTTCATTGTCTCGCAGTAACAGACACAGGTCAGGTGTATGCTTGGGGAGATAATGATCATGGTCAGCAAGGAAATGGTTCGACAGTATGTAATCGGAAACCGTCTTTAGTTCATGGATTAGATGATATAAAAATTAATAGAGTAGCTTGTGGATCGAGTCACAGTGTCGCTTGGATTTTAACTAACCAACCTTCACCAAATAATCAAGATCCTGTGACCTTTCCTACTGCTAAAGATCCTCTTGGTCAAGCATCTCTAGGATTCATTGAAACTTCAGAATCAACGACGGCAACACCAGATAAAAGTGCCAGGCCATCTTTATCAAGTATTATTTTATCTTTAGAGAGTAATGTTGCTAAACAACAAGCTCTTCAACATGTCATCAATGCTTTATATATTATACAAGCTAGAGCTGCAATAGTTACTTCCTTAAGAAGTCATACAACTTTAACGTCCGCTGAAAAATCTCCTCAACCTGATTCTCCATCAGAAGGAACGATGAGTAGCAGTGTAGGTCATACAGTTTATCAAAATGTCGGAGAAATTGCCCAAGGTGGTGGAGAAGCTCCAGCAAATGCTTCTGAAGTATCAACATTAGGTGGAAGCCCTAGAGCTACTCCAGCTCTTGAAGATTTTCCAGTATCTATCTTCCCATCAATGTCAAGTTCTGCAAGTTTATCTTCCAGAGCTTCAAAGATGTCTACAAGTGCAATGAGTGTTATTGCTGCTACTTTAACGTCTAATGCTCAAGTTGTTGGAGAAGGAGGAACAATAGAAAATGGTTTAGATGAATTTACTTCAACATTAACAGAAGATGATGCTAGAATGCTTGTGGATCTTCTTAAATTAGCTGTGGCCAATCGAGTCAATGATGGAGCTAAAGAAATCATTTCATCAGTTCTTATATCTCTAGCTAAATCGAATTCTCATATTAAAAATATGTTGCTTGAACTTTGTGTGACAGAACTTGAAGATACTGCAGCAAATTCTAATTGTATTAGTAAAACACCACAACCAGTAGTTCAAGAAACTCCACATCCTTACTTTGATGACACAACATTAACTGGTCATGTCAAAATTCCAGGAGCAGAAGCATTAAGAGTTGAGTTTGATCGTCAATGCTCAACAGAACGTAGACATGATCCACTAACAATAATGGATGGAGCAGGACGAGTAGTAGCAGTAAAATCTGGCCGAGAATGGTGCGAATGGGAAGCAGAAATAAAAATTCAAGGTGATGAATTATTTTGGAGATTTTCTTCTGATAGCTCAGTTAATGGTTGGGGCTGGAGATTTACAGTTCATCCAATTGTGGCTATTCTCGCTCCTCATGAATTAGGATCTGATCGTGCTGTCTTGACACAGCCATCAATAATCTTAGCTGAATGTCTTTTAAATAATAGTTTATTAAATTCTGATAAAAATATTGTCACAAGATTAGCAGCAACTTTAGCACAATATAATCAATTAAGTTTACTTACTCCTCAACAAAGGATGTGGGCATTAAAGAAGCTTCAAATAGTATATTTAACACATTTGAATGGACCAGGAATAAGAGCAGATGCTGCTTTATCATCACTCTTGAGCTCTCTTCCACAAGCTTTATTACGACAGTATGAATATGAAGATCCAGCAGTACGAGGAGGAAAGCAATTAATGTACAGTGACTTCTTTAAAGTTTTAGTAGCACTAGCTTGTGATGTAGAATTAGATTCAATGCCTTGTTGTTCAGAAAAACATAAATGGTCATGGTTTAAAGGATATTGTCTTGCAGCTCGAGTAGCAAAATCTCTGATCAATAGAACACCACTACCAAAATCATTTTGTACTGAAGTAACAAAAGGAATTATTGAAATGACGACTGATGCAGATGAAGGATCAAAAGATCATGAAAATCATGAGCTCTTTAAACGAGAACATGATGAACAACTTCTACTTTGGGTCAACAGAAGACCTGAAGATTGGACACTATCTTGGGATGGATCTGGTGCAATTTATGGATGGGGACACAATCATCGTGGACAATTGGGTGGTTTAGAAGGGGCAAGAATTAAATTACCATCACCATGTGAAAGTTTATCTGCTTTAAGACCTGTTCAGCTTGCAGGAGGAGAACAGACTTTGTTTGCAGTCACTGCTGATGGAAAAGTTTACGCTACAGGAAATGGATTAACAGGAAGACTTGGTATTGGTGGAACAGCTTCTGTTATGGTTCCTACGCTTTTAGAATCAATTCAACATGTATTTATTAAAAAAATAGCTGTAAATTCTGGTGGAAAACATTGTTTAGCATTGTCATCTGAAGGCCATGTGTATTCATGGGGAGAAGGTGTTGACGGGAAATTAGGACATGGTGATGGAATAACTTATGAACGTCCTAAACTGATTGAAGCTTTATTGGGCATCGAAATCATCGACATAGCTTGTGGAGGACATCATAGTGCTGCTATAAGTAGTACTGGGCTCCTGTACACTTGGGGAAAAGGAACATATGGTCGACTAGGCCATGGAGACAGTACTGGTCAATCGAAGCCTAAAGTTGTTGCCGCTCTTCAGGATTATAAAGTTGTTGATGTTGCTTGTGGTAGTGGAGATGCCCAAACTCTTTGTGTAACTGATGACGATAATGTTTGGAGCTGGGGAGATGGTGATTATGGAAAATTAGGACGAGGAGGAAGTGATGGTTGTCAAATCCCTATGAAAATAGAATATCTCGCAGGATTGGGAGTAATTAAAGTTGAATGTGGAAGTCAATTTTCGGTTGCATTGACCAGATCTGGTGCTGTTTATACTTGGGGTAAAGGAGATTATCATAGATTAGGACATGGAAATGATGATCACGTAAGAAGACCAAAAAAAGTCGCAGCTCTTCAAGGAAAAAAAATAATATCCATTGCGACAGGCTCTCTGCATTGTGTCGCATGTTCAGATAAAGGAGAAGTATTTACCTGGGGTGATAATGATGAAGGACAATTAGGAGATGGTACAACTAGTGCTTTACAAAGACCAAGACTTGTCTATGCACTTCAAGGTAAGAAAATTACTCGTGTAGCGTGTGGAAGTGCCCATACTCTTGCTTGGAGTACTAGTAAAGCTACTCCTAGTCGACTGCCAGCATCTACACCAATGGAGTATGATTTATTAAAAGATTTTCCTCCGTCAGTACTCCACAATCGTTTAGTTCTTCTTCATTATTTTGCTGAGCTTCTCTATCCATCTCTTATGATGTTCCCGATATCAGGATCGAATGGACTAAATAAATTAGCACCAATGTTAGTTTATAGCATCAAAGAAGCAACATTCAGAAAAGTGGTTCAAGCTACAATGATCAGAGATCGTCAGCATGGTCCGGTAATTGAATTAAATAGAATTCAAGTAAAAAGAGCAAGAAGCAAAGGAGGATTAGCAGGTCCTGATGGAATAAAATCAGTTTTTGGACAGATGGTATCTAAAATGTCTCTATTAACTCAAGATGTTCTCTTCTTGCCTCACAGAGTTTGGAAAGTTAAATTCGTTGGAGAAAGTGTTGACGATTGTGGAGGAGGTTATAGTGAAAGTATTGCTGAAATGTGTGATGAATTGCAAAATGGATCACTTCCTCTATTTATTCCAACACCAAATGGACGAGATGACAATGGAACCAATCGTGATTGTTTCTTATTAAATCCAACAGCAAAATCATCTCTACATATAAATATGTTCCAATTTTTGGGAATTTTGATGGGAATTGCTATTAGAACTGGCAGTCCATTAAGTTTAAATTTAGCAGAACCTGTCTGGAAACAACTCGCAGGTATACCATTAACACCTGCTGATTTGACTGAAGTTGATCGAGACTATGTCCCTGGATTATTATGCATTCGAGACATGGATCCTGATGAAAAAGTCTTCCAGACATTGGAAATGCCTTTTTCAACTCCTTCAGCATATGGTCATGATGTTCCATTGTCCAGCAAATACAAAAAAATCACGCCTGAAAATAGATACGAATATGTTAAGCTTGCACTCAATTATCGATTGCACGAATTTGATGCACAAATTGCTGCTGTTCGAGAAGGAATGTCTAAAGTAATTCCAGTTCCTCTATTGGCATTATTCAGTGGTGCAGAGTTGGAAACAATGGTCTGTGGTAGTCCAGATATTCCTTTAGGGCTTTTGAAATCAGTTGCAACGTATAAAGGTGTTGAAGCAACATCAAGTCTTGTTCAATGGTTCTGGGAAGTCATGGAAGAATTTTCTAATCAAGAAAGATCCTTATTTTTGAGATTTGTTTGGGGACGAACTCGATTACCTCGTACTATTCCAGATTTCAGAGGTCGAGATTTTGTTCTTCAGGTAAAGTTAAAAATGCTTTTATTAATTTTATATCAAATAATAAATAATTTTGACTCATTTTGAATTAGATAATTAAAACTTGTATTACTTTTTAGGTGATGGACAAGTATAATCCACCGGATCACTTTTTGCCAGAAAGCTACACATGTTTTTTCTTGTTAAAAATGCCTAGATACTCATGTAAAGCAGTACTCCGACAAAAACTAAAATACGCTATTCATTTTTGCAAGAGCATTGACACGGATGAATACGCTAGAGTTCAAGCTGCAACTAATTCTGATACGGATGATGATGACAGCTTAGCTAGCGAAGAGCATACGTCCCTTTAGATAGATTGATGGTTGTATGAAATAACGCTTTCGATGTGAAGCACTGCTTAACAGGGATATACTTCTCAGAGAAATTATTTTTTTTAATCAGTATTTAAAAAATCGAAACACACCACGTAATAACATCATTGCTTTTAGATCACACTTTAGAAAACGTAGTTACAAAATATATAAAGCGATTAACGACGAAGCATTATTAATTTTGAATATGCTTTGCTCTGATTTATTTATTTTTTTGCATAAATAAGTCATTATTTCAGGTCTTTATATCGCTTACACATAATTAACAGATACTGACCGGTTGTTATTTTACTAGCCAATTGTATGAAAGATAAACAACGTGAGAAAAATGTCAATAAAAATAAATAAGTAGTTATTATGAATTTTTTTGTATGACTGCTAATGTGAATTTGTTATTTTATTGAAATCATGAATTTGTTAATACTTTTTTGTTCCTTAGATAGAAACTATTTTCCAATTGTCAATAAGTACTCTGTAAAGTTTTGTTTATACAATTTTTCTTACAACTGTGAAGATTTATAAATTATTAAATTAAATAATTAAATAATAATATTAATAATACTAAAAAAATATAGTTAATAATACCTATGCATAGTTTTAATGATAATTAAAAATAAAATAAAGAATTCTATATATATATTATTGAATGTTTTAATTTATAATTATATTATTTTATTTTTTTAAACATCTAACTTGGCCACAAAATTTTTTATACTAAAAAACCCAACTCGTTATTTACATTTCAAGGTCGACTTGTTTTCTGCGAGGTCTTTGACTGAGATTTTTATGAAATTCAATCGTTTGTTCAACGCTAACTAGTCAGGAAGTTTGACTTTTTAAAGTCTTTTTACTTTATTTCTAACTATCTTAATTATATGACGTTGATTAAATGACATGAAGAAAAAAATACAATCAAAACAAAATATTAAAAGGAAAAATGCAAATTATTGAGATTGAAAAATATGCTCAATGATAATGTAAATTATCATTTATGTGAATATTTATTTATCAGTGTGGACATGATGTATGCTAGCAGAAACCTACACGTATGTAAATACTATATAATGAAAACGATTGAAGAATAGTTGTAACATAGACGCTTAGTGATGAACATTGGTAAACGCATATTATACGCATGATTGTGTGGCCAATGGCCTTGCACATACGTGCATCTTGTCAGTCAGTGGTTCAAGCACGTGGTAGTTTCAATCGAGAGAACTTCACTAGTAGATAGTTCAACTGACCAGCAATATGAGAGTGCATCAGTGACACGTATATGAAGACAATGCCACTTCAAGCATGTCTAGAGTTTTAATTAAAGTCAAGACTTCAGCATCAACTTAGAGATCTTCTTTCGTTGTTATCAATCCTTGTAACACAGCTTCTTCAGGCAAGTATCTAACATAAGTGAATAAAAGAAATTATCAATATTATTATAATCTGAATGACATGGTTGACCTGCAAAACGGTTGGTAATTATTCACAAAAATTTTTATCTTTAATTCTCAATGTTATTTCTTCCTCATTAATATCAAAAATTAATTAAAAAATTATAAAAAGAATACAAGAAATTTTTGTTTATGATTATGAGAACACAAAAAAAAACAATATTTACTTAAACGGCAAAAGCTTTTATGAAAGTTTAGATGAGTTTATCGCGGTCTTATATTGCAACATATTCTGTCAGTAGGAAGCCCCACCATTTGCTTTGATTAGCCCGGGATGCCTACATGATGTAAATAATGAAGACAGAAAGAACAAGAAAAAAAATTCAATTTATACTTGTTTATACTATTTTTTTTTTATTTTATAAAGTCCAGCTATCAAGTACCAACCATGACGAGAATTAAAACAGTCCGTACATCTACAGTGGATCAGTATTGTACTGGCATCAAAACCATCATCAACCAAACGGGCAACATGTTTCGCACGGTCAAGAGCAAGGTGATTATGAATTTCTTATCTTCTGTCAAAGACTAAAAAAATTTTTTCACTTAAAATAAAGTAATCAGTTCACTTTAACATTTAAAATTTCTTTTATTATAGCTAAACCCTTGGGGTTCTCCAATAAAGACAAGAAGAAATGTTCTTACAAAAGCTGCAGAAGACTCAACAAATGTTAAACCCTCACTACCAGAGTTTGCTGACGTTGTTATAATTGGTATTATGATGAAAGCAATTGAGTAATTAAATGATCAAGAGTTCACAATGTGGCTAAAATTGTAGGTGGTGGAAGTGCCGGTTGCAATGCTTTATATTATCTAGCTAAACAAGGGACCAATGCTATACTTTTGGAAAAATCAAAATTAAGTGCAGGGACTACGTGGCATACAGCAGGAATGTATTGGAGATTACGACCAAATGATGTTGATATCCAATTGCTTGATGCCACAAGAAATACCTTACTACGTTTGGAGGAAGAAACTGGACAAAGTCCTGGATATATCCAAAATGGAGGACTTTTTATAGCTCATAATGAAGTAAATCAATTTTTTATATTAGCTTTAAATTTTTAAGAAACCAATTCAAATATTTTCTTGCATAACGATATTTTTGAAAAAAATTTTTTGAATATCTTAAAAAAGAAACGTTATCTCTTAAGTAATAACTTTATCATTAAAAATTACATTATCTCAAAACGTGAAAAAATAAAAATAAAATCAAGCTAATAATAAACACAATTGATTTTCAATTTAGACACGAATGGCTGAATATAAAAGATTAATGACAGCTGGCAAATATTTTGGAGTAGAATCTTATGCTCTAACTCCGCTAGAAGCAAAAAAACTATTTCCACTTCTTGATGAAAATTCATTTACCGGAGCAATATTTAGTCCTCAAGATGGATCAATGGATCCTACTATGCTTATCAATGCATTAACAAAATACGCTAAAGCACAGGGTTCTCGAGTAATTATTTTTAAAAAATCAATTTATAATAAATAATCAATTAATTATAAATAGTTTAATGAAAATTTTAATTAGGTTATTGAGGGGTGTTCAGTAACCAGGATTTTAACTCATGAAAACGAATATGGTTCACGACATGTGATTGGTGTAGAAACACCTTATGGAACTATTCGAACAAAATGTATTTTAAATGCTGCAGGAGCTTGGTCTGGACAAATAGCTAAATTAGCAGGAGTTAATATACCTCTAATCCCGATGAAGCATGCATATGTAGTGACTGAGCCTATGGATAATGTTCAGGGTCTTCCTAACATTCGAGATCATGATAGTAGTATTTATATTAAAGTACAAGGATCATCATTATCCATTGGAGGATATGAATCGAACCCCATTATTCTTAAATCTGTGAGTAAATAAATAAAAGAGTATTAATTGATTTAAAAAAAAGTTGTTTAATATTTTATTAAAATAAATTAGGTACCTCGTGATTTTGCATTCGGCCTTTATGAGCTTGACTGGACTGTATTTAATGCTCATATCAACGCCATGGTAGAATTAGTTCCTAAACTTGGAACAACAGGTATTAAAACAACGATTTGCGGCCCAGAAAGTTTTACTCCCGACCACAAACCTATCATGGGAGAAGATCCTAGAGTAACTGGATTTTTTTACTCTTGTGGTTATAATAGTGCTGGCATGATGTATGGTGGCGGTTGTGGAGAACAGATCGCTTCTTGGATTATCAATGGTCGTCCAGAGAAGCACATGTATTCTTATGATGTTAGACGATTTACTCCAGAACAGATGAAAGATCCAGTTTGGGCTAATGAACGATCTCATGAAGCTTATGCGAAAAATTACAGCATCGTTTTTCCCCACGATTCTCCTTTGAGTGGACGGAACTTCAAGAAAGATATATTTCATAATGTATTTACCAACAAAATAATCTTTTTCTAAGATAATAATATTTATATTTCTTTCTTACTCATTAATTAGTTGTATTTGTTTTAGTTACTGATTAAGTATGGGGCAATAATGGAGGAAGCTCAAGGATGGGAAAGACCAGGATGGTATCAACCAGGAAAGATAACATTAATTCCTCCCTACGACTACTATGGCAGTTATGGCTCCAATAAAAATAAAAGGAACGATTATGCAGAAACTTTGAAGAAAGAGTATACTTTTGATTTTCCAGAGCATCATAAAATAGTAATTAATTATTAAGTACTACTCAAGTAAAGTATTTCAGAAATTAATTAATGATATTTATTACTTAGATTGGAGAGGAAGCTCTTGCGTGTAGAAATAAAGCAGCACTATTTGATCTATCTTATTTTGGAAAGTTTTATCTTTGTGGAGCACAAGCCCAAGAAGCTGCGAATTACTTATTCACAGCTAATGTAAATCGAGAAGTTAATAGAGTTGTTTATACGTGTGCTCTAAATAAGCATGGGGGAGTTGAAACTGACTGTACAGTGACGTCAATAGAAGCTGGATCTGGAGGCGTTGCTGATCCAATCTTCCAAAGAAAAGCTTTTTATATTGGTAATTAATAAATTAATTGATTCTAGAGTGATTAAATGCTTGATAATGAGCTATAGAAATATACCTTAATCAATTAGTCTTTGTTAAACAAACAAGATAGAACCTTGAGTTTATATAATTACGCCAATAATTGATTTTATTTACTAAAACTTGTAAAATCAATTAATAGGATTTAAAGTTATTTATAATTCAAATGAATAACCAACTAATTATTTTTTACCAACAGTTGCTGGAGGAATGTCTTCTTTTCACACTTTCGCACATTTTAAAAGGATAATAAAGAAAAAAGGATTTGAAGCAACTGTCCATGATGCCACAGATACAATGGGAATATTGTCTCTTCAAGGACCTAATAGTAGATACGTTCTTGAAGAAGTCAGCGATCAAGATCTTGCTGACAAGTATTTCCCATTTTCTACTTGTAAAGTTTTAGAGATAAACGGGTGCTTAGTACGTACATTACGACTCAGTTATGTTGGAGAACTAGGATACGAGTTACATATTCCTAGTCAATCATGTGAAATAGTTTTTAATACTCTGATGAAAGCAGGAAAAGATTATGGACTTAAATTAGCTGGATTCCGAGCGATGTATAGTTTAAGCTGTGAAAAAGGTTACCATTTGTGGAATGCAGATCTTAGAATAGATGATAATCCAATAGAAGCAGGATTGGGATTTGTTTGTAGAAGACGTGGTGAATATTGTGGTCACAAAGTTGTTGAAAAACTTCGATCTGATGGAATAAAAAAGAAATTAGTTCATTTCCATGTCAAAAGGTAAGTTAATAAAATTGTTTATGATGATGAAAAGAATAAATTTAATAATTAATGAATTAATGTTAATAGCCCTGTCGCTCTGTGGGGTTTAGAAGCTATTTATCGTGACAATGAAATTGTAGGATATCTCAGAAGAGGAGAATTCTCTTATGTTTTTAATAACAGTATTGGACATGGGTGAATTATTAAAATATATTTATTATTTTGTTAAAAATATCATAATTGATTTTATGGAAATGTAACTTACTTTACTTTTCAGATATATTCAAAATCCAAATGGAGATTATATAACGAATTCTTTTATAGAATCAGGTAATTATGAAATTGAAGTAATGGGAAAAAGATATCCAGCTAAAGCTTACGTACACAGCCCATTTGATCCAGAAAATAAAAGACTGCAAGGTATTTATGATTAGTGAGACATTGCTGTGAATAATTTTTTGTTACATGTATTACAAAAATTGTGATTTTACTTTTGATAAAATATTATTATACATTATTATATAGTTAAAATCAATGTAGACATTTTCTCACATACCTTGTACATTCATTTTTCATGATATCAATTTTTAATCACATTATTATCTATCAATCCATGTTATGTACATCATTTAAAAATAACATTTATTTATTTATCCTACAAGAGGATTTGCATGTATCGTTACGCTATTGATTTTTGTTTCAGTCAATGGTTTATAGTTTTTAGGCTTTACAGGCAACTTTTCCAATCGTTCTAGCGTATCTAATCCATCTATGACTCTGAAAATAATATTTTAATTAATATTACTCTTTCTCCTCAGGATTTCTTTTCTACAATGTAATTAATAAATCATTTTTCGACGATACTTAAACTTTGTGAATATTCATAGAATAATTAACTTACTTTCCGAAGAGAGTGTACTTTAAATCTAAATGTGGTTGAGCAGCATATGTAATGAAGAATTGACTACCATTGGTATTAGGGCCATTGTTTGCCATTGACACTAGACCTCGTTGATTATGTTTAAGTTCTTCTTTGAATTCATCTTCAAATTTTCGATTCCATATCGATGTTCCACCTTTTCCTGTCTGTGTTGGGTCACCGGTTTGTACGATAAACCCTTTAATGTTTCGATGAAAAAGACAGCCATCGTAATAACCTTTGGCACATAATGCTAGGAAATTCTAAAACATAGAATGATGGTGAGTTTAAATCAACTCAAAAAAGTACGTATATATCAGAAAAAATTTTTTTATTTATAAAATATGTATTGATTCAATACCTCGCATGTTTTGGGACATAATTCACAAAACAACTCAATTTTAATATCACCAACATCTGTATGAAGTGTGACACTCTGTAAATAAAAAAATTATTATTGCATATTGATACATGATTGTAGAAAAATAAAATATTTTCATACAATCTATGAATTTTTTTTTTCTACAAACCATTGTATAGTTTTATTATCACGTCGTTACACAAAGCATCAAAACAAACACGTCACATTTATGCTTGCACATTTTTCAGTGCGTTGAACTGAACATACTATAGTAAACTATACACAATGCCGCCATATTGTAATAGTCATATGACTGTCGCCATTTTGACATCAAAGTCAAATTAGTTACTATTTGCAATAACATTTGAATTATCACTATAAAAATTGTAATAAATAAGTTTAAAAAATTTATTTTTAATTATTTAAAAATTTCTAAGTTTGTATAAAAAGATTTATGATAAGACATTGTAAACATAAATAATGAATTTGACTAAAGCGTGAGTGGAAAGGAATTTCGACAGTAACGCCACCAAGTCGAGGCGAAAGACTCTCCACAGTCGTCGCCGTTTAGTAAGTCGCGGTTAGACTAAAGTTAATTCAAAATTCTCGTAGTATTTCCGGGCTGAAAAAATCAACAGTGCGTTAGTAGAAAGCCGCGACTAAAAGCAATTATAAGACTTAAAGAAAAAAATCGGAAAAACAGGAAAAATAGTAGATACGTAGCCAAGTGACAGCGCGTACGCGGCAAGTGGCATCTCTCGAGAAACCCGTCACTCTGAACGCATGACGTAATTGTATTGATCGCGGAAGAAGAGCCGAAAGTCGCGCATTCGCCATCTTGGACGAATTGTGGAAAAGAAGAAGTTTGTGTGTTCTCGCAGGCGCGTACCAATTGTAGGAACTGTAATCCGTGGCGATCCGTGTTAAAAGTAGTTTTATTGGGATTTAAACCCGTTTGTGAACTGCAACCCATTTGGACGGACCAAGGTAAGTCGGTATTTCTTCAAGCTGTGGCTATACTAAAGATCCTTTTTTTCTGAACGCAATAGCCTCAGAGCGGGGACTAGCCGAGTCCTGGCCGCTTCTCAAACAGTTCAAGCCAAGCTATTTAATACCGTTATCTCTATCTCACGAGACTCGGAATCCTTATCTTCATTTATTTTAACCTTCAGAACTCATAAATGTAAATTTGTTGAAAAATTCCTGTTCCCATTGTTTTGACTCCAACATGGGACATTTGACATCAGCGACTTTGAGGGGTTGGGTCGTTGCATTTAGTGCTCCCCTAAGCATCAATACAACCCCACGCTTACATTCTTCTTGATTCTCGATAACAAGTCATTTTTTTCTACTTCTTACAGTCGCCAATAGTGTCAAGAGGCGACTATATCTCTGTCTCTATCTCCCTTCAACTCCCGCTCGTCTACGTGCGAGGCTAACAAAGCTTTTCCTTGGCGAACTACGGAACAAGCAATTCCGGCCTCCTCTTGTCAGCCTTTTACGTTCCATTGGCGCAATCACAACGCACTAACTTTATTTTTCTCGTGAAAATTGTCAAGCATTTAATATCCTCTTATTCAAAAAGGAAAACTACAATTTGCATAAATTTTTTTAAATTTATAATTCTTTGACTCCGATAAAATAATATTTTACTCTCAAATGCTACCTTATTTCTTGAAACTTAATATTTGTTTTCATCTGGGTGTTTAATTACATCAATAAACATCATTAATAATGACTGTTGAACTAACACCGAGTTCATTTCTACTGGAAATCCATCCATAAAGAGAATTCATGACTAGTAAAATTGAAGTTTAATTAACTGTAATTAATTAATTGTTTGTTTATTTACAGACAAAGGGTTCGTTCGTTGGGTCTGAGTGGTACTAAATGGTTGCCTGCAGACAGCATGTCTACTCTGTCGGGGATTGTGTCGAAGGGGGAGAAAGGAAAATCCAAGTTTCAGTCATTAGATATCAATAGCTTGTACCGAGTGAGCAGGGTGAGTATTATCAATATAAACAATCAATGATTAATCAGCTAAAAAAGTAAGTTTAAAAGCAAGAAACTAAATTTTTAAAATACCCAGGGGGAATCTTTGGAACAGCACCAACAAAAAAGTACATTACCACGCAAACATGGCATGCAGAGTTTGGGAAAGGTGCCTTCGGCGCGGCGTCCACCGGCTAATTTGCCCAGTTTGAAAAGTGAATATAGCAGCAGTGATCCAGCTGTAAGTCTAGTACCTAGTGGCGGAAGCGGTTGGGCAACTACCAAGGAACCATCACCGTTAACTACTTCTACAACCACTAACGCAACAACTGCCCCACCATCCGACACTTCAACTGTAAGTTATTATTTATTTTATTCATATCCATTATTTATGCAATCATTATTAGTTGAGTAATTTACGCAAACACTTTGATAATTGCTACCTGATTGACTTATCTTAACTTTTATTTTCATAGACCAATTCATCAACGTCACAATGTGCGGCAGCGACAACTCCTGTATCAGCACCGTCACAGCAGCCATCACTGCCAGGCCAGCAGCAACAACAACAGCAACAACAAAATACTTCCCAATCTCCACATCTCTCAGAAGCAGGGAACAAATCATCATGGAGTGCAATTATGAGCAGACCCGGAGATGCCGGTAGGTTTATAGATTATAAGTCAGACATTTTATGGTCTATAAAGAATATAAATAAACTAGAATAAAATATTTACTATCGTTTTTAATAAGTAAATTGACGTATGCATCAACAAGAGTGTTTATGGAGAACTGTCAGCTTAACGGAAAATAATTTTTCATGTATTACTTTACGCACATTACTGTTTACGATTCAGATGAATGACTATACGTTAGGATTATGAATAAAATCGGGTGTTGTCGATCGAATGGCGCATATTAATCGATAGGTTCACCCGTCGTGTCAGCTGTGGTTGGTTACGCGGGACTCGTGGGGGGCGGGAGAGCGGGAAGAGGTGCCCTCGGACTGAGTTTCCTCGCCCATCAGTCCCCGCAGTTCCAACACGAGTTTCCCAGTCTCAGTGGACAGCCCTCCGTCTCCACTCAGAACCAGACTCAACAGTCCTCGACAACGACCACTGTGATCTCGGTCAATGTCCAGCATCAATCGTTGCTACCGCAACAGTCGTATTCCCACAATCATCCAGGTGGGATGCTGTTGGCAATGTAGCTGCTAGTTGAGATTCAATGTCCTTGTCAGTAGTTTTAATCCTTTTTTTTATGACTGCATTTCCCCATCAAAATACAGCTTTTAATTCTCTATGTCGTTTTAATATTATCCGCCTGAAATTAATTTTTTCTGTTTTTTTATTGTCGCTTTCACATTAATTTTGTAGATAATGAGATTATTTCGTACGATATTAAAATTATAGATATGTGCAACCATCGCTGTATATTTGCTAGTTATTAAATACTTTTAATATGTTGACCTTGGTCCACTTTTGATTCCTTACAGTCCAGGGTTCTCGAAATCGCTCATTCGATGGAATAAAATTATTGTTTTTTTTTTAAATTGATTTATTGTTCAAAAAGTTTATGCACCCTACTATGAATGGTTTATTCTTAAATTAAATCAATATTATTTTATTTATTATAGTCACCAATAATTTCTGTTAAATTAATTATATCGATGTGGTGAATGCTGACTGTCTTCGTTAATAATAAATGATTATGATCATTTATTTCGAAATAAATATTTTATTTTAATAACAGGTGCGTCAACAGGACAACAATCACAACAAAATCGCGAGATGAACGCACAGTATGGACCTGGTCCAAGTCTACGTCCACAAAGTAATTAAAATATTTATTTTTAAAAATGACTTGGACGTGTAAATAATGAATGTATTTAACATGTTGTTATTTTTATTCTAGCCGAAGGAAGTTGGATCCAAGGTGGGAGCCGTACACCAGGAGGAGCAAGTGGTACAGGAGGTGGGAGTACTCCGGTGGGCCAGGGCCCCCCTATTGGAATTGGACCAGCGCCAGGACATTCAGAGGGACTTGGTGGAGGACGTCAGAACTTGGGCCCATCACCGGTCATGGGTACGGCCCAGGCAGGCCAGCAAAGCAATCAAAGTTCCGCGTCCACAGGCGCAAATACAGCATCAGGTCCAAACCTACATCATTATCGTGGACTCATTCCCCCATTTATGTACAGAGGAAACTCCTTCCCACAAGGAGGTTTCCAACCACAAATATCGTCGTCAAACATGAGCTCAAGTGGACCACGTCCACGATTCAACAATTCTTCAGATCGTTTTCCAGCGTTTGGACGCCAGGAGGAGCGTGAAGGACGCCCTCTAGTTGAAGAAGTTGTTACTCGTCCAATTATTAAAGAAGAAGATCTTACTCGTATGGATGATATTTCGCATGACCCTGGATGGGCTGCGCAGGATGATATAGATTATAATCAGAAATTAACATTTAGTGATGATGAACCTGAGCCTGAACCGACGAAGAAAGAAGAGAAAAAGGAGTCTTCACCACCGAAAGAAGAAAAACCGGTGGAAATTTCACTTGAAGAAAAAGAGAGACTTCGTGAAACTTCCGAGTCTCCACGAGATTCTAAAGATGCCCGAGACAATTTGCAATCAGCGAATCGTTCATGGTATCCATCAGATCGTTTAGGTCCTAGTCCACGTGATTATCGTGGTTCAAATGGACCTACAACTAGAGACAACTATTCAACACAGCCGCCGTTGCGTCCAAGTCATCCTCTGCGAGGAGTTGAAGAAGAAGAAATATGGAATCAACGTCGTCGTGAACAAGGTGAAAAAGTTGCCTCAGCTGTAGTACGTGCTCGTCAACGTAAAGAAGAAGAAGAAAAACGTTTCCAGGAGTCAAAACAAGCAGCAGCTAAAAAATTACAAGATTTAGAACAAAAAATGAAGAAAAAACAGGCAAAGACAGATGATTCTGTCCCAGTTGCCGAATCTAAAGGATTAATAAATATTCCCTCTGTGCCTATTCCAGTGCCTGATTGGGAACGAGAAAGAGAGAATCGTGAGAGAGAAAGTCGTGATCGCGAACGCTCTCGCACATCCTCAGAAGATAAAGATGAAAAGCCACCGAGTCGTGAAACACGCGACAGAGATTTGATCCGTGATTCAAGAGATTCTACAAATGATTTTTCAAATCGCACTAATTTCATGAGACCACTAGACCTCAATAGAGCCGAGAGAGATAGAGATCGTGATCAAAGAGAGAATCGCGATCGTGAGAATCGTGACCGAGATCAACCAGCATTCTCACGCCAATTTCAAAGTAACTTGCCTCCACGTTTCCAGAAACAACAAGCTGAAAGAAGTGGTGCAGCTTATAATCGAGTGTCACCAAATGCTGAAAGAATTTCATCACAACCAAATGTACCATTTTCACAACAATATGATCCTGGAAGATGGTCTCATAATTCATCATCCTCTAACAATGTAAAACAATCACATTCAATGCCTTTGCCTCAACGTCGACGTACGGATTCTGACATTGCTAGTCCACTTGATGAAGATCCACGTCCACCTTCTCGTGATCATGGCAGCCAACGATCTAGAGATGATCGATTCCGACCTTCAATGCATCATCTTTTCGATGGTCGTAAATCTGGATATCATGATGATTATGGCAGATACAAAGATGATTATGATCGTGAACACGATGACAGACACAGCCGTGAGTCTTGGGATCGTGATCGTGACCGTGAACGTGACCGTGAACGCATGTATGATGATAAAGACAGAGACTCGCACTCGCGAAGTTCTCGAGATTCTCGCGACTTCAAAGATCGAGATTATCGTGATAGAGATGGTCGAGAAAGTCGTGATAATCGCGACATTAGAGAGAAGGATTATGATAATTACATAAAATCTTCGACCTTGCAAGACAACCTTGATCGTGATGATCGTGAATCCACACGAGAACGTTCAGAAAGCGGAGAATGGGGAGACAGTCGTCGTGATGATCGCAGTCTACCTGATGACAATCGTCGTGAACCTTTATCAAGAGATGACCGTATTGAACGCAATGAACGTCCACAGCGACCTGATTCTCGTGATTCTCGTACATCACGTGAATCAAAAGCATCATTGCGTGATGATGACTTCCATAAATCACGCGATTCTTCGTCTTGGATTCATGATATTTCTGATTATGAAGAAAAGAAGAGAGACATTTATCGTGATGATCATCGTGAACGTGATCGCGAACGAGATAGAAGACAACCTCCTGGACCTATAACTCGAGAAAAATTACAAGCAGAAGATTTGAAGAATGAAAAACGTAATTTAACTCAATTAAAACGTGGAGGTCCTGATCAAGAAAAGAAAGATCCTATAAAAGAATCTCCAACAGAAGTAAAGAAAGAGCCTGAAGGCTGGAGAAAATTAGATCGTACACCTGAAACCACACGTGCAAATGAGAATTCTCCAAAAGCTTGGGCTGATGCTGTATCTCCGACATTTGAAAAAGATGAAGAAAAAATTCCAGAACCAACAAAGGATGAAAAAGATATCAATGAATTGAAAGCAAGTATGGAGAAATTGAGTGTTGAGAAACGGGAAGAGTTACATGTTGAAGAAGTTAAAGAGGAGCCGAAAGATGAAAAACGTGAGAAAAATACACGAAACAGAACAAGTAGTGGAAGCTTTCGAGGTCGAGAACCTCGTGGAGGTCGTAGTTGGGGTGGAGCTTATAATGTTTATACTCGTGGTTGGCGAGGACCTGAGTCTCGTGGCCGTCGTGGTGCTGGATCTCGCTCGATTGGCCGACCTGGTTCTGCTAAAAGCGGTTCCTATGGTCATACAGATTCAGAAATCAGTGGAGACGAAGTTTCTGGCTCAACCGAATCGGGTAAAGATGAAAGGAGAACTGCTGTGTCACCCAAACCTGCACAAAAATCTGATAAAGATGATCGTAATAGAGAAGTATCAAGACGTGATGACAAACGAAACTCTGGTGAGTATCCATCAGGTCGAAACGATAAACGTGGTGGTTATGATGGACGTCCAAGTCGTGAGGGCTTCGCTCCCTCTGGTGAACCTTCCAGACGTGGTCGAGGGGGGTTTCGAGCACGAGGAGCCACGTCCGGTGGCCGCATGGAAGGGTACGGACCTCCTCCGAGCAAAAGCCCTTTTTCAACAGACCGGAGCGTGGACGAGAAACAGAATACAGGAGCACAGAACTCTCCAATACCCGTGGGCGAAGGAGACAATCAGACGTCATCTACACTAGAATCTACCGACGACAAAATTATAGCTAAGCAACATGCACTCACGGCAGGCATTACAGGTAGACGTAATAAGTCACCAAATCCACAGAACAATCAGAATAAACATGATTTAGGCCATCCTAATGCAGGGCATAACACCGGTTTACAGAAAAATCTATCCAAAAAAGATGATCTCAAGTCAAAACGAACTCGAAGTGGAAGTAGGAGAAGTCGAGATAATCGAGATCGAGTTCGTGGAAGTAATATAATCAAACAGAATTCAACTGATGTGGGTAATGAAGAGTGGGAAACGACATCTGAAAATAGTGAAGATCACATTGATGACCACAAAGATAATCGTAATAGTCATAATAAACAGTATCGCAGTGGCTCTGGATCAAACCAAAATTCTGGTAATAATCCACAATCTCGTCGTCATGACCAAGTTAATAACCGTGAACAACGTGAGAAATCTAAAATTAGTTCTCGTGCGCCAGGTGCGGAGAAACGAAATGCTCAAAATGCAGCTTTCAATCAACGAAATCATTCCGGTAATATTCCTTTACAAGGTCCACAAACGCAAAATGGTCGACCTCGAAGCCAAGGTTCTGCAAATAATCAGGTTGGAAAAAATAAAGAAACAACTGTTAATCGTGTTGATGAAATTAAATTGAATGATCCTAATGCAGTGGATCAGATTATTAAAGATGTAGGTAAAAAATTCCAAAACCGTGATAAGAAATCTATTGATTCTGAAATTGAAGCTAATAATTATTCAACTGGAGGTGATGATGGAGGAAATAGTACTGAAGATAAAGTTGATGCCGATGGTTTCCAAGAAGTACGTTCGAAGAAGAATCAAAAGGATTCTAGACAAAAAGAAGAACCTAAACCATCACGTCGTGAGAAAGATAAAGAACGTGAACGAGATCGATCAAAATCTAAATCAAATGGACCTCAACCAAATGCTCAACCAACTCAGAATATTCCTCCTCTTTTGGGCCAGCCAATTCCACAGCCTGCGAATCTGCCAAGATCATTCGATCGTAGTTCGAATCGAAATAAACTTGCACCAAGGTTCCAGAAACAGAAATTGGCGAAGCAACAACAACAACATTCTAACTCTGACGGAGGTGAATCCAATAAAATTGGAGGATCTAATTCAAATTATTTGAAAGACTCCAGTGGTGGTCCAGCTCCTCCTCCATCAGTTAACGCTTGGGATAAGCCATTCACTAGCCAATTAAGATCGAATTCACCAAACTCAGGAATATCCGCAGACATTCAATTGATGTCTGGACTTACTGGGCCAAATGATCACGCACATGAGATGAATGAGCAAGCTAATTCTGCTGGAAGTAGCCAAAGAAATTCTCCTAATGGTGAAAAAGCTTTGAAGGCTGTCAAGGAATCTGTTGTAGAGAAAAATGTAGCTGATAATTCATCTCCACCGGTCCAAACTCTTATTTTTGAAAATACAAATTATTCTAAAACCACAAAAGGTCCAACGGACATGGCAATCAAGTCTAAATTTTCAAATCATATGAAATCACAACAGAGAGTTGACAAGCGAAACGAAATAGAAGAAGATAATCAGTTACATCAGCAACAAGCTCTCTCTGTTGCATTCTCTAATAAACCTAATGATTTAATGAAAGAAAAAACTCAAGAACCTATTCAAATGCCATTGTCTTTCAATAAAAGCGAAGATAATGCTGATATGAAACTAGACTTTTCATTCGATCCAGACTTGACACAACTTACAGATGACAAAAGCAAAAGCCTTGGAATGCCCAGATCGATGCACATGACTGGAGGACAAAGTACCATCTCTCCATCAACAGCTGAGTTAAATTTAAAGATAGCTTCTGTGAAAAAAGTTTGGGAAAATGCACCACCAATGCCCACAGTTGTTGAACATGAAGATGGTAGCGTTGTTACAACAGCCAACAGCTTTACTCAGAGTTTTGAAACTGGAGATGTTGATGATAACTACAGCCCTCATCAGCAGTATAACCAGAGCAATATGAAAAATGAAATTACTACGTCAACAAATGTATGCAAGGTGAGAATTCATTCAAACATCATGAATCACGCATGCCATTTACATTTGCCTATTACATCACGTTGAATTAACCTGAAGTTCCTGAAAGTAGATTATTCTTAACATTTTCATGTAACCTTCATCATTTAATTTTATTTAAAATGTCAATAATTTAACGATACATATTAGAAATAATGAAAATAAATTGCATGAGGTAAGTAAAGAATGATGGTGATTTTAAAGTGATGTAAATAGACAAATGAAGTATCTGAAACAAATATCCTGTCCCTTGTGGGAAAATGCTGACTCTTTGCCTGATGCGCAGCTGGTTCCCCCGCAGGTGAAGCCGCAGCAGCAATCCTCCGGGAGTGGCGGCGCGCAGACAGGCTCCACCGTACCCGGTCCCAGTCCTATTGGCCCTGGTCAGAGTCCCATTGGACATCCACCGGCCAGTCTTCAAGGTCCCCTGAGTCCTCCTCCATTCAATTCTACTGGACAACCCTCTCATATTAATTACCAGGTAAAAATCACTCATCATCATTGTACTTCATTCTGAAATTTAAATCAGTCTGATATTCATTATTTCTTTTATTCTGATTAACAGGAATTCCCGCAGTATCCTGGATCACAAGCAGCACAGTATGGTAGCATGTCTGCAATTCCTTCACCACCAGCGGTTTTATTTAATACAGGATCTGGACAATTGCCTGCCCAGGCTGGTGGTCTCTACGGTGCATTCCAGCTTGATCAAAGTCGATCTCCATTTACACAGTATCCGCCTTATGGTCCGTCTCTTCAAAGTTCCTATAATCAACAGAATATGTACTTACAACAACCTCCACCACATGCGCCAAACGCACCTGCACCTGATATGTATCAAAGCAACTTGTCTCAATATCGAATTCCAGCCGCTGCAGCACCACCGTTTGGTCAAAATCAACAGCTCAGCAATAATCCTAATCCAGTTTTAATAAGTTCTTCATCAAATTCTTTAATGTCAGCCAGTGTTAAACCGTCCTCACAGCCTATTGGCACTATCGGTACAAAAGCTCAACATTTTCAAGCACCATCTGCTCCTCAACCAAATCAAGTAAGTAATAAATCATAAAAATACCATAATCAATTTCTTAAATAAAGTTGTACTTAACAAATATTAATTTACATAATTGTCTATTACAGCTGACTTATATACCATACGATCCAAATCAAGTTCTTGGTGTTAGTGGAAGTTATATGGGCAACTCTCAGTTAGTTCAACGAGCAGGTCCAAGTGTACAAGCATCAGCAAACAGCTACTATAGTGCTACGTCTGGTATGTTTATATATCTTTCTCTTTAATAAAATTTATTTATTCAAATTTATTCTCTTATAAATGTCAATAAATTTCCACAGATGTATTTCCCGGATCACAAACTGGATTTTTCCAACCAGGAGGTGCAGCCCAGCAAACTGGAACTCACTACGGTCTTCAGGGGTTTGGCCAACACAGTCAAAGTCTAGCAACTGGGAATGCAGCCCCCGTTGGTCTTCAGAGTTTTAGTTCGCAATTTCTTTCTGGCTCTGGACTACAAATTGCAGCAGCTGCTGCTGCACAGCAATATCGTAATCCCACAGGTGGCTTGCCAGGACCCGCTAATGCCGCAGCAACATTTCTTAGCAAGCATCAACAGCAAGAGCAACCGAGACAGCTAAAAAGCCCATCGGGAAATCAACAAGATGTACTTGCTTCAGTTTTCAGTTCGAGTAAGTTTTATCTAGTTTTACAATTTTATTATCTTATCAATTTATCATAAAGTAGATTTAACTTGTTAGTTATTGTTTAATAATGATAAATAATTATAATTATTATTTTTTAGCACCGCAAATTCCATCTCCAAAATCTAGAAATTGCAAACAACAATCGCAATCTCAACAACCTCAACCCAGTCCAACTCAACATCATAAATATCAACAATATCAGGGCGTCAATCAGTCTGCTCTGGTAAGCAGCTACAATACAAACTATGTATGTATCATTTATTCATTATTTTTTATATATTAATTAACTTCATCATCAGTAAATACTTGAAAATAATAATAATATTAACAATTTGATTTGAATAATTTTTATAATATTATCTTAGTTTAAATTCAACAATTACAACTATTTTTTTTTGTAATAACCAGGTCCTTCAACAAAATGTCCGAGGAATGAGTATGCCACCACGTGCCGGAATTCAACCGTCACAACAACGTTATCCACCACCAATTCAAAGGCCTGTTCCTTTTCCACCTGGGCCAAATCCAAATAATCCAAGCCAACAACAACAAAATTGTATTCCTTCACAACAACAAAATCAAATAAATCGACACAGGCCAAACATTCATCAACAACAGAGAAATATGAAAATGCAACAGCAATATTACTCTGGACAAGGTCAGTGTAAAAATGGTTAGTTGTTTTTATTAATCAATATTACTCAGTATTATTACTTTTTTATTGATCTTTCATTGAAGTTTATAAATTTTAGGTAACGTGAAGATGGATACCAACGAGAAGGTTGACTCTCACAATGATAAAATAGTAGATGGATCGGCTGGCAATCAAGGAGGAGGTAATAAATCGAACGTAACTCAACAAGATGGTGACGTGAAGGAGGAAGTTAATCAACAAAATGAGTAAATCAACAACATGAAGATTTCGATGATAAACTTGAAGATGTGAATTTTTTATGAATTTAGATAACTTTGAATAATTAAATAGAAAATGAATAAGAATAATTAAATATGAAAAGAACACTTGGATGAGGATATTCAACTAATATTGAACACAATTATCAACGCATATAGTGGACTCATATATTTAATCATGATGAATTGCACTGGCTGGAAAAATAACGTGCAAACATTGTCTTATTAACTATACCTAGTAGACGATTAGATCAATACATTATTAAAAAAAAAAACTAAAAAAAAAAATGAAAAATGTGCAGTTATGAAGAAAAAAAGACGCCAAGTTGCAGGACGTGTATGCACTTTTGCCTTTGTAGCTTAGCGAGAAAATCTACCCAATTGTCCTTACTGGCATAAATAAATTACCTCATGAAGTTGAATGTTCGTATCACCGTACCCGCATATAATAAATACGCTGGTACAATTTGTTCTTCGTGGTTTTGGCTCAGACTTAATATCAGGAAATAATCAAACACACGTGATTTTTCGTTACGAAGTCAGAGTGTCTTGGTTTAAATGATACAACGATTACGGAAGGTATGAGGGAACTGAATTGAAAGGTTTTGAGTTTGTGTTCGGGAAAAAAAGGAAAAACTGTCTCGTTGATCGGGAAAGTGAATGAGTTGATAAAAATTTTTTTTTAAGACGAATGGATAACGACTGACTATAGGATTTATGGAAATGAGATGCACGATAATATAAATTAACTATATCGTCTCTCCATCATCCACCTTTCCGTGGGAATCACTTCGCTACGTTGAAACAAAAAAAAAAAATCCGCTTATGCAGAGTGAGGAAAAGTGCGTTTTCTTGTATAATTGCACAAACAAATTTCCTCGCACTTAGGCAACCTATATTGGATCTAAATGAAATGTGCTATTGCAACCCACAAAGTCAGGAGACACTGTATATTTTCCTGCTTTCATTTGCAGTTGAAACATTAATTATTATTATACTTGATGCTATTCAATGAATGGTAAAAATAAAATAATCATAATAAACGCTAGTATTTACACAGAAAGATACTGTCGTTACTAGTTTCATTATGCGGTAGTAGCATACTGTGGTCATCACTCGAGTTTTATTAATAATTACTGAAGCGATCATGTTCCGACGTGTATAAGAATGTCTTGGTTTCTTTTGTTTCTTTTTTAGATTCTAATAATAATGTCAAGGAACAAATCGATCGTTAAATACAATAATTCACTTAATGTACTGCCAGTCGCGTTGACGACATTATCTAAAACATTTTTCACATCATTAATGAGTTGCCAGGATGGCTGAAATGTACAACAAATCATTGTTGTTCTGAGGTGTATGTAATAGTAAAAAGATGAGTGAGATGTTGGTTAAAATACAACGCGGTTAAGTAAAACAAAAAAAAAAATAATTAACAAAAAATAATGTTAAATGTCAAATGGTCTAGGTCGCCTAAGATTATTACTTAGTGAAGAAGGTATAATAATGATAATGTATAATTAATTTTAAACAAAATAATACCGAAATATGTCTCTGTCTTGTCTTTGCAACTATATGAGCAAATGAAAGATATAACTAAAAAAAAAAAAAATATAAACACAAAATAAATACGTGAATTAATGTAAATGAATATAGCATATGCTAACATGGATTCTCTTTGCATACTGATGAAATTCTACAACAAAAAAAAAATGGTTAAAAAACATAAAATACAATAAAATAAAAGGCGGAATGGATGAAGGTACGAGTGCCTTCAATATGTGCTGCCGCACAAAATACACGAGCCACAATTAAACCGGCGTGTTTTTTTTTCAATGCGACGAAATAAATAATAATTTTTTAGGAAATGAAGAATTTGTTGGTGTTTGTTCGCGAGTGGTTAAGTAAGAAAAACAAACAAAAAAACTTAAAAAAATATCTTTACACCAGATCCTTTTTCACTCAAACTATTATAATTAAAACTATTCATTATTACTTTTACACTATCAGTTTATTAATTAATTTTATTAAAAGAAAGATTTAAAAAAAAATCAATTGCACGTGTATACTCGGCGGGTTAGGATGATATTTGTTGAGTGATAGCGAGGACGAGTTGATTAATGTGTGAAATTTTCGAATGGTTAAATGCCGTAGGTAATTTATAATAAATAATTGAAGTTAAAAAAAAAAAACATGAAACGAAAAATAAAAAAGTCTGTTTAGTCACGTCTATCGCTTGTATATGAAATAAAACTTGAAATGTATCAAAGACATTAATAATTGTTTATACAAGAGTCTGTTATTTATTATTATTATTAGAAAAATAAAAAAACGCTGCGCGGATTGTTTTTTTAATAATACTTGTAATTATTAAGTAATTCTCGAGTTCACTATGAGTGTACAGTCATCAATGTTGTTATTCGACTGATAAATAACTCATGTGAATAGAGGTAAAAAATTAAATTAAATTAATTTAAAAAGTAAATAATTAAGCTGTTAAACCGAACCGTGATTATTATTGCGACTGACAATACGTGATCTGTAGATATTGTTTTTATTTCCAAGACTGAATTTTTGCATGAAATATCCATTGAATGTTCTCAAATGTATTTACTCTTAGGATAGAGTTTATAACTCTTGTCCTGTGGTTAATAAATAAATAATTATGCACAGGTATAACATGAAACTCGGTTCGAAATATAAATATTAATATTTGATAATAAGAAAATTGATTAAATGAATGAAAGAAAAGTGAACAGACTCTTGTATTTACTTTTAATATGTCTTAAATTTTACCTATCTGTAGTTAGTAAAGAATACATGACAACAGTAACTTATACATTTATCTGCTAAACGATAATAAAAATAAATAAATGGCAAAACATTGATCGTTGATTCGTAGATACAATAAAGTCAACTGATCCCATACTAAGCGGAATAATAAATCATGTACATGAGAATGATTGTTAATTAATTTAAGAAAGTGAAAAAACAAACTTCCGAGAATGCTTATATACAATTTTTCTCAACCTGAATATAGTGAATTAAAACTATAAAAAAAAAAATCAAGTTGCGAATTCTGTTTTTTTAATTAGCAACATTTTTTGTTGCATTTGTTACATAAAATATTAATTCGATCATAGTTTACTGTACAGAAAAATGTTTATTTGGCATTAAAAATATATGCTAAATAATAATTCCGAATGATTTTGATTGTTCGCTTTGTAAAATAGCTATAAATTGTAACTCAAATGGAAAAATAATGAATTAAAACCGAATTCGTAATAACTTGATTTATCAAAATAATTAAACAAAGTTTAAGAGGAAGAAAACAATTATAATGTTTTAATATATGTTCCTACGACTGATCTTGAACGTAAGAAAATTTGAAACATAAATTATTAATAAAAAAAAAAAACAAGAAAAAATTCACGCCGGAACGTCCGCTTAATGCAACGCCGCTATAAAAACACGGGTCTTTCTTTGGTTTGTATTTTAACAATTGCTATGATGATTTCTGTATCGAATGATATAAATAATAAGCGTAATGCAGTAGGAAATTATTCATATGGTATTGCATATATTTAAAAAATAATATGGTATAAAGAGTGAGGATATAAACAAACTGAACGTAAATAAAAAAAGAGGTAATAAAACTGATTGCTATACAGTTCGTTGCAGTAAATTTTGACTTATTTTTATCATAATTTTGTTTAAACCATCATTATTTAATTAATTAATTACCTATTTTATTTGTTAAATAAACGTGTACATTTAACCGCGCATTCATTCAAATTATTAGTTAACGTTTTTGCCACGAGTGTCAGTACTGCATTCGAGTTGTTTCTAGTTTTTAGCAGTTGAGGTTATTTTTTTATCATCAAACAAAGTAAATTAAAATCAAGACATATTATTACTATAAAAATAGAATTAATGGGCAATGAAAAAAGTGCCCTGAGTGGGCTAGAGATAGATGAAAAAGCTATCGAAATCACAGACTTTTGGCTGCACCACAGTGCAAATTTAAATGGCGTTAATCCGCAGGTCCTGTCAGTTTTCATTAGTGAACCATCTTTACATTCATGTGCAAATTTTGGTAAACCATCACCTTTAGAGAGAGCTGCCAGAGTAAGTAGAACAATGATCTTATTTTTTATTACATTTAAGTACATATGGTAGTATAGCATAACCTATTTTTTCCCAGAACTTGATGCTCCATCGCCATCCTTGCATTTTAAAATATATTTCATCTTGGAAAAAGGGTAGCACTTATTATTTAGCTACAGAAGATGTAAAACCTCTAGCACAAGTTATTGGAACCCAAACAACACTTCAAATATGCATTGGATTGCACAGCATTCTTAGAGCTCTAATTTTCCTTCATGAAAAAGCTTTAGCTTCTCACAATAATGTTTGTAGTAGTTCAATTTATGTTACTCCTGAAGGATCATGGAAACTCGGGGGTCTTGAATATCTCTGCAGATTTTCAGAATTCAATCAAGCCTATTTGAAAAAAATTAAAAACTTTAGGTGCGAACAAGCCATTGCACCTGAAGAAGAAACAGTTACCTCAGAAGTACAGATTAATCCCATTGGTATAGATCAATATGCTTTTGGAGTATTAACAGAAGAAGTTTTACGGTTAAAAAATACTGGTAATATAAACATTCTCTTTCGGATCAATACTCGCCTGACAAAGTATCGAATAATTTAATTATTATTTTTAATTTACAGATGATGTTCCTGCCTTATTAGAATTCCGTGAACTTTGTAAGCAAAGTCTACAAAATGCAGATCCTGCACTTAGGACAAAATTATCTATATTACTAGAAAATCCATTTTTTACCCATGATTTCATAAATATACATGCTTTTTTAATGGAATTACCGTTGAAAACGGAATCAGAAAAAGAAGAATTCTTTTCGTGAGTTTTTTTCTCATAGATTCTACTTTCTCTTGTTATCTTGATAGAAAAGTATTTACTAAATTTTTTTTTCAGTAATCTAGTACCACAATTAAAGAAATTTCCTGAAAAAATAGTTGCTGAGCAACTAGGAAGACTTTTATTATCAAGGATGGTTCTTTTAGATTCTACTGCTCAATTAAAATTGTTACCTAGTGTTTTGAAGCCAAAAACTGAAAATAGTGACGATGACGACAACGGTTTATTCACCATTTCAACATTCAAAAGTTATTTAATTCCAAAACTTTTACAAATGTTTTGTGTTCGTGACACATCTATTCGATTATTTTTATTATCTCATTTAAATTCTTTTATTTATGCATTTCAAATGGATGAACTTAAAAACCAAATACTGCCGGAACTTTTAGTAGGAATCAAGGATCGAGATGACCATTTAGTTAGTATAACACTTCGAGCTTTAGCTGATCTTGTACCAATCCTTGGTGCTGCAGCTGTGATTGGTGGAAAACGTGGCAAATTATTCACCGATGGTCGTCCTAATCTTAATCAAACTCGAAGAGAAGTGAGAAATAATGTACGAATGATTGAAAATCATCATTCAATAGAGGATATTAATACAGCAGTATTAGAACTACCTGAAAGACCTTCACCTGATGGTGGAGAAGATAGAGTGGAGTCATCTTTAACGTTAGCTGAAGAAGAAACAACTTGGTCTGATTGGGATACTCATGATATTCCAAGTACAAATACTGATACATTATCAGATGAGCCATCTAAAGATATTAACAAAATGCCAGAATTGGACTCATCAAAAATTGAAGCACTGCCTAATGCTTCAAAATTTAATAAGTTAGCTTATACGAAGAAAATAATGATCTCAGATATTACAGAATTAGATATTAAGCATTCTAAGTCAATGCAGGCCATTAAAGAAGAAGTAGACTTTTTTACTGACATGGAACCAATTATTGAAAAGCCAAAAATTATACATATAGAAGAAGTAAAGAAAGAAAAAAGTGTGTTTGATGTCAAAACTAATGGAATGCAAGATGATGATGGATGGGGAGATGATTTGAATGATTGGGGTGGTGATAATTCACTTGAATTAGATGAATAAAATTAATTATGGTTGATATTTAGTAGTGTGAATGATAATAATGGTAAAAAATTTGTACATAATTCATACGATAAAATATTTGTATTTATCGTGCAATATGATTGTAATTATTTTCAATAAATCAGTTATAAATTGAATTTTATACTTTTTAAAATAATCAAACTGCTCTAATGTTAGTTCAAATTTTAGTTCTACAATTACACGCATAGTTAACAGCGCCGGAAGTACTACGTAAGTATTTTGTCAACGAGTAGTGGAGGTACCGTCTCTCTGTCTTTTCCGTAGAAAGTTGTATAGGGAGAAGTTGCATTTGCTCTTCTCTCAATTACTAAAATGGTTAGTATTTTTAATAAATATTAATTTAATTATAAACTATAACCATTTTTAATTCAATTAAAATCTTTTGTTAAGTTTTTTCTTTAATGATGTGCTATTAAAAAGTAGATATAAAACGTTATTGACAATGCCATCAGCCACGCATTCACTATCTCTAACCTTTAAATTACAATGATAAAATATGAAAAAAATTTCTTATGTAAAAAAAATATAAAATAAACTAAGTTTTAATTAAAAAAAATGTATGTTACAGGGTTTCGTAAAAGTTGTTAAGAACAAGCAATATTTTAAACGATTCCAAGTTAAATTCAAGAGGCGTCGTGAGGGAAAAACTGATTACTATGCCCGAAAACGTTTGACGATTCAAGACAAGAATAAATACAATACTCCTAAGTATCGATTGATCGTCCGTCTCTCCAATAAGAACATCACTTGCCAGGTTGCTTACTCTAGAATTGAAGGAGATAAAATTTTGTGTGCTGCTTACAGTCATGAACTTCCTAAATATGGTATCAAAGTAGGACTTACAAATTATGCTTCTGCATATTGCACTGGACTTCTACTGGCTAGAAGAGTAAGTTATCATTTAAACACATTAAAAACATGTTTAATTTATTGTTGACTTATAAATTCAAAATGATGAGACACTCAGCTCGCTTTGATACAAACATGAAGAAAAACTCATGTTCCCTAAATTTTATCATAATCTGAAAATAAATTTTATTTAAATTAATGTGAAATCTTCAGTCATAGCATAACATTTAATAGAAATATTCGTGATTTGCAGCTTTTGAAGAAATTGGGATTGGACCAATTGTACCAAGGAACAACTGAAGTAACTGGTGACGAATATAATGTTGAAGAGTTAGATGATGGCCCAGGAGCTTTTAGATGTTACTTAGATACTGGATTAATGCGTACTACCACTGGTGCTCGTGTCTTTGGAGCAATGAAAGGTGCAGTCGATGGTGGTCTTAACATTCCCCACAGGTATTTGTCATTTTTAACCTTATTATCATGATCTACTTTATTATGTGTTCAGATGATGAAAAACTGACACATGCGCGTCATCTGAGCCTCCGCGAAAGAATACCTTTTTGTGTGTGTTTTACCACATTAAGGCAATCTTAGCATCGGCATAAGATTATTATTTATTCTGATTTACAAAAAAAAAAGTTATTTGTACTGTTAATTATTTCATGAATAACACTGATTTTTTATTTTAGCACTAAGAGATTCCCTGGATATGACAGTGAATCCAAATCCTTCAATGCTGATGTTCATCGTCAACATATTTTTGCTCAGCATATTGCTAAATACATGACGCAATTGGAGGATGAAGATCCTGAAGCATACAAACGTCAATTCTCTCAGTATATCAAGCATGGAATCAATGCAGATGATGTAGGTTTATTTACAGATTTTTAAAATTCGTCCAATTAAATTGTTATGAGAATGATCAATGTCTCATTAGCGTCGCAATTGGACAAAATTAATACATCGGTATCTCATTGATAAATGCATGTTATTCAGTATTTTTCTCCTAAACCGTTGTAACATTTATAGCAAAATTTTTTAAAATCATTTTTACGTAATTTTTATTGGACTAATAAAATGATTATTTTGGTTAATTACAGATTGAAGGAATCTACAAGAAAGCACATGAAGCGATTCGTGCTAATCCAGAATACACACCTAAAGAGCGAACAAAGGAGCCTACCAAGAAACGATGGAATAGAGCCAAGCTTTCTCTTTCTGAGAGGAAGAATCGTATTGCTCAGAAAAAAGCATCTTTCCTCAAAAAACTTGAACAAGCCGAAGCTTAAAAAGCCGGCTGAAAATAATAATTTTTGTACCTCATTCGAGGATCTGAAACGTTCACAATGTCTTAAGTATATTATTTCTTTCGATATTACAATATATTTGTACGTAACATGTGAACGATGGTACGAAAATTTGGATAATAAAAAGATGTTTATCAACAATTACAATAAATCGTCCAATTCTTAATTTCTTCTGGGCTCCTGTTGTGATATAAAATTTGGAAATAATCAGCAACAATCGGAACATTAAAGAAACTTCCAAAATGAAAATTTTATTTTATAGAACAGTGATGACGTTGATTGTTTTCAAATTTTCTGTGTAATATATTTAATATTTAAATACAGTCGAATCTCTTGAACGTCTGATAATCTAGGGCTCTCGAACCTTTAAGAGCGTAATAAAATTTACAATAGAATAAAGCAAAAACTTGGGCTAATAATGTACCTGAACACTTTTAAGTACGAATTAAAATGAGTTGATCTGTAAAAATTCGTTAAAAGTGAACCTTTGAGAGATTCTATTGTACTATGGAATATGAAAAAGCTTTAAAAGAGTTTTATACTCGTTATGGGGCTGTGATACTTTTTATTTATTTTTTATTTTAGGAATCAATGCAAATTATTCAATATTTATTTTTCTAAAAATAAAACAGACTTGATAGAAATTAAATAATAAAATAGTTTTATTTTGTTCAAAATTCCCATGAACTATTACATACAATCTTTTATTTTAACTTCAAATTTAGATTATAAATTACAACTAAATTTATAATATAAAAATCACGATACATCTTCTTCAACATTACTTATAAAATTTTCAAATAAACATATGTTTGTGCATACTCATCTGTCAATAAACATTTCAAAATGGGACGGAATGGAGCCATTGGACTTTCATGGTGCCTTGTACTATAACCTCAAAATTTAGTGGAGTAATATGGCTCTATTTATAAATAACATTGATTTTGTGAATCCTGGGAAATAGTCCACTTTCATGTAGATGTTTATGAAATATCTAGCTATGTTAAATTGAATTAAGTATAAGATATACTCTAAATAATACAATAACTCTTCAAAATGTATTTGAAGGAACCAAAAAAGAAAAAGCGTGCTAATTCTCAAACTCCAATTCCATTACCATTACAATTTAGTAAGAAAAACGATGCAATTATTTATACCGCTCACTTAGGAGTGTCAGCTACGTGTATAGTAGATCATGATGAAATGATAGCTGTTCATTCAATGGTAAATAACTTTTATATTTAATTATTAATATTATTTATTATTTATCAATATCATCAACAGGGATCTTTTGGTAAAGGATCTTTATCTCGAAGCTTACCGACTTTTGGAACTCGTAAACACAATATACCTCCTTTCATCAAGGAACGTCAATGGAAACGTAGAAAACAGTGGCTAGAAGAAATAGATAAGCTACATACTGAGGCTCTTTCCTCTATGACTCACGAGAACTCTGAAATCGAAATTCAGCTGTTAGAAGAACAATCTAAGGAAAATACCAATTCAGATGAACCTATGGAAATCGTTCAAGAGGGTACTTCAAGTGCTAATGATAAATGTGATCCAGGAACCAGTCAAATAGCTAAGACATCTCAAGAAATAGATGAAGTAGTTTTAGATTCAACTGAAGATGAAGAAGTGTATGAAGTAGATGATAAAATAGACACAAATGAAATTGTACTGAGTGATGATCAGTTAGATGATTTACATTCAAATACAAGTAAAGAAGAAATGAATTTAAATGAAGTATTAGTTATGCCTGATAGCGATTCGGACACTGAAAACTATCTAACTAATATAAAACCACGTATTGAAATTGAAGGTTTCCCTGTTTCTGAAACATTACAGTTAACATTTGAAGAAACATTCTTTTTAATGTTTGGTTTAGGTTGCTTACAGTTGATTAATTTTAATGGTAAATTAATGAGTATTGTTGAAGCTTGGCGTTATTTCAACAATCAGGATCACCTTTTCTTTCCCAAATATGTTGTTTATCATTATTTTAGAAGCAAAGGTTGGGTTGTTAAACCTGGAATTCAGTTTGGTGCAGATTTTTGTACGTATTTTTATTCTTACTTTGGTATAAAAATTTTTGTTACTATCAAACTAATAATAATAATTTGTCGATGATTTATTTTTAGTATTATATAAACAAGGCCCTTCATTTTATCATGCTTCATTCATTGTGATTGTTGAAACCATTGACGGAGATAGCCTTTTAAAAATCGATAGTAAATCTTCTCGGAATATGAATTGGAGCAGTTTAACACAAATGAATCGACTATCAGAAACGGCTGCTAAAGTAAGAACAATAGTTATAATTTTGTTACATCCAAATATTATGCTCAACTAAGACATTGAATTCTTTTTTTAATTTCAGGAACTATTAATAGCACAAGTTTTATGGCCATCAACGATTCCAATATCTAGCAATTTAGTTCCGTTAGAAGCTTTATCAGACTTTACAGTTAGAGAAATTTTATGGAGGCGATGGAAACCTAATCAAAATAGCGAAGTTGTTGAGCTCGAAGAAGAGGATGATAGCTATGATGATTCGTTGTAATGGATAAAAAAAAAGTTTTTTCTTTAAAGTGGATAGCCGTGTGTTATAAATATCGTATATATTGATTTTGTAATATATATACAATGTAAATAAACAAATAATGATCTCTATTATACACATTGATGATAACCAATTTTTAATAGAGATATGTAAATTAAATCAATGACATAATAAATAAAATCGGTTTTTATAATTGTTTGAATTATGATGTGTTTCAACCACTTCAATTATTATTAGTGTTTTTATACTTCAAAAATAAAACTAAAGTTCTTTATTAAATAAATCATTTATTAATAGAATATCTGAAATAGTTATCATATGTAATTATTCGAAATATCTGTCTGAGACTTTATAATACTATCACTTTATCAGTGACTTTGTGATAATTAGCAATTAAAAAATCTGGATGGTCCACAAACTCATGATTCCATCACAATGACAATCCCACTACTGGACATTATCCAGATAATTAGCTTACTAGGAAGCTAAGTAAAAAAATCTAAACTATAAACAAATTTCAAGTTTTTTTCCATTGAACTGTTGATTTTTTTTTTCAATGAATTTACCTCTGTAAAAAGAAATGGTTAGTAGAAATAAAAAAAAATTGTTTTCAACTTATCAATTTCTTTATTTGAAAATTAATGAAAAATTGGAACTCATCTTTCCAAATACTTATTTACAATGATTATTATGAACAAGTGATTTACAATTATAAAATAATTATATTATGAGCATTGAATTCCAATTCAAATCAATGTTTGTGATGAAGACATCAAATTTTATTAAACAGGAAAAAGAATTCAAAACAAGTTGTCTAAGGTAGTAAACTATCAATTTATTTTGTAATAATAGAAATCAACTTTTTGGATTTTTGACACCCACACCTGTGCGTCGGAATTCACTTCTTTCTCTTAAATATTCTTGTTTACATTCTTCATTTAACTGTGCATCATGAAACCAATAATCTAAACATTTTACTAATTTATCTCTTTCTTCTGTACATTTAAAAGTTACTGCTAGTTTTGCTTCCTTGCCACATTTATTGAATGCTACAAATAACAAGTATGATTTTAATAATATTTATTCAAAAATGTCATGACAACTAGTGTATGTTATAAAACTACCTTCAACTTCTTTAATACATTTTATTTTCCTTGATTTTTCTCGAACTTTGTCTGGAATAAGGATGTTTGTTTCAACTTTTCTCAGTGATAAATCATCTGGATCGCCTATAAATTGAAAGGTAGGTTATATATCTGACTAAAATGAAAATAAAATGTTAAAATCAATAATTAATCCATTTTTACATTATTTATTAATCTATATCGAAACTTTTTTAATGTAATAATTTTTTTACCATAACCATGAGGTCCACCGGAAAGTTTTGATGATAAAACTGTTTTCTTCGTTCTGGTGTGTTCAGCCATGGTGGCTGCCATTTTTTCCCCACAATCCTTCATGAGCTTGCAAATTTGAGGTTGTCACAATCGTTTGAATAGGAGTCTCATTTTTATTCTTACAAGTAAATAAATAATTATTTGGTGTTAATTATTAAATAAATATATTATAATTTCATCAAACTAATATAAAATTTACTTAACTATTTATAAATATTATCTAAAACTTCCCATTTGTCTTTAATTTTCAACGCATCGAATTTGAACTGTCACTACAAAAGTTAACCTCTATGCTCTTACAAGCTTTAACTATTTTTAATTAAAATATCTGAGTTTTAGCAAAAATTAATTATCATTTTCTTTTATTATAGCAAACGTTACATAAAATAAATCATCATGGATAGATTATTGCGATTAGGAGGAGGAATGACTGGGTTAAATCAAGGACCTGCTCCTTCAGATGCTCCGGTTGTTGATACTGCCGAGCAAGTACGAAATTACCACTGTTATACTTCAAACAATTATTCAAAGATTATAATTTACTAATTATTTACATTAAAGGTATACATATCCTCATTAGCATTATTAAAAATGTTAAAACATGGTCGTGCTGGAGTCCCGATGGAGGTTATGGGTTTGATGTTGGGAGAATTCGTAGATGATTATACTGTTAGAGTTATCGATGTTTTTGCAATGCCTCAAACAGGAACTGTAAGTTATTATAATCTTTAATAACTTTAATTATTCAATGAAATTTTTACATTAAAAAGCTTTTATTGTTTCATAACTTTAGGGTGTGAGTGTTGAAGCTGTCGATCCAGTCTTCCAAGCAAAAATGTTGGATATGTTGAAACAAACTGGAAGACCCGAAATGGTTGTGGGATGGTATCATTCACATCCAGGATTTAGTTGTTGGTTGTCTGGTGTTGATATCAATACACAGCAATCCTTTGAAGCGTTAAGTGAACGTGCTGTAGCTGTAGTGATTGATCCAATTCAATCAGTTAAAGGGAAAGTTGTTATTGATGCATTTAGGTTAATCAACCCTAATATGATGGTGAGCTAAATGATTTTAGTTTCAAATTTTTCTATAGTTTTCAAAATAGACAAATGTCACATATTTAATCTGCTCTTTCGTTGCAGGTTCTCGGCCAAGAACCTCGGCAAACTACCTCGAATCTGGGACATTTACAAAAACCGTCCGTACAAGCTTTGATTCATGGTTTAAACCGTCATTATTACAGCATTAGTATTAATTATCGTAAAAATGAATTAGAACAAAAAATGCTTCTGAACTTACACAAAAAAACTTGGATGGATGGTCTAACTCTTGCTGAATATTCGGAGCATAGTAGACTAAATGAACAAACGGTAGCTGAAATGCTTGAGCTTGCCAAGAATTACAATAAGGTAAGAATTAAATTATAATAATAATTTCAATTTTAACAGTAATTATCTTAATTTTATTATCTCATAATTTAAATTTGTATTTATAGTCATTGGAAGATGAAGAAAAAATGACACCAGAGCAACTGGCGATTAAGAATGTTGGCAAACAAGATCCAAAACGGCATTTAGAAGAGAAGGTTGATATGCTTATGTCAGTAAATATTGTCCAATGTCTTGGAGCAATGCTAGACACAGTTGTCTTCAAATAATTTACTTATTTACGTGCAGAACATACACATAATATTTGATTAATAAAACTAAAACATATACATCTTTTTTTAAATCATTTTTTATTGAAAATATTATCGTCTTTGAAAAATGTTCTTTATTCATTAAATCAAATAAATCTTTCATATATATTTATTACAAAAAGTGTAATTTAAAAAAAAAAGCTTTCAATCTATATGATTCATTTATGTATGAGACATATGCCAACTTTTTTATTCAAAAATGTCATAAAAATATAATTATTTCAAAATTTTTCCAGATATAAGACGTTCTTACATAATTACTTAGCATCTATTTACAGCAATTGCAATGAAGGAATGATGATTAGGTTGACATAGGCTCTTCACTTTTACTTTTTTTCTTTTTCTTCTTTTTCTCTTTTTTAGATACATCCTATAATCGAAATATACAAAATTAATAACCAAATTTCCAATAAAAAAATCGAAAGTAAATTATTAAACTTACAGTTGCTTCTCCTTCAGTCTCTGTCGGTCCAGCTTCACTGATACTATCTTCTTTCTTTTCTTTCTTCTTCTTTTTCTCTTTCTTTTCCTTCTTTTTATCCTTTGGTGATAAAAGATCAACATCCATTCCTTCGGATTCCTGCTTAATACTCACATCAGCAGGTTCCTCAGTTACTGGCTCACTATCTTCATGTTTACGTTTCTTTCCAGCTAGTGGTTCTGATTCTTTAATCCCATTTTCTTCTTTCTGCAATAGATTTTTTTTAATGGTTTTCATTCTTTTGATTAACTCGGGTGGTAGAATAAAATTACAAGAATATTTACCTTAACTTCAGAATAATCAGCATAGGAAGAAAGCCAATCTGCAGGCGTATTTTCATTAGGCTTGCCGTGCTTATCTAATTTTCCTTCAATGATCATTCGTTTTTTCATAGATGCTTTTGGTCCTAGACCCCATTTCCTAGGATACGCATCTCTTTCCATTATGACTCTCTTAATTTTTGCCACAACTCCATGATCACAAGCTGTCATTGTTGGAGATGTCATCAAGGCAATGGCCAAAGCAACAGCTTCTCCTTTGGTAGTTACAATGACTATCTCTTGGTTCAATTCTATACCATCATCATACATCAACACTCCGGGTAACATAATTTTAGCACCATAACAAATTGCATTCACCTAAAAAACATAAAAATAAACATTATGTTTTTAATTATTTTAAATAATCATCCATAATTGTTCATTTTAGACATTTAATAAAAAAATACTAACCGCACTGTCTTTCATAATAATTCTTTTATGATTAACAAGAAGAGCTTCGAGAGGTTTAATAACCCTTCTCAAATAAGATTCGTCTCCATGGTTTTCATAAAGCCATTGAGCATCAAGAATATCGTGCATAGTCACCATATTGTCTTCTTCACTTTGAACTCCTGATCTATTTCTACGAAGCTCTTGCATTTGTGCTCCAGTGCCGAGGAAAAGACCTAAATGAACGCATATCGTTCTAACATAGGAACCAGCCTCACATTTAACTTTGAAAATTCCCATATTGCGCTCAGAATCATAATCGAGGAGCCAACTGTCATAAACAGTTCTGACACGAAGCTGTCTCTTTACAGCAGAAATTAGCGGAGGCCTTTGAAACAGCGCACCGCGTAATCGTTCCAGCGCTTGTTTGATCTAAATCATTATAATTTAACGTTAAGGAAATTGTTATGGTATTTGAACAATCCTTTTCTTATTGGATTATAAATAAATGTGATAAAAAAAGTAGAGATTTAATTTTACCTTTTGAACATTTTCTACAGCCGAGTGGAGTTTGAATACTGCAATATATTCTTTTCCAGCAGATTGCTGGGACTTTGCTAGCCTAGTAGCTCTATCAATACAAACTATTAGACACCCTGATACTTTAGGATCCAAAGTACCTGAATGTCCAGTCTTTTCAACTTTTAAAATCCTCTTTATCCAAGCCACGACTTCATGGGATGATGGATTAGAAGGTTTATCTAGATTTATACATCCTGATTTGATGTATTCTCCTATAGGTCGATGAAGTGGTGTTGTACCACTTGTCAAAGGTGTAAAATGTTTCGTACGAGTCAACATTTTATCGAAATTCTGGAAAATATTAGATATCATTCAATAGAAGTATCATTACAAAATAAATTTAACGTTAAAATTAAATACAAACCTTGAATAGTAAAGGCCAATCTTTACATTCAAGTTTAGTTGGGGCATCCGATGGCTCTATTTCACATTTCATTGCTACTTGCAACTCTCCCAACGACTTCTTCTTACTTTTCTTCTTTGCTTTTTCTGAAAATGTATTGGAGTCATTGTATAACATAACCTTAAAAAATTTATCTAACAAAGTAAACATTTACAATAATTGCCAATAAATAAAAACAAAAATTGTTATTAATATAAATAAAAGTAATTTTCATTATTATTTATAAGTATTTTCAGTGATAAATATCATAAAAATGTGAACGGAGCACGTGTTTACAGTGGCATGTGACGCGGAAAGTAATTCACTAAGAAATTAAAGTCGAAAAAAAATATCAACTCAAATTAAACAATAATTAAATATATGATATATTAATAATTTTTATCAACAGTTAACTAATTACTTTATTATTTTTATTGTTAACTAACCAATTTCTGCCATCGTGATGCTGTTAAAAACACGTGTTTCAATGGCGACTAAACTCAAAACAGTGTACGACCAGAAAGAACCGGCATATCAATATGCTATAGTATCGACACCCATTAAAAATGTTTCCGTGTTTAAACCACGTGGCAGCACAGTAAATTTTTCAACCAATCGGTGTTCATTCTTGAGAAAGTCCCGCAACGTAAAACTTCATAACCTTCAAATAGACGGGGATAAAGGAAGGTTGATAAAATAAATGAAGATCAGAAAGTTTTTTTATTATTTAAATTTTTTTTATTTTATAATGTTTTATGAAAAAAACTAAAAATGATCCAAGTTTTGCAGTTGATCAATATAAAGAAATTTTAATTCAAATTTTATGCTATTAAGTCGTTTCTGACTATTTTACGATGTGTTTTCGGCAATTGTCGAAAAAAAAAATGACTTTGTTTATATAATTTAGTTATTATCGTCCATTTTTATAATATCATTCTACAGCGCTATAAAATAATAAGTTTTATAAGAAAAACAAATAACGATAACTTTCTGAATCATGGCAAATGAAGTTATATATTTATCATCGGATGATGAAAACATGTCTAAAAAGGTTCGTATTCAATTACCTTTGAAAGTGACATCAATTTATATTCTTTCTTTTAAATAATTAGTATCTTATAATTAATATAAATTTTACATTTATAGTCCGATCATATAACCATTAAACAGTCATCTTCTCAAAATTCTTCTATCAAAGAAAATAATGAGAAAAAAAGAAAATTATCTTCAACATCTGTCAATTCATCAGCAACATCAGAATCATCTGAGAAATCAGTGAAAAAAAGAGTTTGCCTGCAAAGTCAACCATTTGAAAAAAAATCACATAGTATAAATAGTAATAGTGAATTATTATTAAATAATGCACAACCGTCAACTTCTGGTTTGCAAACTGTCGAAAAAAAGACAAGCCCAGGTCTTGAAGTGCAACAACCACTATTAGTTATTAAAGAAAAACATCCTGTAAATATATTAAATGGAAATGAAGATTTATTCGCCGCATTCATAGGGCAAATATTTCAAAGAGATCGTAGCGATGATATGGTAAAAATTGTTGAAAAATTAAAAAGACGTTATGAACAACTCGATCCTGTTTATGCTAAATCCGTAGCATTCGCAGATTTACTTAATGAAAAAAGAGAAATTCTTTTAAATCAAAATAGTGTATTATTTAGACACATAGCCGAAGTTAATGAAGAAATGAAAAAACGAAAATTAGGTAAATGCAAGTACAATGATTTTAATAGCCGTCCTGCTATTACTGTTCATGATAATGAATCAGATGCAAATGAGAACGAATCTGAAAAAGAAGTCTTTGATGAGTATCGTGAAATGGATCAAAGAAGGAAAGAAAAAATTAAAGCAATAGAGAAATGTATGGAAGTCGTTCAGAAAAGAATCAACAAGCTGGAAGCAACTGAAGTTGATTTTGACGATGAAATGGATAGTACTTTTATGAAAACAGAAAAATATAAAAAAAGAATGGTCGAATTATATAGTCTATGGTGTAGATATACAAATAATGACGAAACCGCCAATCGATCTTATTTACGACCAAAACATTTCAATAAACTTACAGGAATTGTTACTGTTGATCAGGCAATCAATAGTTTTATTAATTCAAAATTAGAAAAAAGAAGAAAAAAACAAACCAAGAATAATAGTGAGATATTTCCAGATTATATCGATATTTTAAACGTTGTTCATAAACACAATGTTCAGAATAATTTAGGTATGGATAAAAGAGCAGAAAGAGAAGCAGGTAAATAAATAATAATTTATTTATTTATTAGAAAAAAATTCAAATTTATTTATTATTATTCATATCTTTTGTTCCTTTTTTACAGCTAAAAGTGCTTTTACCAAACTAGGTGAATATCTGCAACGTGTGCGAAGAGAAGATTTATTCGATAGTTTTTCTACTTTTTATGAAAATGACGAAGATCCAGTAAAAAAAGATTCTGAGTTGGCACGTAAATTTTTGGAAAATCGAACAATAGGTGAGAAGAAAATGAATGCAATTTTTGACGAGTATACCAAAAAACAAGAAGAGCTTAAAGAGAAAAGAAACGATCAAAAAAATCATCATGGTAACTCGGAAAGTGATAATGATGATGGTGATAAAAACAGTGAAGATGAAGATGACGACGACGATGATAATGATGATGATGATGATGATGATGATGATGATAATGATGATGAAAGAGACGTAAGTGATGCAGAACTCATGGACATTTCTGATGACGAATTAGAAACTGACAAAGTGGCAGTAGTCAATGATAGTGAAAAACAAGCAAATTCTTTGTCAAAGACTGAAGATAAGTCAGAGGAAAGTATTGTTGATAAACCTGACGAAAAAAAAAATCATGATAGTAAAAAAAAAGATGATAATAATGATGATGGTGATAGGAATAAAAATGAAGAACCTGTACCAACCATTAATCATATGGAGAACGAACGAGATATAGTGTCAACAAAAAATTCTGAATCAAATACTGAAACTGAAAATCAAGGTTTGTCATAAGTTTCTTGTAGTTTTTTGTAACAAGAAGTGATCATAGTTATTTACTTAATCAGCGTTTTATACTTTTATAGTTAATAAAGTTCATGAAGAAAGTGGGGATAGTAATGAAGCTATAAATGAGCAACCTATATTAAAACTACGATCATTTGCAAAGCCACCGACGTATTGGCAAAATTCTCAAGACGGAGAAAGTAATATTAAGAAGAGTGAACAGAGCTCATCAAATGGACCAATTGAAGTTATTGATATTGATGACTCTGATGAACCACCGACAAACAAAAGTACGAACAAACAACAGGTGAACGCTAAAGGACCGCGAATAGTGAAAATAATTCAAAAAAAGGTGCGAGTGAAACCATTTCAGAAAAAGGCAATAATAATTAAAAATACAACAGATCCAAAAGCTATAGTACCAACACAACATGTGCGTATTCTCCCGTTAAATAAAACCCGAAATTTAAATGTTACAATATTGAAACCTAATATAACGGTGATAGGAGCTACTTCGAAATCAAATAGCAGTATAGTTCAATCACCCGCAGTTTCCACTACTGTAAATAGAGTTATAAACCCTATGGCCAGAGAAAATTCAAATAGCCAACAATTAGTTAACATATTAGGTGTTGTATACCATGTAAATAACAAAATAGTGAATAAGTGAAATATTTTGTATTCTATTAATTTTATAATAAAATCAAGGGAACAGTTCAATGGATTTTATAAACGAAAGAAATTTATACTATTTCGATTAAATATTTAAATTAATGACAATTTTCGTTTGATACAGATTGATTGAAACATCGTAATATTCACTTATTTATATTTATTTTATCAAAATGAAATTTAGTTAAAGTTTTTGTTTTTTTTTTTCACTTTATATCAATTATTAGGATTCATAATTCATAATACTCATGATGATTTTGAACAACGAAAAACTAGGATCACTGAATTTTTCGACAATTTCAAAATGATCAATTTTCTCTCGAAGCAGAATGAATTCAACTTGATCTACGAAATCCATTAATTTCTGAAAAAAAATGCAATGTAAAAGACTCAATGTATTATAAATTGTTTCAATACTCTATATAATATTTACAAAATGAAATAAGGAGAAAAGGAATATATCTTACAAAAAGTGAAAGTATATTTTTTGTAATATTTCGAACAAGAGCTCCTAAGATGAAATATGTATATTATGAATTTATTATAAAACGTTGAAGCGTTTTTAACGAAAAATTTTATCACATACTTTAATATGTAATAAGTATAATAAGTTAAGCAATTTATAAAGGAATTTTTTAACATGTATTTTATATTAAAAAAATTATAAAATATGCTCTCACTTTTTTTTTTTTAATTTCAAATAAATATAATTTACCTTCGCATAATTTCTAGATTCATTAATAAATGTTGGAGCATCAGATTCCCCAACTACTACTAAAACTTTGATACCGTTTATAGGCTCGGTTTTACTCATATCTAAAGTATTGTAGCTGATAGTTTTAATCTCTTGTCTACAAAAAAATTTTGATGTTTATTTTACTTATTCATGATATGTAATTCATAATATTACATGCCTCTTACTCAGTCAATTTTAAGTCTTCATTAACACTAGTTTTCACCAACGGCTCAAGACTATAAATCCCACCAAGAAGAATAAGACCTTTAATCAACTGGAAAAGTTGTTGATGTTTCATTGACGTATGCCACTCGCGATCATACAGAATAGAAGCAGCAAGATGAGCTCCGGCACTGTGACCAGAAATCCAAATTGATTTGGTACCTGTTTTTTTACAATATTTCAAGATTGTCTCAATTGCGCTTCTGATCTCATTAACAATATCTGTCAATGTCACTGTAATAAATGCAAACAATATAATGTATTCATTTTTTTTTTTTTAATTGAATTATCTTTTAATTAATTCCATTTTCTACTGACCTGCTGGGCAGAGATCATATCCTACATTGATAACTTTGATGCCTTTCGATACAAAAGGTGATATGTGGAATCCAGCACTTTCTTTGTTGCATTCTCTCCAATATCCTCCATGAATAAAAACTAAAACTGGGGCATCTGATAACAATAGATTCTTTATTAAGAAGTTGGTTTATCACTTTGAATATTTTTATATAATAAATATAAACAAACTTTTCTTTTAAAAAATTGTATTAAATACCATTTGGCAAGTTTATCCCATAGATATCAAATTTCATGCGTTCCGTAGGACCATATGCTATGTCTATTTTACAGGGTATTGAACTTCTCGCTTTTTCAACCGCTTCAAAAAACAATTCAGTGAAATAAATAACAATTAACTAAAGTATTTACGAATTTTATTTTATTTGCATAGTACTATATACTCTTATTACCTTTTTTAGACAGGTCAAGAAATTCATCATAACTCTCTGAATATCTATTACTCCAAACACTTGGATTATATGCTTTATCAATTTCCTAAAAAAATGTTCATTACAGAAAGTTTTGAATCATTAAATAAATTCAATAATATTAAATACAAACCGGGTCAATAGGCATTTTATTTAAACAATGAAAAAAAATTTATAAGATATTTGTGAACTTATTATTCTCTCAATTATGTAAACCGTAAAATAAATTTATAAGCATAAGAATGCAAGTTACGATGCAAGTGCATTAAATGCAACTAGAGGTTTTAGGATTGGAAATAATATAACTTGATTTGTAACATTATATAGAACGCGCCTTTTTTTTCATCGACATGATAAAATAGAAATTTTAGTTATCACATGAAGTAGAGCGGGAAAAAAGAGGGCGTTAATGATGTCAAGCAATTAATGGAGCATTATTATCCAAAACATAAACAAAAACTGTTTATTTGGCAACGGCTGATTAGGATAAATTCATGTTCGGTTTCGGGAAATGGTTGTAGTTCTTTCTAAATTAAAAAAAATGAGTGGTTATCTTTGTAAAAAAATTATAATCTAATTTTGTGCTCCAGTTTTGTTGTTGCGCAGAGTAACGTTGTGTTTATTTATTATTTACGTCGGCTTTTCTTTGACGTAAATCTAGACCATAGAATAGTATTCTATTAGTTTATATTATTAATATGACAACTTTAAAAGGAATTTTTCCCGATCCCAGTAAGTATTTTATTTATAAAATTATTTCTAACCTCATTCTTGCTTGTTAAATTGAATAATTTATTGAGTTGTTGGTTTTCGTGATAATTAATAATCAATTAATTTTATTAGAACCTCCAAGAAAAAAAAACTATTTACAAGAAAATGTTAAACATCTTCGTCAAATGGAAAAATATAATCAATCTCAAAAGGAGGAAAAAGAAATTCAAAAATTGATGAATCAGAAACAGTTTAATAATAAATATCAAAACATTGCACCTAGAGTAAACTCCAGTCTTCGAGGACTAAGTGCAATATCTGGTGAAAATATTTCTAGGAATAAATCAAGAGCCAGTAGTCAATCTCTTGATAAAAAATCCAGTGCTCCAATTTTTAGTAAAGAAACTGTAATAAATAAGAAAAATTTATCTAAAAGTCAAACTAATTCCAATGTTAATAGTAAAAAGAAAAAAAGAGATCGACATAAACAAAATTTAGAGAAATCGAATAGTTTATCTGATGGTTTCTTACATTTAAAACTTAATAATGATTCTCCATTATACAGCTCTAGAAAAACAAAATATTCCAATCAAAGTATTCAAACATTAAACACTGATGAGATCGATGCTCTATATTCAGAAGGAGTAATAAGGTATGCTGTCATTAATTTATAGTATTAAAATGTTGATTAATTTTTTTTTACTATTATTGAAGATATCCATCGGGTAGAAGTCAAAGGAAGAGTCCAGATCCTAGTCCAGATAAAAATAAAGATCTAGATTTACAACTTCCTTTGAACATTGGAGATCAATCAACAACAGTGTCAGAGAAAAAAATAGAATCGTCTTCGTCGAAAGAAAATAAAGATTTTGTAAAACTCAATAAAGAAAAGACTTCTATAGCTACTAAAATAGCTGCTCATTTTAATAATGGCGTGATACCTACTAATTACCGCATGGGTGTTGTTCCTAAGTATGATAATAGGAGTAATAAATTTTTATTCTGATGTTTTTTTGGACAAAATCAACATTAATATTATATATTTTTTATGTGACTTAGGTATATTTTGGAGAGAAAAGAAGAATTGCAACAGAAGTTAGAAAAGGCTAAACTCGAAGCTATCAAGACTGATTGTCCACCAGGTCATATAATTCTACCTGATAATGAACGTAAAGAAACATTACGTATGTTGAAAAAAAGTAAGTCATTATGGATCAATAACATTTTTCTATTCTTCCGGTATATATTGATTTTTTCTGTGTATTGTTTAGGTTATCAAGATTATGTGAATGAGTTAAATAAAATGCCAATTAGGTCAGATACATTACGTTGCCAAAAGAAAAAAGCTGAAATTGAAAAACAGTTAAATAAATTAGAAGAAGGCATAAAACTTTTTTCCAGACCAAAAGTGTTTGTGAAAATAGATGAATAACAGTAATGAAACAAGTAGGTCAATATATACTTTTAGCATAACTAATATTTTCCACAAAGTGCCTGCATTTTGATTACTTGCTTATGTGACTGTTCTGATCAATTCGTGAATACTCAAAAGACTTGTAAATAGTTGTACATTTGTAAGCAGAGAAAATCATCTAGTCTTGTTGGAATCTTATTGAGAGATTCAAGATTGCCAAAATATAAAAAACAGACTATTTTTGTGAATTTTTTCTGGTTAATTATATTTCAACAACAACAATAATATAAATTAGAACTATTATTAACAGTCATTATAATTGAGGAATTTTTTAAATAGTCAATCTGTTTCTTTTTTACAATTAACATCTATTATATGTAAAAATAATTCAGGATCAAAGTGGATTTTCTCTGAGTTGAAATACATTTCTTCATTGTCATACCACTCTTTTACATTAAAATTAGGGAAGAAAATTTTTATTTCCCTTTTCACAGACTCCGGCGAATCTTGAAATGAAAAAAATTGTGTTAAAAAATGATGGGACCAAACAAAATGTGTCAAATTTTTGTAAAAATACAATTTAAACATTCACCTGAACCATGTGTAGCATTTCTAGTGTCAGACAATCCATATTTCCCTCTAATTGTTTCAGGATGAGTGTATTGAGCTTCATATACTTTAGTGGGACCCATTAATTCTCTCCATTTACTAATTACATTGTCCCTGGCAAGAATATGTATATCAGAAGGTCCACTACACATAAATGTTACTAGTCGATTATAAAAGAATTTTTTTCTGTGATCTTCATAGAATAAAGAAGCTTCTGCTGGCGTTATGATTGTCCTATGAGATCGAACAATTTTAAAATCATTATTTATGATTATTTTTCGAATTTGCTGTAAGAAAAAAAAACAATATGTAATATATATGTAAATAGTTAATTGAATTAATAAGTAAGTTACATACGTCAAGTACAAAAGGATTTTTAATGACATGTGGCTTTAAAATAGCTAATGTCAATTGAAGAGAATTCTTCGATTTCATGTCTCATACATCAGCTATTTTGTTTGAAAATATAAATATTTGATATAAATATGTCAATTTTTAAAAACATAGTTGTAACACTTTTGAAAAACTATGATTTATACAATTATATTATCGTTAAACATAATTAAATTTATTGTTTAATTCAATAAAAATAAAAATGATGAAATCTTATTCATATTATAACCATCAAAAACACTAACCATCTAGCGGTGAAATGTGAAATTTTCATTCTTGCGCTTCTTTGTAGCGGAAAATTCGAAACATGAAAAAATATAAATTAATTGTTGATGTTAAAAAGCATGGTCTATGAATAAAGAAACTTATTTCATTTTATTATAAATTTATTCTAAGAAAAAATTAATAAAAAACGATATGAAAAATTATTTCATACAAATGTATCACATTGAAAAATTGCTTTGAATATGAAACAGTTAGCCAACATGGGGCTTCACAGTCACTTCAGTCACAGATGTAGTTGAAGCAGCATTGGGGGAAGTATTTGATAATAATACACTTCCCAATGCTGCAGTTAAGATATTTCCATTAGCATCTGTATTTTTTTTAAAATTATGTACAGAATAACGGTTGTATAGACCCCAAATGCTGTTCATCAACTTGCTGCTGTACTTCATGGGAGTTGGTTCACATTCTAAAAAACATTTATTCATCAACAATTAAACAAATTTATTGTTATTATTCGTAGCCATAAAAAAACTGCTTTTAAATATCCTCATGAAATGCACCTTCAAACAAATTTTTTCTAAATGATCCACCAGAGTTATTGTTATAGCCACGATCATCATTTAATTTTGATTTCATTGATAGAACTTGATGATCCATTCTTTCTTGAAATTTACAAACTGCAAATGCACCTTGTGGAACAGCAGCCATTTTACAGCAATCTATAAATAAAATATGAATAAAAATATTTTTCTTCTATTTAATAAATTCTCTTCCATAAATGTGATTTGAAAATGAATTATTTTATCACTTGCCAGTGCAAATATCAAAAAGCAGTTCTTCTAGCTGTCGCTTTGTTAATATTTTTGTTTTTTCAAAGCTGATCTCAGCTTTCTGGATAAATTGATTATTTAATTTATAATTGAAAGTGTCAAATATCATACAGACACTGTTTATATCTTCTTGAAAAAACATGAACTATGTCAATAAACTTTTCAGGTTATATTTTTTTTAAGTGATAGATTTTCAGAAGTTAGTTTTCCACATCTTTTTATAATATTTACGTTATTTCGCAGCAAATAAACTCCTCACTAGACACAATATAAGTTCACTGGTGTTCGTTTGCTGGTTGTTTATATAAGTAATCAGTAGTCATCTGAGAGGGGGTTTGCAGTCATGAAAGCATTGACGGTATCGACGACCCCCTAGCTTATAAATAAAAAAAAAGAGTGATCTTGTACGAAGGAAAAGTGTTATCAGTAATAACTATTAAACATATAATTTTGCACAATACATCTAATCATAATTTAAACTTATTCTTTTAAAAACTGTCGTGATGATTTTCTGAGTGACATATTTTTCTCGGAAGGTCACAATTAGGTCACCTTGGGATAAGATAAATTGTCGACGTCTGAAACATCAATTAAAAACGCAGGAGGCCTGATAATGTCCACAATAAAATTAAATCATTAAGAAATTTAGTTAATTATGAAAAATCTTATATTTTATAAATACAGTTATCAAAGAATTGCGTACAAATATTTTCCAGAGTGTAATAAACATGAAAAAATTATCTTATATAATTGTTAAACACAATTGGTTTCTGTTTTGACTAAAAATTTTATCACTTTTGAGAAATGAAAAAAATTCTCTAAAGGTCATCATTTTCGAATTAGGACATCTCTGAATTCAATGAAAATTCGAATTATTTTATTTATCATTTCACTTATCTCTTGTACTCCGATCATTGCTTTCGGTAATAACTATTATACTATGGAGCAATATATATGAATCAACGATATACATGTCAATATATTAACAATAAATATAATTATTGCTGTATCCTTGCAATTATGTACAATTTTGACAAAAAAAAAATGTGCCGTAATTAGGATTCAACCCTGTCTCGGCAAATCAAAAATCTAATGCTCTAACTATAGAGCTAGCATATTAACATTTAAAATGTTTAATTTTATTTTACTTACTGGAATATGTTCAACTTTTTCAGCAATGAGATGAGGTCTAATATCTCTATAATGTATAGGTGTTTCTTTTTTATCACAAATTTCGTTTAATAATTTTTTTGCCTCAGTTGTATTACTAACTTGTTTGAATTTTTAAAGTTCAACTTTTGGATCTTGCATTTCCTCAATTATATTCTTAACTTTGTGTGCAATGTTTTCAAACTGCGGTTTCGATAATAATAACTCGTAAAGTAATTATATGGGAAAAAAATTTCTGTACTGTTTTCAATACTCACCTTGCCCAGATTTGTTTCTATATCCTCTGATATCAATATGGTAGTTGGTATTTTTTGGAGAATACTAGATTGGAGTATGTTTTTTCCCCAATCATCTATTCCATCATTTAATACAAATAAAACTACAGATGATACTTTTATGACCTCAAAAATTTTGAAAATATCATCAGAAGAAGGAACAATAAAGCAAAACCTTTTACTCCAATTTTTCAAACTGAAAAATTTTTTATTATGTAACAAATGCAATAGAAGAATATTGGTATGTGCAATTTTTTAATGCCTTTAATAAATGTAATAATACAACACTTAACAATTTATTTTTAAAGGTGTCCCCTAATCGGAACTACAGCCAAAAAAATTAACAACTTCTGGTATAAAAATAGATGTACTAATCGTCTGTACCGAATTTATGACTCCAAACAGGTTTACGCTTTTGGATAAAGCTTTTGATTCCCTCCTGTGCATCGTTGAGTTCTAGAGTTTTCACCATTATTTCAGTTCCCAAAACATACGCTGTCGAATTATCAAGTTCTACTTGCTCATAAAGAAACTTCTTGCCTAACTCAACAATTGCACGGCTTTTTGAACTTATTGCATCGGTTATCTTTTTTACTTCTTCCGCTGCAATCAGAGTATGTATCAGACAATACTTTACGTAATAAGTTCAGATGATGTAATAATCATTTTCTTACTGAGCTTGTCATTGGGTACAATTTTGCTGACAAGACCTGACCTGTAAGCTTCTTGAGCAGATAAAGGAAGACCTGTAAATAACATATGTGATGCTACTTTTTTGTGTATGTTACGAACTAATGGGATTCCTGGAGTCGAACAAAATATCCCAAAGTTAGCCCTTGAAATAAAAAAGAATTGAAATTAATTTTTTTTGTCGGTAATTACAGAACTGATAAATTGTTGATTATTTTTTTTTCATACCCAGGAGTAGAAAAACTGCTTCTTTCAGTACAAACGACAATATCACAAGTGCTAACTAATTGACATCCAGCTGCTGCTGCTAAACCATCGACTGCAGCTATTACAGGTACAGGAGAATTTGCTATTGCTCTCATTAAATCTGAAGCAGCTTCAAAAACTGCTGAATGATGTTTACTACCTTTTTCTGTAGTCTACATGTATAAGAGAAGTTTATAATTATTTTTTATCCAATGCTACCTAAATGATATGCATAAATAAATATAACATAGAAAATAGTAAATTCTTTATTAAATATACAAATTACTTACTAGCTCTTTGAGATTATGACCAGCAGAAAATACTTTTCCAGGAGCTGCTGCAATCACTATTGACCTTAATGATTCATTGCCTTTATCTCTTTGAATATTCCAGAGTAAAATTTTCATCATTTCCAAAGATAAAGAATTTCTAGAAGCTCCATGATCTAGAATTATTGTTCTTACCTGTTCAAAAAAACATCTCTGTTATTATAATAATACTTTTTTTCAAATAATATATAATTCTATCACTGTAATTTGTAGAAAAAAATACTTCACTCCATCTTCTTCAGTACTTTCGACATATTTTTCACTCTCAAACGTCGTATTTGTAATGTAAGATCTGGTGAACTGCTTTCCCACCTGTAATAAATCACTTTTAAATTTTCGCGCTAAGTTGACGCATGCGTAATGAATTGTTATGCGCAATAACAATCGCGGATGGTTTTGTGGCTTACATTCGATTATTTCACGTGTAAACGAACTTGCTGATTACATAATTGTCAACGGCTATGTAATTATTGATCAAAATTCATGAATTTCTGTAATATCTTACCTTAAATACAGAAAATACTCGTCCTTTTATAAAGCGTGACATTTTGCAACTACTACGATATCGCCACCTAGAACTCTATTGTTACTTTTCCCGCTAATCGTGATCTATTTTCTCCTGAATTTGTTTCAATTTGAACACAACAGTACTCGCAAGAGGAGATAGATTATAAGCTCCTCTTCTTTTTTAGTTACTTAATTTCGCAATAATTTTCTAAATAAAGTGTCAATAAATAGATTAAACGTTATATATTATAATGAGGTTATGAAATGCACATGAAAATATTTTTAGTAAACGGCGGAGTAGAGAGCGTGACCATGAACATAAAATAAACAATAAAATTCTTAAAATAAATAAAAATCTAGGTAAATTTCATTCTATAATCAAGAGTATCCCTTAAATGGTAGCCAAGACACAGAGTGAATCATGAATTTATTAGATCGAACGTATGTAGTCAATTGGAATAACCATCAGGGACCATAAACAGTATCGTCATGACAACGAGTGTTTTGATCTTTTAACTAACATGGCAGACTATGAAGGTAAGTGATTGATTATAATTAATTTTTAATGACACTAAATTTATCATTTAATTAACGAAATTCCTAATTTATTATTCTGTTATTATTTCATTTCCTGAGTCATTTCCCTCTCTCTTCTTAAGCTGTTAATCTCTCAGTCTTCTCTCGAACGTCGAGACGCTCTCTAAGCGCAGATAGACTCTTCTAATTATATATAACAGTCTCTTAGGTCTTTTCACGTAACAAAAAAAGGGAAGAGTAAGAAGAGGATTACTGAAACGAGAGTAACTAAAATAACTTCTCATCAAGTATTAACCACACAAGTATCCAGTGTTAGTTGGTCCTACAAGTTGATCTCTTGGTTATTAACCGTGCCAGTCAACGTTAACGTCAAACACACTCGATGTTGTGCTGTGTCTCACGAAAGGCTGTCGGGGGATCAGTTATTACCAAAAAACCACCGCTGATCCCTCCCAAAGAAAAATTATCAAATTCTTCTACACTTGAATCTTCAACAACTGCTAAATTGCACACACCTGCATCAAACTTTCCATCAGAGAAAGCAGAAAATTTGAAAACTAAACCAAGTGACTCCATTCTAGCTAATGAAGGTAAGCAGTTAAGAGCATTTATGTTGTGTTGATTGATTGAATCAGTTACGACACTAATCCTGGAACTAATCATTGCATCATAATCTTTTTTTCTGCTTTCAATTAACAGCATCATTTACATATAATCATACCTTGATTCAGTCTCGTCCAGTGTGATATTGTGGAAAAACACATCTTTGAAAAAGCAAGATTAAAAAAATCTAAATAGTGAAGTAAAATAAAGAGTTGGAATGATATTTACACAAAGTTTGTTGATCAAATAAAACTATTGAAGATGGAAATTGTGAACGTAAATACTTGACTTGAGTAAAGAATTATCGAGCTCTCATTCTCCCGCCTCCGTAAATGAACGAAAGCCTTGAAGGTGAGTCCATAAGGAGATCTCAATTTGAAGAGAGAACGAGAAGAAGGTTGAAAGAGAACGGAAGGAAGGTAATGCTGGTGCATAAGGAGTTTGTGGATGAGATAGAGCACAACATCGAGGCGTATCAACTCAGTCGACAAATATCCAAAAAAGGAAACCTGAATACGTAGGCGCAACGACACTAGGGCGGGGGCGATCAACACGTTCGAGGACTTTGACAAGAATTGAGTGAAGAAATCACTAAAGGTGTTTCATGTCCTCCACTTGATCGTTTTGTTTTCGTACCTGTTAAACAGAAGCTGAGAGAGTACAGTGTTTTTGTCTTGTCTTGATTAATTATTTAACTTAAAGGAATAATATATTGCTAATTCAATCAGACTAACTAAGATAATTGAATTAACAAGTGTGTTAGATTGTTTTTTTGGTGTTATTCTTCTTCTTATCCTCTCGATATGTTTTTTTACACGTTAGCGTGACTAGTAAAACACGCGAGTGATGTATGAAAAAACCTAGTGGTTAAGTCTTCTAGATTAACGATATAGAAGTTATAAAACTAAGTTCTCATTTTTTCTCTTCATTGTTTAAAGAGTAAACTAGTTTACACGTGAATTATTAACGAGTTTACTCATCAATACATACGTTGTTGCATAAGTAATAAGTGTGTGAGATTTAATAATTGATAAATGGCAACAGATGAGACGTCGGTTTTGCTGCCTTGCGCGATATGCTCCCGGACATTCAAACCACAGTCATTGGAGAAGCATGTGAAAATTTGCGAACGAACTGCGACCAAAAAACGAAAACCTTTCGACTCCGCTAAGCAACGAATTCAAGGTACAGAATTGGAAGAGTTTCTTCCTGTAGAGCAAAAAAAGAAAATCCTGCAGGAGGAAAAAAGGCATACCTCTTGGAAGCAAAATCACGACGATTTTATTAAAACTATTCGAGCAGCTCGAGGAGATTCTGTAAGTTATTATTTTGAATTAATTAATTTGTTTACTTAAGTAATTTTTTACAAATAATTTTAATTATTACGAATAGGGTGATACAATATCTTGTCGACAAACAACTTCAATCGTGGCTCCCGGAGCTCCAACGCGTGCCAATGAAAAAGGATTGTGTCCAACATGTAATCGCCAATTTGGCATCAAAGCCTACGACCGTCATGTGGCTTGGTGTAAAGAGAGAATTGTCCGAGCGCCGGCAAGCCCAGCGACAAATGTGGCAAAAGAACGACTGGATGCCAGGATGAAATACCGTGCACCATTGCTAAAAAATCGAAGAATGACAAATAGAGAAAAATATGCACCACACTCAGGGATTAAAAATAATTCTTCATCTAATTCAAAAGCTAAGGAAAGCCAAACTTCTCTAAATTGTAATAAAGTTAATGAGTCTCTGAGCATCAAACAACCAGCTGTAACTGAGTAAGTTTCATTTTCCTTGGCATCTCGCCAAGTTTTCTTTCGTAACTCATTTTTTTGTCTTTTTCTTGTGGCTTTATTCTTGAACTCTTCCTCGAGACGCAATTACAGCTGTCAAAAGTACTACTTCCGCTCCAGCTGGATACGATGTATCGTTATAATTATTTTAGTTTTATTAGTTTCATCGTTGTAACGAAATGTGCACGAACAAATTAGAATCATTGTTAATTAGAGATGACGAGCTTTCTCCATATTTATTTTTACTATTTTTATTGAAACATCAAGTTTGATTTTAGCGAGCACAACTCTTTTATCGTAGTAATTATAGAGTTAAAGAATTAATTAAATATATATCTATATAATCAAATCATTAATTAATTAATAGTTTTATAAACAATTAAAATAATTTAATAGTAAAACCAGAATGTTCAATAAAACAATATAATTTTTTTCTGACCTACTATTGTACACAGTAATTAACATTTTTATAAAAAAAATGAATTACATAATTGATACTTTTTTATTTTTAAAAAATGATAAAGTTGACAAAAAAATTATAAATATTTATTCACAAAGAAAAAATTCTATACGAGATTTCTTATTCAATTATCGCGATGAAGGAAGAATAAAAAAGTCGAAGTTCAGCGAATTCTTGGAGCCGGTTTTATTAATTGCCTATTGAGATTCTCTATTAATAAACTTGTATATTCTTATATGTAATTCAGAGAGATATTTAATGAGGACTTGAAAATAACAATAATTATATTTTATTATAGAAGGAGGAAAGGTGGACAAGGTAAAACCGATTCTGTGATTGCTTCGGGACCAGTGAAATCAAGACTGTCAGATAGAATCACTAAGTAGGTATTTTATGAACAATTTTTAATTTGAAATAAAAAAAAAAAAAAAAAAAAAAAAATAAGTTTTGTCAATAGAATTTTCGTAAAAAGCAATTACTGAGTGTCGTAAAGTATCAAATTGTGCATGCACGAAGTAATAAAGTTGTTTTAACAATTCCTTCTTTTATCATAGAAATATTGACAGTCATAATTTTATGGCTTTGACATCTTCCACCTCAAGTCATATCTTCCCACGAATTGATTATCCATTTCACGATCCTTCTTTCAAATCCAGTTCCCAAATAAGTCCACTTTTAATGTGCCATTCGCTGTCTTCTTTAAAAAATGACAAGACAAAAGAAACTAAAAAAAGAAAATCGAAAAAAATACAAAAACAACCTATTGTTTCTGAAACTAGTATTTGTAACGTCAAGGTCAATGATGTCATGACCAATGACGTAACAGATATGACAATAAGACCTTCTAATGTCCATAGGGAGAACGAATCAATGATAACATGGAAACAAATAAGTAACGACCAAAATAGAATGACAATTGATGAAAAATTAATTGAAGAAGGGTTTGATGGGCTAAAGGATATTAAATGGTCTAGAAGTACACAAAAATTAGATCAAACTTTTTCGATAAAGGAATCTAGTGAATGTAGTTCTATTGATATAATTTCTAAATATTTACATGATGATGAATCTTTGGATAAAGGAGTAAGAAAGCTTGAATCAATACCAGGGAGTCCAAGAATATTTAATGCAGATGTTACTTGCACGAGTACTCCAGTGTCATCAAGGGAAGAGATTAGAGAACGTTGTCACGAAGAAAAACGAATGGAAATGGGTACAGCAAAAGAAATGATTGATGATAAATGTAAAAATATTTCAAACGAAGAGATAACTGATGAAGCTAAAAAAAGATTAAACACTCAAAATTATATAATGGAAGAGTCTAACATTCAGCAGGCCTCAAAAAAATGTGAAAGCACAGAGGAAGTTGATAACGAGTTAGATAAGTCAAGGAGTAATTTTGAAAATAACTCTCGGATATCAGACGATAGGATAGTACTCGTCGATGAAATTATTCCCCTCAGTAATTTCATAAAATATAAAAATAATAATATACATAATTCTGGGTCATTTACTCCATCACGAAATTTTACGAGTGATTCTCTGGATTCAGTTGGATCAAGCCGAATAATTACTATGAGAAAAAGATTAAGAAAGAAGATGCATCTGCTTCGTGAAAGCACTGATTCTCTAGTATCTTCTCTTGACACAAGTGATGAAATAACTACGAGAAAAAGATCCCAAGGTCATATAGTAGATGTTGAAAAAGAAACATCAGGAGTTAATGAGCCGGAACATAGAAAAGTGAGAAAGTCATTGATATTTCCGGAAATTGTGACAGAAAGAAAAATTGATAGGCCCAAGAGTTTTCAAGAACGAGAAGGTACTTATTGGAAACGGATGACGAGAAATTCAAGAAGTAGACTATTTTATCATTTAATGCGAAATCCTAAACTCCCTCATCTCCTTCCTCCTATTGTTTCTGCTGAAAGAAGGTAAAATATTTCCAGCTTGTCCTTGGTCCTTATTCAACTTGTTTTTCTTATATTTTTAAATTTAAATAATTATGCTAAAATAACATTAGAATTAGTTGATTTTGTTTTGGAATAAAAATGACTTCTAGGAGCAGTAGTCAAGAATTTCGTCCATCTTGGAGCACTTATGTACGCAGACGTCCGGATTTTAATCTCGTACTCACAAGTAGAACGTAAGTTTGGTTCTAGGTTAGAACACGATGAATATCTCCACGCCTGGACGTCATTGATGCACGATCAAACTTCGTCACGCGCAATTTGCTTGTTCAACAATCGATTCTCGCTTAATTATCACAAATTATTATCATTGTTATGCCATGTGGGAGTCACGCCATCATATCGACCATGAGAATCTTCATTCTATTGAGAACTTAGGGCTCGTCTATTTCTAATTTGATTGATGTTTTTTCTTATTATTTATAGCATGGACTGACCATTGCACCTGCACTGAGAAAATTTATTTATAGTTAACGAATTTTATTTTGGCTTCATGAATATTAATTAGAAATTACTATTCTTGGAGCATCTATTACATTGTCAATTTAAATTCTCTTTTAAACAAACTTATACGATAATAATTTTAGGTCAATTCGAATCAATAATAATATTTTAAAAGTGATAAAATCATATAGAATAAATCAAAATGAAAGTTTTAATGAAATTCAAACAAAAATAAATTTTTTAAATGTACAGATTTACACCTGAATGCTGAAGTAATGGATTATTTTTTTAATTAGGTATTGATAAAACTTGTATTTTTTCAGTGGTGTTTGCCAGGATTATGATCCATTTCTGATGGCTGATCGTCAACTCAATGAACTTCTGTCAGATACATGCAGTGATCAATCTTTCCTAGACTCACCATCCACTCGATACAAACCTACATCTACTCCTCTTTATCCACATTCTCATTCATCAGCTTTTGTTAAATATCCAAACTCTAGCCCTTCCAATTCTCCAGATAAAAAGGGGTCGTTCATCACACCACCTTCTGAGTTTGATGAACTATCTATTTGTTTTTCATCAGACTCAACTGACACTAATTCAATATGTCGCGAATTGTTTCCTGATCTTGAGTCACCTTGTCGTCGAGAAGACCAAAATAAAAATAAAAGTAATCAGCCTATTTTGGGCAGACGTGTTATTATAGATAAATCAAAAGCTCTTGGCACTCCAAATGTAGACACTTTTGATGATAATTTAAATCGTAATAATAATAATACTTTTCAAAAATCACGACAAGTTGTGGAAAAAGTTACTACTAAATGTATTCGACCACAAGTTACTCGTTCTAATTCAGTCAGAGCTGCATCTGCACCTAAAATACCTGAAAGAAATTCTGTTCTCTCGAATAAAGTTAACTCAAGATCATCTTCAAGTTCTAGGTTTCAAAATAAAAGTAATAATTATGCTAATCTAAATGGAAGCAACTTGAGCCTTAGCTCAATTGTTTCCTCTGAAGTTGAAGTGAAAAGGTCTAATTCAATGTTCGATGACCTTGTCAGTTCATTTGAAGATGAATCAGGTTCATTTCCTTCATTAAGATCCTATCTAAAAGATGATTCCTTATCCTTATCCAGTTCTCTTCAAACGAGTCGAGTACGCAATGGTCAAATCAGTGATGAAGATTTGTCATCTCCAGACAGCTATAAAAGACCAGACAACAAACTTAGTGCAGATTCAGCTTATAGCAGGTGAGCTTTATCTTTATTTTATTCAATAAATATTTGTTTTTTAAAGCTTGTTTTTTAATAAATTTATTGTTTTATTTACAGTTTAAATCGTAAATATTCAAATCACGGTCACGATGCAACTGATATGACAAATAGAATAGATGAGGATGTGATTCGTCGACGTGAAAATGAAGTAACGTCTACTGCCAAGTCAAAAATGTCAAAATTCTGCCACGAGTGTGGGACCAGGTTTCCAGAGACTGCCAAGTTCTGCTGCGAATGTGGCATTCAAAGACTTGCCCTGTGACAATCGATCATAAAATGAAGACAAAAATCAAACAATATTTTTTATTAATAAGTCAAATATCAAAAGAATTTGATTTAAACGCACATTTAATTTTTATTTTTTTTTTATATTTGTTATATTATATACATATATCTTCCGTTATATAATTTACACTGAGGCATTTATTTATAAAAGATTGTCTCATTTTTTGTTTATAGAGAGGTCATGCTTTATTTAATAATATAGTATTAATTTATTATAGTCATAATATATAGGAAGAGAGCACGTTTATAATAATTAATGCTTGAAGTACGACTGACAAATCTTGCTAGTGGGAAGTTAAAATCAAAGTGTGATTTTTTATGTCTTTTATATGAATAATTAGGATTATGAAAAAATTAAAAGAAACAGAAGAGTTGATAGAAATTTTTTTAGAAATGATGTATGAGTCCACAGCAGATTGATAGCCATAAGTATCAATAACACATGAATGAGTGATGACTTTTTCTAGTAAACTTTAGGCTCTCTGGTGTACTCAATAACCAAAGAGAATAGAAGCCATACGATTTTTAATAAATACAATTGATTATAAAAAAAAGGAAAAAAAATAGAATAATATAATAATAAATTAATAAAAATAAATTTAGTAATTTGGAAATTGTATTTTTGCAAGTGCAATGAAGCTTTACTTAAATCGAACTTCATTTGTTCTTTTCATATCCCAACCTATTTTTCAACTCCACAAATGTCAATTATATCCGTATAAAAATAATGATTCTCAGTAAAATATCAAGAATATCTACATTTAACTCATTAAGAAATTTAATTAAAACTTGTAATTTACATGTTAATGTAAATACTAATGAAGGTTCAGTAACTTCAGATTCAGAAAAGGTAATTAGTGTTTCTTTAGAGTTTTCTTTCTCAAGTACATACTCATAAAACTTTCTTCGAAGGGTTATCCGATTGTTGATCACTGCTATGACGTGGTAATCGTAGGCGCTGGTGGAGCAGGATTACGAGCTGCTATTGGTCTAGGATGTAAAGGATATCGAATAGCAGTAGTAACTAAGCTCTTTCCAACACGATCTCATACTGTAGCAGCTCAAGGAGGAATAAACGCTGCTATCAGTAATGTTGAACCAGATGATTGGCTTTATCATATGTATGATACTGTTAAGGGATCAGATTGGCTTGGAGATCAAGATGCAATTCATTATCTAACACGAGAAGCTCCAACAGCTGTTTTTGAATTAGAAAATTATGGTAAATAATTGAATTTTTTAAAAGAATAACTTAAATATAAACTTACAAATAAATTTTTTATTTTATTCGAATTCAGGTTGTCCTTTCAGTCGAACTAAAGAAGGGAAAATTTATCAAAGAGCTTTTGGTGGTCAATCTTTGAGATTTGGAAAAGGTGGACAAGCTCATAGAACTTGTGCAGTATCTGATAGAACAGGTCATGCAATTCTCCATACTCTCTATGGTCAAAGTCTTCGTTATGATGTTGATTATTTTATTGAATTTTTTGCAATTGATCTTCTTATACATGAAAGATCATGCAGAGGTGTGATAGCTTGGGAATTGGAATCTGGATTGATTCATCGATTCAGAGCTCATCATACAGTTCTAGCTACTGGAGGAGCAGGAAGATGCTTTTTTTCTTGCACTGGTGCTCATGCATGTACTGGTGATGGTGCTGGAATGGTATCAAGAGCTGGTTTACCTTTGCAAGACTTGGAATTTGTACAATTCCATCCTACAGGGATTTATGGGAGTGGGATTTTAATCACTGAAGGTAGTCGTGGAGAAGGTGGATTACTTGTAAATTCAAAGGGGGAATTTTTTATGGAAAGATACGCACCAAAAGCCAAAGACTTGGCATCAAGAGATGTTGTATCAAAGGCAATTACTATTGAAATTCTTGAAGGAAGGTAACATACTTTTTGTTGTTGTTATGTACCGATAATAAAATTTAGAAAATTACTTGGTTTTGTTAACTACAGAGGAGTTGGTAAAAAAAAAGATCATGTCAATCTCCAACTTTCTCATTTACCAACTGAAACAATAAGAACAAAATTACCCGGAATTGCACATTTAGCTTGGGTTTTCGCTGGAGTTGATTGTGAAAAAGAACCTATTCCTGTTATTCCTACAGTTCATTATAACATGGGTGGTATTCCCACAAATTGGCGTTGTCAAGTAAATAAATTATATATTTAATACTCCAATATTATCAGAGTAATAATTTTTCATTTTATTCAATATTGTCTATAATAATAATAATTCGTATCTTTTTGTGTTTATAAGATAATCTTATATCTTTTTATTTTAACAATTTAATAAGTAAATTGAAAACGACAAATAGATATCTAAATTTTATTTTTATGATTCTTTAATTATGTCCCAATACACTGACATTAACTTTGGATAAAAATAAAATATTGATGATGATCAATTTGAATAATTGACAAATAAACAGCTACAAACCACTACAAAATATTTTATTATTAGGTTTTGACAAGAGAAAATGAAGCTGATCTTATTGTTGAAGGTCTTTGGGCAGTAGGAGAAGCTGCTTGTATGTCAATTCATGGGGCCAATCGTTTAGGAGCTAATAGCTTATTAGAAACAGTAGTATTTGGCAAAGCAGTTGCTGAACATATTATCAATATTTCAAAACCTGGAGAAAAACATCCTAAAATTGTTCCTGTAATAATTGTTTCTGTGTCTTCTTTTTTTTTAATTCATTCTACTCTAATTACTTGATAACACAGATATTTTTTTCAGGAAATAGAACAAGAAATCATCAATAGATTTAATGATACTCGTAATGCTAAAGGGGAAATATCAGTTGCTGCTTTACGAGAAGAGATGCAAATGACTATGCAAAAATACTGCGGAGTCTTTAGAACATGTACAGTCTTACAGAAAGGTTGTCGTGAAATCCAAAGGCTTTATAAAAAATCATTACCTGATTTGAAGGTACATATTTGTTATGGTAAAACTAAATTTTTAATTTAAATCCTAAAAACAATATCATAAAGTAGTATTCATGGATATAAATAATGATAAAGTTCATTACATTGAAAAAAAATTTAAACAAACCATAGATTAAGTCAATACGATTAATTTCTTATCATTCGCATTTTTGTTATTAAATTTTGATCTTAAATAATATCATTATTACTTTAAATAGCGAAATATGAATATTATTACCTAGATAAAAAAGTGTAGATTTGTTCAAGTGTCTTTTTGTATTACCTGATAAGATAAATTACTTTACTTTCTTTTAGATGCCTGATAAGTCTCTTATCTGGAACACTGAGTTAGTCGAAGCATTGGAACTTCAGAATATGATGATTTTCAACCTTCATACGGTTTATGCAGCAGAAAATAGAAGAGAGACTAGAGGAGCTCATGCACGAGATGATTATCCAGTAAATTGTTATTCAAATTACAGTTATAAAACTATCATATCCGTATGAACGCGGTATTTCTTTTCTACTAGAACAAAAAAAAATGCTAATTACGGAATAATTTAAAAAGTTATTCAAAGTATCACATGTAATCGATATTTTTTTTTATTACTGTCGTAATTTATTGTTTATCATGATAAATGTGACTTAATCACTCTTAGTTATTAACCTCAAGTAATAAATTACATTGATAACTTGTTCCTAACTTTATTGGCTTGACAAAAAATTTATAACTTTTTATTACTCCAAAAAATGATTGATGTTAGATTAATTATATATTAATAAATTAATTTCAGGATCGAATAGATGAGTTTGATTATAAACAACCGTTGGAAGGTCAAATAAGAAAACCTTTAAGTGAACATTGGCGCAAACATACTCTCACATGGGCTCTTAAAGACGGTTCTGTAAGTACATTAATGTATGGCATTACCATTAAGTTTCTTAATTTATGATAATGGTGTTTAATAATGATTTTTAATGTTTAGATTTGCATTTCTTATCGACCGGTCATCGACACGACTTTGGACGAGACAGAAGCTCAACATGTGCCTCCTTCGATACGTGTTTATTGATTAATTATGTATCTAAAAAAGACAATGCTTATTGATTCAATAATGATTTAGCTGACAAACCTTCGTCTGTCCCTGTAAGTCAATTGAAATTGAATCAACTCCGACCTTTGTTTATTCAAAACAAGGTTCAGTCAATAAGCAATGCGATCATAGTCTGAATATCATGACCTAGCGCATTAAAATATTTACAAGCGGCATTTAAGATCCTCGTTAGTTTCTAATTGAATTTTAATACGTACACATATAACTTAAGCAATATCACATCTCCAAAACATGATATTTATCAACAGATAACCTTGAATTTTTATAAGTATTTGGTCTTGCTGTGTTCTCTTCCATCAAAATATTATTGAGGTTATATTAATCATAACAATTTCTGCTATTTAATGTTAAACAATTTATTTAATAGTAGACTATTAATTTATTTTTCTTGTTGATACTAAAATTATTTGAAAATGTTTTGTTGGTGTATCCATTCTACTGTAATGAGAGCCACTGTTATACAAAGAATAAAATTAATCTACGCATCATGTATAAAAACAACTCTTACACCTTACATATTCATAAAAATTGATAAGATACCCATAAAATGTAAATATCACTTACAACATCGTATAGAAAACATTTATATAAACATTTTTTTTGAATGCAATCGTGACCAACATAACCTTAACAAAAACAATACCTTTAATATTTTCTCTTGTAATATTGGTAAAACTGCGTAGTCGCGCATTGGATCAGTCGGTCTTTTCGCATTCTACTAAACATAAAGTGTAATTTTTTTTCGTCGTTTTCACGCTGCGCCGTACGAGAAGTACGCGAGTGAAAAAAACGGAAAAAATTAAATAAATCCAATCTGCAAAGTCGTCTGTCCGTGAGATAATAATCACGAAAACGTTGAGATTTAGTTTTACTACAAAACAAAGTCAGTTTTATTGATGAAAATGAGTGGGATACTTAAGCTTTCGTGTCTCCTGGCAAGACAACCAACTCGAGTGCTGGTAGGATCAGTATTTTGAGTTACATAATTTTTTTTTTACTCTAACAAAGATAAAATTATCATAAAAAACTCTCTATTGAATGAAAAATGGTTAACCAGTGTTACGCAATTTTTTGTGTTGGATAAAAATGCATCAATTTATGATTCCATTGTTATTAATTCACCCTTCTGTTTGTAACAGTTAAATACGATATTTACTGTCAGGGTTGATATTCTTGTGCTAAAAAATGCATTATTTATAATGTACATAAGTAATTTTAATCTTCATAAGTCATTCTTGAGCTTCTTAAAAAGTCGTTGACGTGAAAAGTGATATTTTTATTTATAATTCCGAATAACATTTATATTATAGGTGACATCTGGCTCATAGGGATAGTAACAACGTAGAGTGATGATCACATGTTAAAAAGACTCTAATTATGCTCAAGATGATTACGCAAAATCTCTATAAAAACACATGACGATTTTATAATTCAAAAAACTTGGGACCAAATAATTTTAGAAAATTATCATCGTCGAATTCGTTTTAACCAATTGTATCAGATGATGCAACACTAGTTTCAAGCTTCTAATTGGAAAAATTAATTTATTATTAGTCAATAATTACTCAAAATCGACATATTACACAATGTAATTTCAAAGTTCTTGCATAACTATGTTTTTTTTTCTGATAAGACTAATTAACGTATTCGATGAACCTAGCAATTGATTAAGTGACAAAGATAATTTTTATTAGCCAATTAAAAATGTTTAGTTTTGTCTCATAATGAATCATTGGAGCATGAAGTGATATTTATTGTTCATTCATTTTTGTTCTTAGAATCAATTGGGACTACCGGTTGTTGCAAATCGCAAATTTCATTATACACCGGATGGCAAAGCTGCTAAGGTGTCAGAAGGAATTTCAAAGCAATATCCAGTAGTAGACCATACATATGATGCAGTTGTTGTTGGAGCTGGTGGTGCAGGATTACGAGCAGCTTACGGGCTTGTGGCTGAAGGATTTAAAACAGCTGTTGTCACTAAATTATTTCCAACACGATCTCACACAGTCGCTGCTCAAGGAGGAATTAATGCCGCTCTTGGAAATATGGAAGAAGACAATTGGCAGTGGCATATGTATGATACTGTTAAAGGATCTGATTGGCTTGGAGACCAAGATGCAATTCATTATATGACTCGTGAAGCACCAAAAGCTGTTATTGAGTTGGAAAATTGTGGAATGCCTTTCAGCCGAACCCAAGATGGTAAATATGATATTAATTTATATTTATATAAGTTTAAGTTAATTTTAACATATAACAACTGGTTATAATAAAATGGAGAAGTTATGAACTAACGTCACTAGATTTGTTCTCATCAGAGTTTGATTCTTCATCTGAATCTGTGACTTGTACATAGATCCCTGGTTGTTTCTTTCGTTTTCGACCTTTCTTTTTTGTATCTTGATTCTAAATGATTATTTTCATTTAATTACTCCAAAAATAAATATATCAATTTTTATCATTCACCTTCGTGGTATTACTCGATGAAGAGTCATCTTTTTTATCTTTTTCTGATCTTTTCCATCTTACAGTTGTTTTAACTTTTCCATTCCGCGAGTTTGAGGCTTTTTGTTTTCGCACCCAAGCTGCACCTTCGATGTAAGGTTGTTTTTCTTCTTGTGACATTAATCTCCATTTTTCACCAGCAAGTCGGAAAAGGTTTGATCCACTCGTTTTTTCCGGATATTCTAGATGTTTCTAGTGATGAAGAAAGAATAATTATACATGAAAAACATCTAATTATAATTTAAAATAAGTTATACAAAATTTATGTTAAACCTGTTTGTAATCATGCATATAATTTATAAAGGCATTTGCACTTTTCCAATTTGGATTTGTTGAATCCTTAGGCGATCTTGACCGCGATCTTGGCTCATTATTACTCCCAACCAAACTCGACTGTGATTGACCAGCTTCACTAGATGAGTTATACCCTGTTATCTCCTGTCCGTCTTGTTGCTGTGATTGATTTACTGGTTCATTGAGGTCATTGTTACTTTCAGGCTCGTCATCACTTCCTGATTGTATAGGCTGTTCCATAATTTACCGCTTAATATAATTTCCTCTTGAATTTTCATCAATTTTATGACATTTTTATAGAAAAAATTTATTTTGAAACATTTTTATCTCTTGCTCGTTCATCAAAACACTAACAAATGACAAACAACATTAAGAAACTGAATATTGCTACTTATCTATCATTCTAAATATTTGAATAAATATTGTTCTTTTTCAGGCAAAATTTACCAACGAGCTTTTGGTGGACAATCCTTGAAATTTGGAAAAGGAGGTCAAGCTCATAGATGTTGTTGTGTCGCGGACAGAACTGGACATTCACTTCTTCATACTCTTTATGGCCAATCTCTTAGCTACGATTGTAACTACTTTGTGGAATATTTTGCTCTAGACTTATTGATGGAAGGTGGAGAGTGTCGAGGAGTTATTGCTTTATGTTTGGAAGACGGATCAATTCATCGTTTCCATGCTAAAAATACCGTCTTAGCAACTGGAGGTTACGGACGTGCTTACTTTTCATGTACTTCAGCCCACACATGTACAGGTGATGGTACTGCGATGGTAACCCGTGCTGGACTTCCCAATCAAGATCTCGAATTTGTCCAGTTTCATCCAACAGGAATTTATGGAGCAGGATGTTTAATTACTGAAGGAAGTCGTGGAGAGGGCGGATATCTAATTAACAGTGAAGGTGAAAGATTTATGGAACGTTACGCTCCAGTTGCTAAAGATCTTGCATCTCGAGATGTCGTCTCCAGATCCATGACTATTGAAATTCGTGAAGGAAGAGGAGTGGGACCTGAAAAAGATCATATTTACTTACAACTTCACCATCTCCCACCAGAACAATTAGCTGCAAGACTTCCTGGTATTTCAGAAACTGCAATGATTTTTGCTGGAGTGGATGTAACTCGTGAACCCATTCCCGTATTACCAACTGTGCATTATAATATGGGTGGAGTACCAACAAACTATAAAGGACAAGTTTTAACAACAAAGAATGGAGAAGATACCGTTGTACCTGGACTATACGCATGTGGAGAAGCAGCATGTGCTTCAGTTCATGGTGCTAATCGTTTAGGTGCTAATTCTCTTCTTGACCTGGTAGTTTTTGGACGAGCTTGTGCTAAAACAATCGGAGCAGAAAACAAACCTGGAGAAAAAATTGGTAGCCTCAGTTCGGTAAGTTCAAAGAAATTTTTTCTTCTAATAAATATTTAAAACTAGAGAAACTAATGCAATTTTTTTTCTTTAGAATGCCGGAGAACAATCTGTAGCTAATTTGGATCGCATCAGACATGCGAATGGTTCAATTTCTACCGCAGAATTGAGACTGACAATGCAAAAAACCATGCAAACACACGCTGCTGTGTTTAGAGAGGCAAAAACACTCCAAGAAGGTTGCCAGAAGATGACCGACTTGTATAAAAAATTAGATGAACTTAAATTAACTGATCGATCTCTCATATGGAATTCAGACTTGATAGAAACATTGGAGCTTCAAAATTTAATGTTGAACGCAATGCAGACTATTTACGCAGCTGAAAATAGAAAGGAAAGTCGTGGTGCTCATGCACGAGAAGATTTCAAAGATAGAATCGATGAATATGATTATAGTAAGCCCATAGAGAATCAAAGCCCTAAACCAATAGATCAACACTGGAGAAAGCACACTCTTACTACAATGGACGAAAAAACTGGAAAGGTAAATTTTCAGTGAATAGTTTTTTAAAAAATGAAAAAAAAAAACATTCTGAAATCTAACATTTATTATGTTATTGTTTAGGTCTCAATTGACTACCGAAATGTAATTGATGCGACATTGGATTCTAAGGAATGCGCTACAGTACCTCCAGCGATTCGTTCATACTAAACTCATTTAGTTCGCACACCAATGTTACTGAATTCGTAAAACATAAATTACAAATAATCTTGTCATTAATTTTAAATATTTAAATTTAAAGCCTGAGTCGATTCTTATTATTGTACAAGTCACCAAAAGAAGCAGCAAATTTATTTATTTTTAATTATTAATTCGTTACCAAGATCCAATATGCACCAAAGTTTGTACTTTGTCAATTTGTTCGAGATTATTTGTTGTAAAATATGCATATGATCGAATATTTTGTTGAGGTAAAATGAAGAAGGTACTGAGTTTAAAGAAGCAACAAATTTATATAAAGATGTACTGACTGATCTCTTCTTCATTTAATGTCAATTTTTAATATTACGTGGTAGTTAACTAATGAGTATTAAAGCTGAAATGGAGCAGATAAATATTGGCTTCATCAAAATAACAAAAAAAAACGCAAAACTTTATATTAAATTTTACACGCAGTTATGTACTTAAAAAAAAAGTCTAAGAACAAATAATTTATTAATTATATAAAACTCATTGTGTTTCTTTTTATCTTCAATCATCTAGTTCAAGTATTACGTAAAGATAATTATTTATTGTCTACTCAACATTTGAAATTACTGAATCCATCAGTATTTTTTTTAGAATCAATTTTGTTCATTATGTAGTGAAAATGTAAATAATTCGGAATTTCTGCTGCATTGTTTATGATCAATTAATTATAATTCAGATCTGTCGAAAATTGAGTACTGATAAATGAACTTGTAATGTCTGATGCATTACTTGTATGAAATTAAATCAATCCCTTGTGAATTACCTACAATATTTGATATTATAAAAGGTAGTAAACTAGCACAAAAATGTGCATTGAGACTGTAAATATTGTAAATCAATTGCTTAATAAAAGAATTGAAACGGCTTTTATTGACAAAAATGAAAAAAATGTCTCAAATAAAGTGTTTAATAAATTTCTTAATAATTGTTATTGATAAAATAATAAATTAAACTCAGTTTTTTTAATGTTTTCACTCATTTTATTTGTCATAAAGAATAACTTAGTATCAATTGTCAAATAATCACAACAAAGTGTGGTCTATTTATTTAACCATTTAAACTATTTTTTCAAAGTCTTATGTGAAATTTCAATACTTTTAAAAATAATGTGAAAAAAGTAACTTATAATTAACTTAAATGAAAGTGAAATAAATGAGCGAATGGATTAAACGCAAAGATGAGGTGAAAAATACAAATTGTTGTCGAAAGATTACAAAATATTGTGCAATTGAATCCTTGAGGTTTAAATTATTTTCAGTCGATAAAACGCAATATTATTTTCATTAAAATCTACATTATATCGTATACAATATTCTTTCAAAAAAGTAAAAACATTTGAGCTAGAATTGGCTAAAGAATTATTCCTGTTAGATAAATCAATTATACAACTGATCATTATCTAACGGAAAACGTTTTTTTTCATTTGTTTCTATTATAAGCGAACATTCTGGTTCTTCATGATTGATTATATATTACAATAATGTTAATGAATTAAAATAATTCATCAATTAATCTAATATTCACATGAATGTTCCACGTGATAGCATTGCAGGATATTCGTGATACATATTTAAATTTTTACTAACTAAAAAAACATTTAGCTACAACTTTAACTAATTCCCACATTTTTCTCCATCATTTATTGTTTTATTTTTTAACAATTAAAAAATACTAACTTTAAACAATTAATCTAATTGACGCACCTCTGAAGATTCTTTCTTAATCAGTTCATTAAAAACATTGTCAAGAATTGACGGATTTGTGGGAAAGGCAACCTAGAATTCCTTTTTATGCTATGCAAATTATCTAACCTCGTTGTTCTTTCGACTAAAAACCATTCCGGGAAAAAGTTGAAGCTCTTCTATGTCTTTCTAATTATACGATAAAAAAATGTTGAAGTCGTTGTTGGTATTATTTAGCCATAATAAGAGATACTAAAATCTCGCCCCAGTGGTCCATTCACTTATTGGATTCTCACGGAGGTAGAATGAAAGATGTATGCAAATGAATGATGATGATGATTAAGTCTTATGTACTGTTAGAGGCTGAGATCGTAATGTATTACGTTGTAACTGATGGCTGTATTCATGGAGTTGTAGTGAGCTTTTCGAGAGCTGGTGTCAAATTTTCTTCTAAACTGTCTTTACTTTTAAATCCACATTCACCGGACCATTTTGCTCTGTGGTTTGAGTGGGACTAAAACAAGATTATTTCAATGTAATCATTTGTATAATTAAGTTCATTTTTGCTGTGTAATTAAATTATTAATAATTTTTTCATTATTACGAATGAATTTAGAGTAGTAGGCCATAATAGCGAGGTCGGTATATTATGATATTATAATTAAAATGTTTAAACTTATCAAAGTATAGTTTTCTGTTCATAATCAAGTATTTTTATCAAACACGTGTCTCACGAACATTCCTTTCGCCAATGTCATTCTTAAACTTTGATTTTTTACTCTTATATCTGCTACTTTGCATTAAATTCTCGTTAATATGACCCACTAACCCTAGTATAGTTCTTATACTTCTCAAGAGCTATTAAATGCTTACCATGGTGAGATTACGTTTCCACATGACTTGACATTGACCATCACATTCTGGACACGGTCTCTTTAGACCATAACCACCGCATTCATTGCAGCCAATGGTAACATGATCAGCTTTCCAATAAACTCCACATCTGTAAGTAAATTAACAAATTAATCTTTCTATATTTATCATCATTCAAACAGTTGGTGCAGATGAGAAAATTCTTAAAAATTTAAATATAATGATCTCATGTTTGACGTCATTTTAAAGCTTTGATGATGGGGATTTTTGTTGTCTAATTTATAAAAATACCAGAAAAATCGCTTCTCTCTAGATCACACTGGATTTCATTAACAGAATATTAACTGATTTGTACACTTTTACATTGCGCAATAGTATCACTTTGCTTAACATCCAATAATCGTGTGTCAGGCATCAACTTTAGATCAACTTAATACTTTCTTCTGACAGATCCAATCAAAATAATAGGTATTATATGTTTATCAAATAATTATTAACAATTTATCTCTCAAGCTGCAGTTGCTTTAATCAGAGCAGTTCAATTTTTATTGGTATTATTATTTACTTACGTAAAACATGAGTTTAGGTAGAGATGAAGTCCCTCGATTGTTAAGACAGTGTCCTCGTAAAGAGGATGTGAGCCCCGGAAGTTGTCATATACTCCTTTGCATAGAGTGTTGCTTGATAGAGAAACATTGCTCCTGGAAATAAATAATAAAAATAATAAGGAAATGAATAATTATTTAATTAAGTAGTTTGTTTATTTATTGATAGAGTTGAGGACGATATAGGTCAACACCTGCGGCAAAATATGTTTCAATGTATATTTGAAGGTGATATAAATGTTAAATAATCATAAATAAAATTATTCCGTCCAATTTTATTTGACGAGTCAATAAATAGTATAATTAAAATAAAAATAAAGTATGTTAACCTTTCGTTGAGTTAATTTGATGAATGAAATATTTAAAAAACTTTTAAATCAACATACAATGAGTTGATATTTTTCCAATACTGTTAATATGTTTTTGAAAAAGTATTATAGATGAAATTATGAAATCTGGTGTAATGCTTCCGTTTATATATTATGTAAGACAAGAGAGTTCTCAGTATGTTAAGAGATACGCAAGAAAAAGCATTCGACAATCACGTGTACAAGTAAAGTAAAGATAATTCATGACGTTGCTTTGATAACCACAATGTCTAATTAACAGGTAAAGAAAATATAAATTTTTTGACTGAAAAAAGCAATAAATTGGAAAAATTTATTAAATTATTGAGAGCAAACAATTAACTATAGTACTTGGAAAATATCACTTTAAAATAACTCATTTTTAAGTCAAGAATTTTTATTGAAAAATATTACTGACAACTTTTGCAATAAATTTTGATAAAACATGACAAATATTTTTAGAGGTAAAATAATATTTAAAAATTATGATACATGTATTATTTTGTAGTAAATATCAAGTTATTCAATATCCACGTGTCTATGAATATGATCTCGAAGGATCTCAAGTAATAATCAGCGTCTAGTGACGCAAATGAAGTCTGAGATGAAGTGTAAGGTAATAACACGTGGAGATGGATTTAGAAATTGCAGAGTAAGAGGAAGTATTACAATTTGCATTATTTTTTTACAAGTTAAGTAATGAATTAACTATAAACTGTTCTCAATTACAATTATTTTTCTTCTGATTATTTACTTATTTGATTCATTTGTTCAAGAATCAGTTACTATAAGGTATAATCACTTGAACTTTGTGAATTATTGAATGAATGAGTTATCATTTAGGGTGATTCATGAATTAATAATCCGATAAAAATACACACCCTTGTCGAGAAAGGCTCTTTTCATCAGTTTCATCAGTATGATGTGTTGACATGTCACTTTTTTCTGAGTCTGAAACAAAAACAATATCAACATTACTTTTGACAATCAAAATATTTTTGTACAAATGTTAGAAATAAATAACTAATCATACAATGATTTTCTTTATGGTTATTTAAAACTCATTTATAAAAAAAAATTTTCGTATTTAACAGATTATTATCAACAAGTTATTCACACTTGTGAAATCAATAGCGTAATTTAAAATATTTTTTGAAAAGAATATTCCAGACATATCTGTTGTTAAAAATTTATTATACTTTATTGATATTGAACAATCTAGAAAACATGTGTGCCAAATGAATAGAAAAAGAATTTCTTATCTATAAAATATACATATAGTTATTTTTAGAGTTTGTGGTATACAACAATGAATGTCGAATAGATTCGGTAATTCATCAGCAGCTGAAGAATATGAATGTAAAATAAAAATATGATTATTACTATTCACTATAAAATTCTAAACTACATCACTGAAGATGACTACACATTTTTTTTAAAATTATTTTTTTCATTATAGTTATAATCTCACGTCATATCATGAGTTTTATAATCTGTAGTCGACGCTATGTTATCACCGGGATTTTCCTGAAACTGCCCAAATCTAGTTTTTTTTTTCAAGTTAATTCCCACCAATTTAGACACTGGATTTTGAATCAAAACAACCTTGTATTTTGTCAAAGCATATATAATAAGTTTCCTTTAAAAATAACTTTGATTATTTTGATTATAAACAGTCACTTTTCCTCATTCAAATGGAAAGAAAAACTTGCTTTTTGATTCATTAAGATAAAACATATGTGAATAAACTATTAAATTGTACGATAGAATACACTACATACTTAAGTAATGATTGAGTTTGCGATAAGTATCGATTAAGGCACCTATTAATTCTAAATAATGGCTTTTAACTCAAAAATTCCCAACGATTTTCAGAAATTAATCAAAGACTTTTAATATCATGAAATTTCAACTTTTTATTCAGATTAAAAATGAATAAAATATTTATAAACTCAGCAATAAATCAATGTCTTCTTTTATTTTTTTATGAAGGAACATTAACAATAAATTGACATGTGAATAAGTAAAAAAATTTATTTTCTAAGTCAAATCATTTTTTATACTCCAAAAAAAAAAAAAAAGATCTTTCAAACAAGTCACTCGTCGTTTGTAATGTAAGCTTTAAATAAACAAATTTACCGTTATTTTACCTCATTTTTAAAATTAATCATTGAGAATCATGTACCTTCACTTCAATTATGATTCATGTATCAATAAATAAATCAAACTAGAAAAATGTTTGGTAGAAAGATGACTGAAGCTATTAAATTCATTTTTTTCCAGCAATGGAATAAAATGGTAGATTCTGGATGTTTAATCGATCACTTAGATAATTGATCAGACTCTAATCGATTAAAAAAGCCCTAATACAAATAAACTTAATGATATTTAATGAATCTAAATTATTTATAAATGGTTTTAGTTCAAAAATAAATTAAGCCGACCCAGTTGAATGACAATCGAGTACCATCCAGTGTAAACTGCTTTATAAATATTTTATTAAAGGCTTTAAAGCCTATAACATCTTAATAAAAAAAAAAAACAAAATAAAAACATTTAATACGTAATATTGCTTCATATTTATAGAATTATAGGGTTATGCATCCCCTTCAAATAATGACGACACTTTTTGACGTAAACTTTCATCAGTCATTAGGTTTACGTCATATAGCCTTTAATCAATATTGATCATCTATATCTCAACCTGAATGTGACGTTATGATCACTGAACAATTAACTGACCGATTATAGTTTTTCAAGTTTAAGGACTTTAACCTTTAGTAAATCTTTTCTATGCCCATAAATTACTATTTAAATCTTTTAACTCATTGACTTTTTTTTAAATTTAAATAGCAGATCTCCAGAAATAGAATTGAAAAGAACAAAAATGTAACAGACATTCTAAATCCTCTTGGTGCAGTTCAGCTTTTCTTAGCACATTAAGTAGGTACAGTTAACACCAGACTCTAGAGCAAACTAAATTACAAATAAAAACATGAATAGAAATGACTATGGTGTGGTAGAAAATAGAATAGATCTCTCGTAATAACACGTGACAAACATCGTGTTTTAAATAAGTAATAAATAAATATTTGTAAATAAATAAATATTATATTTTATATAACTACTACTTTATTTTTTTATACAAATAAGTTTTTTTATATAAAATGACAATTAAGGAAATAACTGACGTTCATAAAGTAACATAGAAACATCGTCTTTAATAGATTTTAAAGTTTCCCCTGAGTTAGAAGAAACGTCTGGGCAAAATAATGGTAAGTTGAAACAGGTCAAAACGTTCAAGGACCTTTAAAAGGATATTTCAACAACCTCGAGAGCGATGGCCGTTGCAATCCCGAACCCGCCCGAACATTGTCTGGACGGTAGAATGTAAATTGTAGATGTTCTCAACATAACTTTATTATATTCTCATGTTTATCATCTACTTTACATTTTATTTAATTGCCATTATTATCAATAGATGATCAATGTTCAATAATTCATCACATTGTTTTTATTATACATAACATAGATTGAATGATTATTTTCTTTTCCTCTCTCTTTTAATTATTCAATATATTGGCAATACCAAAAGAATCAACGCAATCATGTCCCTGAAACTTTCTCGTGATCAACGAAAAGAGGTTGGTGAAAGCGTCTGTTATTTATTTGAAAAATAATACCTAACCTTAAACTCATTTTTTACTTGAATGATGATGAAATATTTCGTATGTTTATTTACATTATCCCTCCTATTGTGTTTAGTCTTTTTTTGAAGTCATTGTATATTAAATTGTAAGTTTGATTAAAAAATAATCAAAAACTTACCCCAAGTGAACATTTGTAAGGGACAAGATTGAGAGCTTTTTTTTAGCGGCATTGTTATTAATCCACTTGGTGATGAAAATTTGTAAATAACTTGAAGATTTTTACAGAAATATAAGTTGATGGCGAATAATAAAGTAATGTTATTCACACACAAGAATCAAGTGTTCAACTGAACTGGTCGAGCCACGCGCGGTCTTTCTATAGACGTATTGAGGCCGAGAGACTAAGTAGGGGAAGATGGCGGCGCCTGAGGTGAAGAAAAGAGCAAAGGGAAGAAAGGTATTGAAGAAGGGATATAAACGTCACTGATCGTCAGTGACGGACTGATATGTTTGATAGATGTGATACGAGGTCGAATAAAGAAGGGGAATATTAGTTACTTATTTTATTTAGGCGCCGGTAAAATAATTAATGATCCTTATGATCAAGAGTCTTCCTATATATCATCATGATAACACTAGATATAACAGTGATACTTTCTAGGATGAAAACCATTCATGAGGGTGAAAATGAAATGATCTATATGAATATGAATAAAATATTGTTGTCATTTTTAATCTAGACTAGATTGTCAAACACTTGTTTAGTCCACACCTAATTTAATGATTTAATAATTTATTGATTGAATTTATTCACTTATTTTACATGTCAATGGCTAATCAATTTGACCAAGTCCAAACGTTCAATCATGAATGGCAAAGAGAATTCATTTACTTTGAACTCATAAATATTCTTGAGAATTTTTCCTTCATTTAAACTTCCTTTTATTACGGTAGAAATGAAAATTTATGCAATCGCCCTCGATATATTCAATATACGTTCTGGAGTTTATCTTTAAAAAGACCTCGCTGAGACCCGGAAAATCTTAAGATTCTTAGATGTCCAAGAATAAAATCTGTATATGTAATAGATGTAATTTTTATATCTTTGTAGCATCAAGATGAAGCCTGGTCCTTCAGTTTCAAGCCAAGGTTTTCCATGAAAATCCAATCATGAATGTTAAATAAATAAAATTAAAACATGCATTCATCAATGTAATTATTTTGGTTGTATTGATTCCAATGAAATTTAAATACGTCGTTAGAATACTATGTAAACGTTATTATTTTGTAGTTGGTTGATGGAATCATCTAGTGTACTACAGTCAATCTTATCATTTTTTAACTATTCTATCAAAGAATAATATTTATGTCTATCAAAAATGTCATAATTAGTTGAAAATATATTGATTTAGTCAACGAATTGATTACAGAAAAATTAAAAAAGATTAATAAATAAAAAATTCAACAAAGAACAGATGTCGTGGAGTTCATCTTTTGTTGTTTCAAGATCGATTCAACATTGATAAATAAAAAAAAAGAATTTAATCAATAAAAAAAGTATAAAAATGAGTGATAAGAGACTTAAGAATGCAACAATTTTTTGGCTCAGTTCAGAACATTGTAATCAAACTGATTGTTTGATCGATTAAATTATAATGATATTTCATGAGGAAAGTAAACAATAAGCTTTGATTTTTGGAGCACAATAGGATGGATTCATTTCATTTTGATGTAAAGCTTCTAGGTATTTTTATTCACACTTTATTCTTTATTATTGTATGATTTTACTTTTTCAATAATGAAAATTCCTAACAACTTTGCAGCCTTCGAATGTCGACTGTTACGTGAAGTGTCTCAAGGTTACGACATATAGATAAGAAATCAAGCCATCGTTTCCGGATGATGAACAGGAGCGAGAAAATTGATTAATGTGAGAAAAAAAAAACAATAAACCGTGAAAATATTTGATGAATAACAATATTTTAATTAAATTGGTCAGTAATAATATAATAAATTGAATGATCACCTGATACAATAAATCCTCATGATAGTCATTTTTATATGTTTCAATTGGAATCATTATTATTTGATTCAGGTCATGAGTTGTTCTAGCAATGAGGCGAATGTTTATTTGAAAGTTTAGATTTTTTTAAATCAGTACATGATTCAACATTTATTCATCCAACAAATAAACTCATTTATGATAAGCACAAAATATTTTCAAATAAATGTTGAATAATTTTTTTGAATTTATTTTATGAAATTAATTAAAAAAGAAATAACATAGATACAAAGAAGTTGAATAATATTACAATTTAAATCTGACGAAATGTATAATTAAAAAACAAAACTGATATATTTTAACAACTAGTACTAATAATTGTTTACTTCTGCTGTATTTGTAATTAACGCGAATACATTTAGCAAATTCAGCTCATTATACATCCAGGAAATATTTTCACTTTTAACTAAAGTTATTTATATCTAATTATTTTATTTCATTTCCTTTATTACTTAAACTATGTTTTAATTTATTTAAATACATTTTTCGTTAATTCAGAGTGATTCAATTCACTTTGTTAATTAATTTAAAAAGTTCAGAGGAATTTCACGCCCCTCAGATAAAATGAGCTATAAGAGAGAACTTTATAGTCATTCATTTATCTTATTTTATTTTAACAAATTATATAATTATTCATACAAAAGTTCATAAAATCATATCGGTGGTTTTTTTTATTGCTTCTTTGTGCAAAAAAAATCCTGTAACTTTATCAATGATATAATTCAGCTTTAATCATTTAATATAAGGTTATTTTTTTAAACGTGAATAATAAATGTATTAAATTTTAATTTAAAAATGCTAATTTTTGTTTGAGAAGTCAATATTTACAACAATAAATAGTTTTGTAATCACTGAGAGTATTATCGATCTTATGATATCTCTCAGAATATATTGTCAAAACAACTTTCTGCATAAGAATAACAACTAGACCTCCTACGAACGTCAATCATCATAAAGTGTTGATAGTGCACATATGTTGTAATAGAATGAAACCATAAGTGACGCAAAAGTAATATGTAAAAACATAAAGTTATATATTTCATTCATAATAAATCTTTTATCTTATTCTGATACTCGTTATATCAATATTCACAGTCCACGAGCACAATGATAAGGACAATAAAAATTCAAACAATTCCCTAAAACTCTTATGCAAACTCATCACATCAAAATGATATAATGACGATCATATAATCACTTGTTTCTAATTATTTTTATAGAATGAAGAAGAACCTTGAAGTCGGGCATTTGCATCAACCATGTCCATCTTCACGAGCAAGGTGTCTACTTGACATTGCATTTGCGTAATACTAAGAGTCTGCGTCACAGCTATTATATACAATTATAAAGTCCATGTTGACAGATCAACAGGTATGTTTTGAACAAAAAATTAGAGTTCCAATATTTATTTACAGTATTGGTAATGAATATGAGGGATTCCCAAATGAATGATAATGATTATTAATGTCATAAATGGTTGAAAACCAATAAATCATTTATTCTACATTTCAGCCTCTTATCCATGTTGATCAATTGAAGCTGAAGATATTTAATCAAAGATAAAAAGAAAAGTGCTAATCATACAGTCGTATTTTAATAAAAGTTTCAAATGTAATGACATGTGGCAATATAAAATATCATGTTATAATAATCAAATAAATAAGACGATGCACTTTTTCTTATTATCATCTTAAGTTCAACAGCCATCGACACTGCAGGGGATCCGATAACCTTATGTTGTTTTTGATGGAAATTTTCCTTATATCCAAAAAACGTCTATTTAATTATAAATAAACATTGAGGAAATTTGTAATTAGTGATAAATGAATCAAAAATTTTCCTTTCCATCCACGTTTTTATTAACTTATTGTCATTATTATTTCTGGTAATTACGTAGGTATATTTGAGCTTTATTCTTTGACCTCAAATTAAATATATCACGTGAATATTTCAATTAAAAGTTAAAAAAGAATTCACGAATGAGAGTAAAAAATATGACATTGAAGATTTGATAGTCTAAAATAGATAATTGGATAATTGTCTATTTGATGAACAAATTTTGCCTCGTTTTATTGTCTATTTATGTGTACAGAGATAAGAAAACAACAGGAGATCAACGACACAAAAATTGTCTATTTATTTTAAAATATATCATATTTTATTACTCAAATCTACTTATTTCATTACGTTAAATTGATGTTTTATTGATTTTTTTTTACGTATTCTATTAAAAATAGCGATATTAAAAATGTTATTAATATTATTACTCATTGTATATTTAAAGAAAAAATCTCATTATAAATTGTAAACACTTAGAAAGAAATGTTCATTATAAAAATATTTTACAACGATATATAAACAGAAAAAATAATTAAAATTCTTCAGAAATACATAGAAATTAGTTATTTATTTTTAATAATAAATTAATTTAATTCTATGTAATTTAACAGATACATATAAATATATTTGAAAAACAAATGTATAAATACAATAATGAAATTTTTCTCTGTAAGTAAAAAAAAATGTGTACAATTCTTCAGAAGTCATTTTTCAATTACGAACAAAATAAAGTAAGCTTCAAACTAATTCTTATAATAAATTTATCTCGCCAATTTACAGCAGTCATTTTATTCACTTGAAGCACTTTCATATTTCTACAGGATATAGAGTAAATAGGCTAAGTGAACCAATTAGCAACCTACTCCAAAACTCTAGGGTATGTCGTAAACTATTTACATTATCAAAAGATCACTTGTAGGTAATTATAAATGCATTACGGTTTATTTTAGCTGTATTTTGGAATTATCAAAATACACTACGACGTCTAATATTATTGAGCTCCAATACTTGTCAAAATAATAAACAAAAACAATTAAATAAATATTACTGAAATCCAATTGAAATTTAATTGAATAATTAATTGAGACCTTTGTTAATTATACCATGAATGTTGAATACAACCTCAAAAGCAGTTGCTTAGCTCAATGATTATTACATATCAACTATTGGAATTTATCTTCTCCTTCTCTTATCTATAACTGACCCACTATCTAATTCAGCATTTGATAATATAATATCAGCTTGGACACTAATTGATACATTTACCTCCTAGCTTTATGCTCAAAATATCTTACAAGATATTAACTGTTGAACTATTCTGAGAGCATTCTCTAGTGCAGTTATCCTAACAGTAAACATCAATGTTACAAGAATAAGATATAGATTTTAAATTAATGGAAAAGTTTAGAATACGATATTTGAAATTATCAAGAGAATATGATCAAGTTTTATTATCAGAGAAGAAACAAGTCTTCAAAATAAAAGAAGAAATCTTGAAAACTTTTGGATTATTTCTTTACAATCTTTCTAGTGTACTCCATTACTGTCAATTAGTTCAATAAGATGATTTAAAAAAAAAAAAAAAAACTTGCACTTTTAATTATTAAAGTTTAATATAATTATCTTTTAACTTTTTTCTTACTAGCTATTCCATTTATCAATTTTTAATTCAATATAAACTTTCAATCTTCAAAATAAAAGTGGAAAAGTTCCAATAAAAAATGATGACTAGTGTTTTTAACTCTTTATGATGAATGTAATAAAATATATAAATTATTTATAGAGAGGTATTTTCAATAATGAGTTTAATTTATAATTTTCTATTATATTTTATAATAAAATAATTTATAAATTAATTAAGTGTCTGAAGCAATTGATATTTAGTTATCTTTTTTTTTTTTTGACTTCGTCAACAAGAATCTTTTTATCGTCTCTACGAGACAGGTTATTCTTACTCAAAAGAAGGTTCATAATATTTCTAATTGTCTCAAATATAACACCCTGGCAGTCTAGTCACAACATCACTGATAAGGTCCAGCTTTCTTGAATTATAAATCCAGACAAAGAATTAAATTTATTGTCATTCAATCTCTGTGGTTTAGTTGTGACTGTTTTTTTTATTAAATAATAAATAACCATAGAATTCAATTGGCTTCAAATTTCAATTGATAATGTTGTAATAAGTCTAGAAATAATATAAGAACAATAAAAAATAAATATAAATCATATACCACTCGCTGGGAGGTATAACCACCTAATGCGGTAAGATTGAATCTCATCGGTATCAAGATATGTATTTAAGAAAATAAATATTTTATATTGAATGTCAAGATATTTTTTTCGTTAACTATAGTCAATAAAATTCGTTATTTATAATTACTTAATTGAGTTAGTAATTAAATTATTTTTTTTTTTAAATAGGAATTAGGATTACTTTGATTTTATAAATAACATTTTTTATTATATTACTACAAATCGAAGTCAATTGGTGTAAAAAAGATTTTTAAATACTAACTGTTTCTACTTGAGTACATTATAATAATTATTTTGAAATGAACATTGTTCCTTTGAATTAAACATGATGTAGTGACAATCTAGTTAATTGATATGAGAAGCATTTTGTTAGTTTTTCATAGGATTAAATAGCTCGTGCACGATATTAAATGTAATTAATGTCATATATGTTGTAAAAAAAAAAAAAACATGATAAAAAATTGAAAAAAATATTTTTACTTACCGGTAGGAGAGGAACCAAGAGAATATTCATCCTGAGAAACAGATTGAGGAGTACTTGTAGAAGCTACTGGAGAATTAGTGGAAGAATTTGAATTATCCTCTTCAATACATGGGATTTCTACGACTTCAACTTGATTATTTTCCTCCATTGACCTTTTAAGCCTTAATTCTCCTACAAAAAGTTATTATCAATTAATCTATGATAGATAATTAAGTTTTAATCCTCTCATTGCTTTGATAGTGTTATCAATCACTGACTTTTTTTTATCAGAAACCTTGAAGACTACGATGACTTGATGATTATTTTACTACTGTAGATCAATGTTAATAGTTAATTTTGAAAATACTTGGTGTGTAATTGAATAATCATTAAATTTACTGCATAAGAGAAATTAGATTTCACGACGGAAGACACTTTCGACATTCAATCAACTGGCATGCGAACTTGTTTCATTTTTCCAGCAAATCTACAGCAAGATCTGAGTCACGCAAAGAATGCGGTCAAATATTTACAAATTATGAGTTTCTTGCGTGTTATGAGAATTTAAATGATAATTTATAACAAACTCACAGATAATTGACAGTAAAAAAGATTCATGTTTATTAATGATTTGTTTTGCTTCTAATTTTGTCATGAAAAATCACGAAAATTGACAAGAACATTAAAAAACACTGTCAACAATAAAAACATAAATAAAATGACAAATTGAGTAATGAGTTGCTTACCTCAAATTCCTACTATTTTCTCCAAGGAAATCCAGTAGCTTGTGAAATAATTTCTTCACGAGTGTCTAGTGGCAATGGCGTCGACTCGATGAAAATTCTTATTTGATCTGTTTGTTTTTCCTCGAGTTCAAACGTTCAATAAACTGCAGTTCGACACTACCCCTCCAATAAGGATTTTTTGTTGATATTCAGGTCGTTGAACGTGGTGGCTTGTCGTGTCTATTTATTAATTCCTAGTGAAATAGGAATAAGCTAAAAATTTTTATAAATAATATTGATTAATTATCTATATTTTTGTATGACACAAAATCCGAAGTTTGTGAGGAGAATAATTCAACAAATAGTATCGAACTCCAACACCGGCAACCAACTATAACGATTAGAATCGATTCAGTGACTTCGATTTGTGACTATCTGATGGTTAGCCCTAGTTTTCCTAGGGTTTTTCACTCCGCCCGCGTAATTTAAAGAAATCTATGGGGATCTAGGAAAATGAAAAACCATCAAGTAATGCTAGATTAATACAAATATTATTTTTATACTAATAATTAATAATATTACATAAATTATATTCTTTACAGCCCTTAATTGCAACAATGTTTGTTGTTCTTCTGATTATTGTCATCAAGACAATATTGTTGAATGTTTAGAAATTAATTCTAACGAAAAATATATATAAAAATGAAAAAGTTAATTTATACATATTTTTTACAATTAAATAAATAATTGTTTTGTAAATTTACTTTCTATTTATTATTCATCATTTTCTACATAAAATGATAATGGTTCATAAGTCCATTTCGGATAGACTCGTTTATATAAATTCATTAGCACCGTATCTTGGGACTTGAGCTGACCCTTAAAAATGCATTTCATATGACCGTGGGTTCCTAAAGGCTCCTTAATGTAACCTCTTCTACCATACTTTGTATAGAGCTCAATAGGTTTGAACCATTCAATATCTTCACGATTGAAAAACATGAATCTAATAACTGCGGACCGTTTGTACACCTTGAATGGATGGCCACTCAGTACAACGCGTTTAATTATTAGTCTATTAGGATCAACGGACAAGACATTGCCCTTAGCTATTAATTCTAATTCACCATTTTTATGTTGCTTATAGCACAAGACTGGACAAGGAGAGAACGATATTGGTGCATACATCGTAGCTACTGCTGTCACCTGTGGTTGAAAGAATCTTAAATATTTATGTTTAGATCCAGAAATATGTTCACTAAAAAGCGGACAGGCTGTAAATCTTCTAAAGCCACACTGGAATAATAATTTTTCTTTCGATGCTATAGGTTGGTCTCCGGAATCATTAGTTCGCTGCAATGTCACATTTAAAACTGACATTTTATGTTCATATTGAAGCAAACCAAAGACCACCAGTGGTCTGGGACTTATAGCTCTATAAGCATCATACAGTTCTTTGTCGACGTTCTTTATATGTAATGTAACATACCAGCCAGGCTATATAATGAAACAAAACAATAAAATATTTAACAATTCAAAAGTAAATAATTAATGATTTACTAAATAATAATTACCTCTGCACCAATGACTTCTTCAGCATCCCTGAACACTCGTTTTTTAGTATTTCTATAATTTTCGAACTCAAAAATTCTACTGTAATCGAAAGGAAGATTTTCTTTTGGATCCCATGGACTTGTTCTGAACGAATCCAAACCACGATACTTTTGAAATCGAATCTTGGCTAATGTATCTTGTGGAGTATCAACTTCATCAGGAAATTTGGCATCTAAATTAGCTTTCTTCAATATGTCAATCGCTTGTAGTTCTTCTCTTATGTCTATTTGTTCATCATATCTATGTTCATCAATTGGAGCTTCAGAAATCGTTATTGTTTCATATTCTTCATCATCTTCCTTACTATTATCAGCTTCATTATCAAAATCCGATTGTTCTACTGCCATATTTTGATCATCGTCATTTTCGGAGTATTTATCATCATCTAGTTCTATAAACATATGTAAAAATAACATTAGATTATGTCTGTGTAAGAAACTAAAATTATTAATTTAATTTTCAACTCCAAAAATTATTTTTGTAAAAAAGATTTATGTACCATCACCGTCATCAGGTATCCACGCTGCTTGATAAGCTGATGTACCCTTTGGAACTCGTTTGATAATTTTATTTTGTTTCGCAGCTTTCGCTTCAGCAAGCTCTTCAGCTGTAGGCCAAGTTTGCTCGCAATCCATAGGTTCCGGGATATTTTCATCTTGAAGGCTTTCCTTTTAATTAAAATTTAATATTTATTTTAAATAAGCTTTTAAAATGAGTAAATTATATATTTAGATGTATAAGAATAAATTACTCCTTACTTGATTTTTAGGATCAGCGATTTCCAGAATTTTGATATCATCATTATCTACATCCCTTAATGGATCAATTGGAAATGGATCTATTGGTGCATCAATCTGCACCAACTGATAATCTCCAAATTCAGGAATATGAACTAAATTATTCGCTGATAAAGCTTTGCCTCGTATGTAACCAGTTACTTTTAATGTGCCAGTTAGATTATCTTTCTCACACTATATTTTTATTTATTAAATATTAATAATAATCTGATTAGTAGATAAAAAAATGGGTTAATAATAGAAATAAAGTTTTTACTTACTGGAATATATTCGACTTTTTCAGCAATTAGATGAGGTCTACAATCTCTATAATGTATAGGTGTTTCTTTTTGTTCACTGATGATTCTTAACAAATTTGTTGCATCCATAGTATTATTTAAGGCTCTGATATTGGGATCAGGCAAAAATTTAGTAATTGCTTCTTTTACTTTTTTTCGAATGTTTTGATTCTGCTGTTTCTATAACAATAAATGTGATAGTAATTATATAGGTAAAATAAATTGGTTTAAATTGTTTTCAATATTTGGTAGAGTACTTACGACGTTGGAATGTTTGTCTGTATTAGAAAATACAACCATAGTAGTCGGTAATTGTTGAGGAATACAGGACTTCAATATGTTTTCTCCCCAATCATCTATATCATCATTTAATACAAATAAAACTATAGATGATACTTTTATAACATCAAGGATTTCAAAAATATTATCAGGAGAAGGAGTAACGAGGCAAAACCTTTTCTTCCATTTTTTCAAACTAAAAAAATTTCAGATTAATAAAATTTGATTATTGTATCTAATATTATTATATTTTTTTAACAATAAATATCGTTATATTAAATTATTATACAATTTAAAATACCAACCTGATGTGAATATTTCCTTGTGAGCTTTTTTTAACAATAGTTTGAGAATCCTCACTTTTTTCAAAAATAGATACGATACTGTTAATATCTATGTTTTCATTAAGAGGAATTACAGATATCAATATTGGAGCAGCTAAATCACTTCCAAAATTTCTTTTTTTAGCAACTATCCCGTCACGTTTAGCCTTACGAATTTGTTGAGCTTGGTTAAGACGCACTTGTTTGCTACTTTCTGCCTTAGCACGTGTGGTAAGTTTTTTCACGTCCACTTTTCCTAAATAAGCATTTTTTACGTATTGACAATTAAGAAAAGAAAATTAAAAAGATAAAAATTAATAAATGTAATTTTCTAACCTCCTGTAACTCGCCTGATCTCACGCTTGCTTCTATGTCTTCCAGTTTTATGCGCCTTTTGAATTTTTTTTAATGCTCCCATGTTTTCTTCTTTGTAATTCGTACTAATTGAAATAAAAACACTATTCAACAATACTTATAACATTATTTTTTACAAAACAATTAATTAATAACTCTATCATCCACGTGGGTTATAATCCAACTGATCAAACAATATTGGTGTCACTTGCGCATGCGTCTGAGCTTAAAGTATTAACAGTTGGTAATGAATTGATTTACCGACAGCATCAGTAGCGACATCTTACAAGAAAAAGTGATTTAAAACCTAAAAAAATAAATATAAGTGGATGTTTGTTTGAATTTTTCACGTGCTCACAAATTTGCAATTACTTTTAAATATCTTATAAATAAAAATATGGCTAATGAAGAGGAAGTGTTTTTTGAAACCGAACCAGGTTTTTGTCCTGATTGTGGTTCGATATTGCCGTTATTAGGTGAAAAAGGTGGAGTTCAATGTTACGCATGTGACAGAAAATGGGGACCTGAAGGTTAGAACCGTATTTTTCCTTTCACAGATAGACTTTTTGACATTACTAAATCGCATTTAACTTTCATCATATCAGTTAATAATTAGATCAATTATAAATAATAAATATTGTTTAATTTAGTTTTTGGAGATATGGCTATGACATATACATTACAATTTAACGATAAGAATACATATGCACCTCCTGACAAGTCAGTCGAAAATGATGATGATGAGGAAAATGCAGAAGGACCTGTGGTGGATAGGAAATGCTCACAGTGTGGTAATGATAAAATGTCTTATGCAACTCTTCAGCTAAGGTCTGCTGATGAAGGTCAAACTGTATTCTACACCTGTACAAAGTGCAAGTAAGTACTTCCGTTTTGAATACAAGCAAACAACTAAGTCAGAAGTTTATTAATTATCGTTCCATTAGTTATAAGTTCAGAAAGCTAAAGATACAAGTCTTGTTGATTTATCATTACATAGCATACTGATACACTATTGTTTATTCAACATAAATAAGATAGAAAGTTGGTTGAAGTAATCTTTTTATTCAATAAAATAATTAATTTTATATTAACATAAATCAGTTGCAGCAATTACAGTATGTATTCTAAATCAAATGCTAATTTCTCTTACAAGTATTTTTCAATCCTGCATGGAATGAAGTGAACAAAAGCATTGCGCTAATATAATTAACTATTTTAGGTGTACTTAAAAAATTTACCATTAAACATACAATATATTTCATACGTTTTTTTAAATATAATAACAAAATTTTATTTTACAATAAAATCAGTATTGATTCTGGCTTAACTAGTAATCAAACTCTCCGCAGAGAATAGACTTTAACTACCTCATAAAGGATTTAACAGTTATTAATAAAATCCTCTATGAATAACGTGAAATTTAATATAAAGTCATTGTTTCTAACAAAATATGATCAAGTTTTGATTCATTTTTATTTTTATGTTAGAGCTGATTCAAAACGTACAAAATTTTCTTTAATTTAACTTCATTATAAAATAATCTTGCTTGATATTATTTCAGAAAGATTTCATTTTTAATTATTCCCCATTTGTGAGTTATTCTTATTATAATATTTATATATTTATATAAGTATGTCATTTATTCTTTCGATAAATAAGAAAATTTATCTTCATTTTATGATATCTAGCGAAAAAATACAAATAAATGAAAATTATTATTAGTCTATATACCCTCTGAACGGGCTTTTATAAATTATAAAATATAAAAATGGCTAAATATTATAAATATAATTACTAAAAAGATAATTAAAGTTCAAAGTGTTAATAAATGTAAAGAATTAATGAATTTTTCTTTTTCAATTACTTCAATACTTCACATCAAAGTTATTTATAGTTATTTCATGGGTTAAAATTTCTCTATTTTAATTTATATGAGTAAAAAATTATTATCATTTGATAAAAACGAGATTATTGACTAGTGAGTTTATATTTATGATATTTATTTCCAGATCTATAACATTTAATATTATTATATATATTTTTTTTTAATTTGACAGGTTCAAAGAAACAGAAAACTCCTAATTACCAACTGGAAACGAATTTTTTGCACCAAAATTGTATGTATATAATATTCTTATCATTATGAAATGAATTTTTTATAATTTTGAAATATACTTAACAGATTTTACTATTAATAAATTAAATAATTTTAAATAAGTTTTGTATTATAAATTTCGATTAATTAAAGTTATCTGATTATTTCTATTACATTTTGTTTATTAACAATAGTTATATTTGATTGTTTAATATTGCAATTATCAAATCCGTTATTTACAATGTGGTACGACAAACATTAACAGTAATTTTAATAAATTTTTATCATCCACTCTCTCGTTTAAAATTGAATAGTGGTCCTTGGATTAAAAATTCATTAACTATGATAATTTAGTAGTTATTTACACTAAAGTATATTCTATACATATTAGTACCTTGAACTTTTTAAATCTTAATTATTCTATGTGATAGATATGCTATATTTATAATAAAAAATAGTGATTAATACATATAATTAATTGAGAAATATTTTCATATGAAAGTTCTTATTGAATATTTTATTTTTAGTAGGAAATTCATTGTAATATCGATATTGCCTAGGTACTTTGATTCGTTGCAACGCGGATATTATATAAATGCGCGTCACGTTCTCTCTTTAATAAATGCATCGATTTTTAAAATAACATAGTAAATATTCATAAATTATAGATTGTTATAACACAGTAAAAAGAGAAACTAATAAAAATGTTTATTGAGAGTGCAGGTGCGTTATGAACCAAGTTTAGTAAGTACGAATTGAATAATATATTTTTCTTTTTTTCTGTAGATTATTAAGAACACAAATATAGGGAATAAATCGTCAACATTATTAAGCTCTTTAATTGATAACAAATTTAATTATTTTTCTCTTTAAAACTGTGCCGTTTATAAATTTTTCATATAAATCGATTTTACTGCGGCTGTTAAATTTTCGAATTGTTATTTACATGAACACTCATATTACAATATCGTACATAAGCTTTGTACACGTTGTAATTTATTTACAAGACAGTTCAAATATTGTAATCATGTTTTATGTTAATTAACAATTTCATTAAGAACAGTCTTATGATCATGATCTAAAACAGTCATCCAGGAAATTCTCCATTGAGTGATAAAGGTGTAATCGTGCTGAACCTATTCCATGATCTTCATCAGTGTATGTCTGAAACAACACAAACAATTGATTATCTGTTGTCCCCCTTTTGCATGTATGTCCAACTGTTTGAAAGTACTAGATACCTGTTGTCTAAATAGTATGTCTTTCTGTTCTAGAACCTTAGCTAGTAATAATGACTGTTGATAGTGCACATTGTCATCGAGAGTTCCATGAATAAGATAATAACTATTAGATTTGATGTTTGCTGCTTTATTCAAAAGCTGGGCTTGTTCATAACCATGAAAATTATCTGTTGTAATTGGTAGGCCCATGAAACGTTCTGTGTAAACAGAATCTGAAAAACAATGATCAAATTTTATTTTATTAATTTATTCAAAAAACTTTTCTGATAGTGGAATTATTAATAAATAGTAATATGAATATTATTCAATCTAAATTATTTTAATAAGTTGGAAAAATCAGAAATGAACATTGTAAAATATATTTCAGTAGTTCTTTTTGCATTGATTATATGTGAGTTTAAAATTTCGTTATTAAAAAATGGAATATCAATGTGAATAAATTTTGAATTTAATTTACGATATACTAAAAGCAAAGTTAAATATGAGTTTTCTCATTTCAAAGCTTCAAACCTTTTAAATAAAAGATGACATTCGCCACAGTCTGAACTTTCAACTGAAAGATACTTTAGATTTGAATTGGTATTCTACACTTGAGGAAACTTGCAAGGACCTCGAAAGTTAAGAAATCTTACCATAGAGTGTCCAATCGGTCACTGGAGCAACCGACATGCCACATTTGAATATACCTTCTTGGTCCATTGCCAAACTCATGCCTGCAGCATATCCACCATAGCTCCATCCCCATATTGCTGTCTTAGTTTTGTCGATGAATGGGAAATTTTCTTGTAAGTGTCTGTAAATTGAATGCATAAAGAGTTTTATTACTTTATAAAACTTTTTATCTCGACTTTTTGAGTTATATAGAACTGTTAAAAGTTATTTTGATTTTTTAGCTTCAGTTTTATGTATGAGAATGGCTGTATCTCCTTTAGATTTTATTGCTCTTCTATTTTTAGTTACTTTAACAAACTTGAAAATTTTTATTTATCTCTAGTGCTTTTAAATATCGATATAAAGTTGTAATCTTATAGATTCTAAAATTCTTAAATGAAAAGTTTTTGAATAAAAGCTACAGAAAGCTAATTGAAATAGTTTTATTATTGTTAGAAAAAAAATTTTCTATAATATCTTGATACGATTTGTGATTCAATTCCTTAAGAATTTTTTAAATTCACTCAAATTCAGCAGATAAACATCAGCAGTCTCAAGACAGCTTTTTAATAAAAAAGTAAACAAGCAAAAAGTCAAACTCAACCGACATGTCTCATTGAATTCTGATCATCCAGAAAATTATGAATCTCAGGAGGGCAACGATTTACTGTGATTTTTTACATTTTTTATTTCTTCAAATCGTAATAAAAAGTCTAAATAATTCAGTTATATGTAGGATCGACGTGTTGGCACTGGAAATCTTTTTCTGTCTAGATCTCAATTCCACTTTCTGATTCTGACTTCGTTCCTGCCTCAGAGGCAGTAGTAAGCAAAGAGCCAGAAGTAGCAGCCTGGGGACCGGATGTCGGGTGTTTTGCTGGCGCGTCGCGTCTGCCGGTAAAAAGAAAATCACAAGATTGGACGTTAGCCAAACGATTGCGGAATCGACTCTCTGTATCTCTTTCTCTTTGTTGCTGCGTATACGAAATTGTTTGTGCTTCAAAGGCTTTTTATATTTCTTGAAATCTTGAAAATGGTAGTGCTTTATGACTTCTGCGTACCTAGCATTTTCATAAGCCAAACATCAAGGGTCTTCTTGATCCCAGGTGGCTTGAGAAACTTGACATTGATTGCCAAGTCAGCAGCCAACTAATTCTAAATGTCTCAGGTGACACATTAAAAGCCATATGTTACTGCATCACCAATTATATTGGAATTCAATTATTTCCATCAACTTGTTTTAGACAAAGTTACTTTACAGGTAAATATTACTCATATTTTGTATTATTTTTAAATAAAGACAATATAAACAATTTTTAATCAACAATGTGATTGAGAATTTAAGCAGGATACTTTCAACATTCTTTTAATCACAATTGTTGTATCAACGTTTGTTCTAGAGTTTTAAAGGCTTCAAGTCAAAAGAGACTTTTTTACTTTGGTAACTGATAACTGAGTTAAAAAAAAAAAAAAAACAATTCAAAAAAGCAAAAAAAGACAAACTAAAAAGAAAAGTACAAGCTTTGAAACATCGTGTTCAAATTCATTCAAATGTTTTTAACTTTTCAGAGACTTTTAAAATAAAAAAATAGCAGAAATTTTTTCTACTTTGTTTCATCTAGTATGATGATGAGAGTCAAAATAAAATTTAATAAATTATTTAAACAATTTTTGATTAGTTGAAATTCATTTTTTTTTTTCTAAAGTATGAAAATATTCTTCATTTTATTTTTTTAATCGATAAATAAAAAAGTCTGAAACTGAAGTAAACAGTGGAAAGGTATGAAGAAAAAAGATAATCAACTAAACGTTTTTATCCTTTTCACTGGAGTGCATCAGGTGAGTCTTATGTTGTCTTTTACGGCTGTACACCATCACTGTCATGGCAAAGTAAACTCAGATAATGCTACGATCCAATAGCACCTAAGTCGTATCCTTGAGGGAGTAGTTGATGAGATGAAAGTCGTTCAAGTCGGTAGTCTGTCGTAGAATTCATGTCACGATAAGTCGTTCGATTACTTGTATGTTTATGTAAGAGTGCTTTTGAAAGTTATGATGATGTTGTTGAAATTTACTTGAATAAATTATTTTTTTAAAGTTTCTGTTAACGATCCTTTTTGCATCAACACAGTATCCATAATTCAATGTATCAATGCATTTAAATTCACATGAGGATATTGGAAAATCCTAAATGTCAAGCATAAGTTTTGTGGTGAAAGACTAGATTCCATTTTGAGAGTGGTACCAAGTGCGAAATGAAATTTGTTGAGGCGTTTCTCCAGGATATACGAGACCACGTAGCTCGCCATAATTCGTTTACCACAACTGCGTTCAGCTCGTCTGACGATTAACCCAGCGTCACTGTGGGATGAATTACCACAGTCTCTAGGCTACGAAAAGGGTATAAAGCATAAAGAGCTCTAGGATGTATGTGTGTAGATGAGGATGCTCATCTAGTCATAGAAATTATGCGTTTCATCATGATCGAGTGGCGTGAAACATCAGGAAGATAATTACCCCTGAAAATATCACTCTGATAGTAAATCGAGCTTATATCTTTAGTTTAAAGTTTCGCATCTGCCTTCTACTCTTTTCAACGAGAATTAATAGCTACGAGAAAGAAGAAAATGCAGGTGACGACATAAAAAAAAATAAAATAAAAATGAGAAGGATTCGCGAGAAGAAAAACAGAACGATTAATTTACGCAGAATTACAGCAGAGCGAAGAGTAAAAAAGATAAAAAAAAAAGGTAAAAAAGGAACAGAACATTCTTTGCGTGGGTACTTAGGTTTTCTGTAGATCAGAAAAAGAAGTTAATTTAACGGACATGAGAGTTTTCGGATTAGACGACGAAAGTTAGTAGCAGTAGCGGATCAGGGGATTACTTTGTTTTCTCCATTTTTTATATTTGTTTGTACATTCAACATTGCAAGAAAAGTTACCTTTTCTAGTTACATGTCACTCAATTATACCAAAAAAAAATATCACCTGCTCACCTTGTGACATTTATCTGGTCATAAATTTCTACTGTTCCTAAATTTCTGTATCCAGCAAATTTCATATTTGATCCTTTTAGTCCAGATCCACGTCCATCTATCTCACCATAAATTATGCTCTTGTTAGTTGCAAGATATGTTCCCCAGTCTATGTTAAATCTTTCAGCAATTTGTTGGGTGCCTGGACCTCCATATCTGTAAGAAAAAAAAACATCATGAACATTAGATACATGAAAATCAATTCTTAGAAAATTATTTGTAAAGACATCAGTTTGAAGAAGATAAAATAAAATTTTTATCCTTTTAAAATATCCTTGGAATAATTTTCTTCTAAAGGAAAATAAAAGATGTGATGAATTGAATTTTTTATAAAAACTTCTTTAAAGGGAATAAATAATTTCTTTAAACAATGTCTTGTTATTCTCCATTATACTGCCATAAAAAGGAAGAATTTATTGATCACAAGAAATTATTTTATTTTTTATTTAAAATCCAGGATAACAATTTCATTTAAAATCTTCCTTCCATTGGTTTCTAAGCAAACAAAAAGAGCTTGTAAATCCATTTTGACAAGGTTTTATGGGTAATTTATTTTTTATATTATTCAGCTTTGTCTTATGTAATGTTTAACTTTAATATCTTTTACTCAATTGATAAATGAGCTGCTATAAACTTTTAGTTATTAAATAATTAAAGTTTATAGCTCAACAAATATTCATTTTAAAATTTCAATATGAAGACATTTCAAAAGTGAAGTAATTTTTTTGATAAAATATTTTAATTAATTCAAATTTTCATGTATAAAACGTGTTATGTATTAACGTAATCCAGTTAATTATTAATAAATGCTATTATAAAGCAAATAAGTTCAACTACGGAGTTTGCTAACCAAGTTTACGCTTCCGTTACTTCGAAATTCAACGATGTAGAATACGTATTCTAGAAAAGTAGAGTCAAGTCATTTACAAGTTCAAGTAAAAATGAATAGTTACCAATGTTATTTTATTTTTGTTTACTTTAAATCTTATTAATTTACAATTCATTTATTTTCCTAAAATGTATGATTGTTTTGTGGTGATGTTTTAAAAGTTTATTAATCTTGTTGGTGTATGGCTAAAAGAGGCTGACTATTGCTTGAGTTATACTACTTGAAAACAGCAGTTACTGCACTTTTGTTCTACTTGAGTCTTTGACAATAGAATTTATCCCATTCTCACATAGTAAATTTTTGAATTAAAGATCTAAGTACTTGATATTCATAGAGAATTTCTATAAACCAACTTCAGAAAGTTTGAGATTAAAGCCAACCATTTTGACAAGCTGACAAAAAGATTTGTGGTATCAATTTGGTACATGAAAATATTCTATTCGTTAAGTGAATGTTATTTAAATATTAATAATAAATAAAGATATGATGAGAATAAATGAGTAAATAAAGAGTATTTTTTATCACTATTTTCTTGCTAATACATTAAAAATAGAGTCATTCTTTGGAAATTTAAATTGTTCAAGACACGTAGACTACTCAAGCTTTTTTTTTTGTTTTATCTTTGAGCTCATGAATAATCTCGCACACGATCGTGGAAAAAGGATCAGGTTTTGTGAAGAACGTCTTTCCCACAGGGACTTAAAGGAAGGATATCATGAAGAAGAGTTTTGTGCAAAGGTCTTTTGCTTTTTTCCCTTCTATACTTGTGTTTCCCGTTTGCTATCAGAAATTGTCGTGAATACGATGCAAATATTGTCTTGAAGAATATAAATCTTTGAAGTTAGAAAAGTAAAGATGATTTCCATTTATTTTGTTTGAATAAATTATTAAGTAAATTTTGTCTTATTTACAACAGATGGTAACAGAGTAAAATTACTCTGAAATTATAGAATTTTTTTTTAATTAAGAGAAATTAAATATTTGCATTTTGTAAAGTAGAACAGCTCTGATTTTAAACAATGCTTTGGAAGCAGATTTTATTCATATTAAGCTTGGATAGGTATATTAGAAAATCCAAGTCATATAGAACCTGAATGGCAACAAGTATTCTGGATGATAAAATAGCTGAGTATGTAGAAACATTATAATTATTGCCATTATTGATGCTGTTCATCTAATTAATAAATAATTGTCTGAAAATTAATTAGCAAAAAATAAGGATAAATTAAAAAAAAAAAAGTGCTAAAAAGAATTGTTATCATGCATTTTCTGTTAGTCTACTAGTGCTTTGGTCCATTTCTAAACGAAACTCTTTCTCTAAAACTATCCTTCTTACAGCAACATGAGTAGCAAAAGTTTTTTATGAGCTGGCAAGTTGAGACCAATGTGTCGCCTACAAATTAGATGTTATTAGAATTTACGTGGTAAGTTATACAGTCGTGAATTTCCCACACGAACGTGGCAACGCGATGAAAGTAACAAACTTGTAAAGAGAAAACAGTGTACAGTATGTAGAGAATTCTGGAAAAAGTAGTATCTTTTTATATTCCTCACGCGTGTCTTTAGTCGCATTTTGCCACCATAAAAAATACCGAAAATATTCTTTATTTATTTTTTCATTTCTTTTATTACCTCAAATTCTTCGAGCAAAAAACGTAAATTCCATTTCGTGAATAGCAAAAACAGTTCTTTCTTTTGTGTAAAATAGCATGATAAAGAAACAAAAGAGAGAAATAAAAAAAATAAAATAGTGTATACAAGTATATAGCTCGAGTGCTATTGAGTAAAGGATAAGAATTTTTATGGCTACTCTTCTCAAAATACTGCCTGCAATCATGTCTCTTGAAGAACATATACAACCATTGAAGCACACTATGCAACTGAGGTATTTATACCTTATGGTCGGTGTTTGCACCAAGCCAATGTACGGTCTGGTGCTGCGCGTTAAAAGCTGATTGATCGTCATAGTGTAATGGATTCTGCAGCTTCGCAAAAGAGAGCTTTTAGTCGATGGGAAAAGACAGGATAAAAAAAGCATTCCGAACTTGTGAGCTTACATTTAAGTGCCAATGTGATGAGAGCTTGTCGTAGAATCTATAAGATATTGCTTGTTACCCTTGACAGAATATTCCATAGAATGGCTTTGTATCTACTTTTCTTCATCTTCTTTATTATTATTATTATCATTCAACTGATAGAACATTTTTATGCTTGTCAGAAATTGATTTACTATCAATCAAATTGTTTATAAATTTATTGAAGTGATAAATTGATTGAAATAGTGATAAATATTCTTTCATTTGATTCTAGTTTTTGCTTTATATTTTTCAGATAGAAATAGCCAAATTAAAAAATAAAATTCTTTCATGTTTATTTTCAATTGGAAAAATGGTAAAAAATAAAAAACCTCCTGTTTCATTTTTTAATCCAGCTTTCGATTCAGTCAGAAGCAAAGTTCTTTCTATATTTTCAAATGAAAATCAATGTTTCTTTTGCTTTAAAGCGAAAAAATATGATGTGTTCTAAATACTGCGAATATATAAAAGCTCTTTTTTTTTAGAAAAAAAATCGTATTGATAAAAAAAAAGTTCATCATAAAAAATTGATTCTGTTGTTTAAAATTAAAAGCAGCTAATTTGAAGTTGTTTTCGTTCACAATTTTCATCATGATGAAAACAAAAACCTAAATAATACATTATTATAAAGTATTAATTAAAGAATGAAAATTTTTGTTTTTAATTTAGCATCATATTAACTTTCATGTAAAACATTCTTCCTTTTATTATTAACAAAAAGTTTTATACTATTGAGAAAGGATAATAATCTTTTTAGCTATCATATTTACTAGCAGCAAAAGAGCTTTTTTATATGTAAACCACCGGAATAAAATCAATTATGAAATTTTAGCAAGTTTTGATAAGTTTTGTTAATCAAGTACAGAACATGAGTGGCAGCTATCAAATTTGCAGATTAAGACAGTTAATGCACACTTCATTTGTCTTGAACCTTCGATGGAACTTGAGTTTGATATCAGATACATCTTAAAAGTTAGTTGGAACTACTGGAGAAGTAGTGGGAAGCACAGTGATTTATCATCAGATCTTGATCGAGTACTTACACAAAGATGACTAAGGGATACTTGGTGGTGCCAGTTAAGTCAGCACCTGGGGGTAGGAAAAGACGAACTTGAGCATTAAAGCCTCCTTGAACAGGAACAGAAAAGCGTTTGACAGTTGGTTTAGATTTTTCAGCCAGTGTTGCTGCAATAGGTTTGTTATCCTCCCATGTAAGTATTTTGGTTGCATTGGCCTAGAACAATAAATAAGAAAAATATAAATAATTGATGAATGGTCATTTGTATTAATTGTTTTGCATATTTTGTTATACATGCAAATAATACGTTGGCAGTAATGGTTGTGAGAGGAGCAAGAGGAGAGAAAAAAATGAAGCAAATGCGTTTGCATATATTCCCTTCAGAGTATGCAACCACGATTGGCTGACAGGCGCGAGCAGACATTTGAATTTCATGTGACACGTTTTTCACATGTAACACTTGTTACACCCCTGCAATAGCTCTCTCACTCATGCTGCGTTTTACACTAGAGAAGTACCAGTATTCGGACAATTCCCTTCAGCACTGGCTATCGGTTTGCAAATTTTATGTCACCGACTGTTACGAGTCATGTCATGATTTTTTTCTCTATTTCCATGACCACAATGGTAAATATTCCGACAGTTAATTTATACCAAAAACTCATAAAATAAAAATATTGTGATAAAAATGTGATATAATCTCGACATTAACTTTTGTAAAATACGACAAATTTCACTATTTCAAATAATTCTTTAAAACAATACTGTCATTTAAGCTATTTCATTTATTCAAACTTTTATTTATTTTCACATTTCTCACTTCAGAACAATTAAAGGGAATCCAATAAAAATTTTATCGAGATATATTTTTAATTAAACTTCAGATTCATTTGTGTAGTGTGATATTGTAGATTGAAAAATTCTTAACTCGAATAAAATTCATGAATAAATTGATTGAATAAAATTGGAATCAATTATTCATGCAAATCAAAATGATTATTCAAAAAATAAAAATCAGATTCCTAAAAAAGAAATTCAACATAATCATTTGCTTGAAGTGAAAATGAAAACATTTACAACTGGACCAAAACTTCAAATTTTTGCTAATATATTTCAAAACAGGCAATGATGAAACTATTTTTCCGCTCCAAAGATCTTCTTGAAAGCTTATAAAGATTATGGCATAGTCACATTTATTTTTTGTGGCCACCAAATATTTTTATATCACATTTGTGTTCAATAAATATCTACTGTCATTTTTAATGTAATTTTACTCCTAAAATTTCACCCTGCATCATCAATTTATTGGAATATCATTTCAACATACAACCGTCAGAATATAATTGCCTTTTTTTAACTTCAGCTTTTTTTAATTTACAACTAGATAAAAACAGCTTAGATCATATACCGAAAATGTCTTCATCAACAGTTAAATTTTCAATTTAACGCAAGAGTTTACAGTTCTAATAATCAACTTTATTTCATATGAAAAAAATTAACTGAATATTTACAAGTTCACAGTTTTTTTTAAGCTCATAGAAGCTCACTGGATGCAATAGAAAATATTTTATGTTCATATTTTAAAATTCTTTTATTTATTTAACTCATCAAAAATATGAATGAGAAGCAGAATATTTTAAATATCTAAATTTTTTAATATAACATTCCTTAATTATTCAAAAATTTCCATTTTATTTATTTCCAAACAAATTTATCAAAGTAATAATACCACTATTATTACCACTTCTAATTGATTTTATTGTTATGCTATCATAAACTGAGTAACAAAGACGTTAACTTCCTGATAATGAGAATGATTGTGCATGTAACTACCACAAAGTTCTCAATGAAACCCTAAACAAACCCCGAGAATAATTTTGTCAACAAAATAAAGCAATAAAATGGTCGATTCAATAAGATAACGGTAACTAATAACAGTGGTTTACAAATGAAGGTGACATAAAATAATTGCATCGACAGTAATGGGTACTGAGACTCTATTGGAAACGATCGATTGAAGTGGCAATTAATTGGTCTTGAGGGACATCATTGACGGCCAATAATCGCTAACCACGACGTGTTTGTGATATCATTTACACTGGGATTAAATAGCTTTCGATGTACGTTCATAGTCTATCTCACTAAATAACAGTCCACATTACATAACTGCTCTCCAAGAAGTCATATTCGAATGCAGGTAATATCTGATTTTAATGAAAATTGAATTTACAATAATTAGAATCATACAAACAACTAAATCAGATATGTCAGTAATGATTATTATTTCTATTTGAATAAATTCAGTTATTGGTTACTTGTAGTTGTTAAAAAATTCAATAAAATGGTTTGATGATTGAAATAATAAAAAATGAAGTAAAATTGGAATCACTAATTCCAACTAATCTGATAAAATGGAGTAGTTCTTTTTAAAAAGTAAGCAATTAAGGATAAATAGTTTATCAAAGAAAAAAGACTTACAAGTCCTTTATAAACACAAACTTATTTGATTTCTTTCAACATTTTATCACTTTGAAAAGACGCGACTCGAAAACTTGAGTTTCTATCGTCTAGAAAAGCTCTGTCAAGAGCAAGGGAATTTGCTATTTTTTTCTTACTTTTGTCTATAACTCTCCAGAGTATCTATCTCTGTCCTTGCTAATGCGATTAACTTCTGGATGTAGTGGAGATAGTTCACATCTATTGTCTTCCTTACTTTACAAGTTAGGGATCGACACCCATGAAGCTTCCGTCAAAAGGGAAATATTAACGAGCAAGTGTCTGAAATTGCACTCAACGGACAAAGAGAAAGATATAAATGGAAGTTGGATCATCATTTTTCCAGAAAAAAAGACATTATAAGATCAAAAGAAATAAAAAAATAAATTTTCGCTTCCGTTGACATCAAAACAGATAGGATTATAATATCTTTTATTTTAATGTCATACTTCTGACACCTGTAACTACGTTTCTGTAATTAGTAGAGCAAAATAAAAAAATTGTCTTTATGCTGAAAATTTTATGTTTAAATTTTTTTTTTCCCCCAATTATCTTGAAGTTTAATAAAATTTTTTTATCATGTTGTGCAGTAAATATAACTTTTGTAATAAAAAAAAAATCCTATGACGTTTCAATTCTCTCAAAGTAACTGGAGAGACTGGAGTTTTTATTGTGAAACTTACGCTGTTGTAAATCGAAACTTCAGGAACACCAGGACCACCACACGTCAACATATAGCGACTTTTGTCGGGTGAAAGTTCTGCATCATTGTGGAGACAGAATGTTCCTTCGATCTCGTTCTTAAGTTCACAACTCAAGCATTCAGGCTTGAAGACTTTCTCTAGTGTTGACAGTCTATAAACGTGCTGTTGTCCTGGATCATCTGCTAATGTTGCCACATAATACCTGCAATAAAATCAATAAAAGTTAAAAGTGCTTTTTTGGTAGAATTTAATTACTATTCAATGGTCAAACATTTAAATACATTTCTATGCTAAATTTTGTTTATTTTTTATTATAATGATGAAATTATAAAATTAGTTTTATTGGAAATAATGAAGTAAAGTTGATTTCAAACTAGAAATGAGTTTGGGAACGTGACAATAACCGATAGCAATTGATTCTCAGCATCAAAGTGGAACACATGTTATGTGCTGAATCTTTGATTTAGATTGATGATTGATTTAGGTTGAATTGATGATACGGAATCGCCTGTAGTATCAATAGTTATCACTTCTAGGTATTATACAGTCTCTAAATCATCAACAGTTATTACTTGTAGGTGACATCTAGTCCTTTACCTAAGTACTCTTCCATTTTAAAATAATTTGCTAAAACTATTGCTCTATTTGATATCATCACAAGGCTTTTACTAAAATAACTTTTCAATTTTCGTGTTTGTATTACAGCAAAACTTGTAATTTATTGCAACAGATTATTTTATATTTTTATGTTATAGATATTAGAGGAGAGAAGATGTACTCCAGAGGTATATTTTCTCTAAAAGATATTTGAATAAATGATGAAAGCAATATCTTGTAACTCTGACATAATCATTTCAAGCATTTCCTAGAAATTGAGCTGGCGAGTAGAGTCAAGGTTCGATGGTCCATTGAGATGTAGAAATTATCACAACCCTCAGGTCATATTCCACAAATTGTACGACGTAGCGACGACGATATTTTCAGGATTCCCAAAGGACTCACGCGAGCGAGAACTCTAGGAAAGTTTCAAAGAGAAAATCAAAAGGTCGAGTAAACTCAGTCGCTCTGAACTAAAAACCGCTTGTTCGCCTCTATTGAACACTTTAACCGTGAAAAGTGCAAATAAAGTAAAATAAAAATATCTCGTTTATTGGACGACTTTATATTCATTTTATTTTTGTCTCGTAATGCCATGAAACAATGAGATTTTTAGGATTTTTTTGTTTTGCTAAATTGAAATTAATTTACTTTGGATAAAGGTAATTATTTTTAATTTCAAGTCAAATTCTGATGTTAATTTTTTTCAACTATTGGATAAACTTTGCACCTGGTGTTTCTGTTAAGTGAATTCATGATTTTAATTTTCATTTTTATATAGATGAGTATTTTACTCTAATGGGTACATAATGGAGTGTATATTTTTCACACTTCAGTGCATTTCATGACATTTTATTTTAATACATGCATCTATTTGATAATACTCTACTTCAAGAATTATTGGATGAATTTAAAAATTGTTTTATCAGTGTTTTCTGGAAAACATAAATGAAAAATTTAATACATTTTTAAACAAACTGTTTCTAAAGTTGGATAAAAGCTTTAACTGTCATTTTTTTTGTAAGAAAGAGAATGATTTATTTGAATCGAAGCCTCAATTTTTCAAAAAAAAATTAGTTTTGTTCTTCTTTCAACTTGAAGATTTATTTAACTTGTTTATTTATCGCCTATAAATTTAGGATTTCTCAAGTCTAAAGAGAAAATAGTTTTCACGAGAAATCAACAGAGAAAAGTTGCTGCATAATTCAATGTATATAAATGCTAGTAAAAGCCTTTTTTAACATTGTCAATATTTTATTGTTTAAATTTTCTTTCTACTAAATAGTACATCAAAAGACACTTAAATATATATAAAAAACTTCACTGATAAACAAATTTATTTATATCCTATAAATTCTTTCAAATAAACGCACTGTTATCAAAGCCTTTTTTTGCATTAAAGTAGATAGGATGATGTCTGAATCATAGTATAAACTATTATTCAAGAAGATAAAAATTTATTTGCATTATCACATGATATGATTTAATTAAAGAGAACTATTTCAAATCAAAGGAAGCTCAAAAATGTTAATAAAGTTAATTACTGGTATTCATGAATCTTTACATCAATATGCAAATACATGAGTGTTAATTTCTAGATGTAATGGTTTGTGTGACATCGAATTTCATATAGAATAAGTTATTGGATGTAGCTTGTTAAGCTTATATATCCGGTTTGGTTCCACTAGAAGTCAAAATAATAATGTTATTACCAATGTTGGAATTAAATCAAGTAAATTAAATAGAACATGATTAAATTGATGATGCATATTTAGTAATAAGAATTTGAATGAATGAGATGAACTGATATTATTTAATTAAAATGAGTGAAATCAATATAACCATAGTTCACATATGTTATTTAATTAATGAATTGACTGAAATTATCACATGACTAAATGATTTTCATTATCATCAACGGTGTAAATAATAGTAAAATATTTAATAACATAGGATAACTTTTGTTTTGTTATATTTTTCTGATTGAGTTGTTAGTCTCTATTGTATAAATGTCGGATAAGAGAAATAAATCTCACAGCTTAAATCCTCGGTTGCAATAAACGTACTCGCGAATCACAAAGCCACGAGATATTCGACCAATTTTCACAAGCTATATGCTGGGCGAACGACACGTGTACGTACTTTATCGTCCATTTTACATAATGGCTCGTTTTGCAGGATTAGTTTTGACCTCTTGGGGGTTGTCAGTTCAAGCACTTAATCAACATTCATCGAGCCTACTAAATTATTCTCTGTGTATAATTTCTTTGACAGTAAAACAAACAAATCAACATTCTATAGTACATTTTTGAATTTTAGAAACAATGGGAAAAAACAATTCATGGCTTTATTCAGTTGGCTAAATATTTTGAAAAAACAATGGTGAAATTTTCATTCTAAGATTAAGCTTTGAGAAATCATAAACTAGAATAGTGGCTTCGACATTGTTGTAACTCACAAAAAATGCTTTTCATTGTCAAATAATCAATGGAGTTTTTTTTTTAAAAAGGAGAATTAAGAGTATTATTTGATTTTTTTATTATTTCTATCCACATATTTTAAAAAAAATTTTTTTGATTTAAATGGCTATTATTTTGAGAGTAAAGAAGACAAGTCTTAGGTATAGCCAAAATGATTTAATCAGTGATAAATATTTTTCTATAAATAATAATTATTATTAATAGTTGCTTGTAAATTAATTCAAATGAATTTTGAATTATTAAAATTATTGTAATTTTGATTTAATATTGTTTTAGACTGATAAAAAAAAACTCAGTTGAAGTAAAAAGTAATGAAAAGAAAAATATTCTGAAATCATATTCAAGAACTTGGTGTTGACGACTGTTGAACAATTACATAAAACCATAGACTTTTTTAATCAAACTCATTGTATGAGCACCGCGGGTTCTTGCTGTATTAAATAATAATTCTTTCTCTAACAAAAGACAAGTTTGAAAAATGAAAAAATTCCAAGTACACAACGAAACTTTAAAAGATACTTTGGAGCGTAAGGTGGTAAGGGATAATTTAATACCTGACGAAGACAATAGATGAAAGGAATTGAGATGAAAAGGATGAGGACTAGAAGGGTAGAAAGTTTGAAACACGACAAGATGGATGAGATCCCAGGATCACTTATGCTAGGGATTAATTTGAACCCACGGCCCTTTAATTCGCTTCTTCGCATCAATCTTGGTTGTATAGTTGCTGTACTAGTCTTGTCGTCATTGTTGGAGGTCTTTTAGACACTAGGTAACTTACAAGAGCCTCAAAACATTAAGGAACAAGACCTAAGGTCGGCCTCTCAACGAAGACTGATTCTTTGTATCATTTGTTACTGTTATGTAATGAAAACATTTAAAAAGTCATTATTTACAATTTACTGGGTACCAACGTGAAACTTCATTGGAAAATGTATTTTAATTTTAGCTGAAAGAGCTGTTTTCACCTCATTTTATTCTTAATAATTTTATTAAGCTCTTTCAAAGCAAAACCCCATCATTAATTTCTGTTAAATAGTTGATTAAATGATGGATTATTATTTGAAAGATTCATTATCAGAAATTATCCCGTCGATAAATGGTACTTTACAAATAGTCTGGCAAAAAATTAGGATAATGTCAATCATAAAAGAAAGTTAGCATGAGGCAGGAAATTTTACTCTCTACTTTTAAATGAAGACTGATCGTTTTAAAATCGATAAGACTGTCAAAGACTATCATTTATTTCAATTATTATTTAAACTATTATTTATTCATATTGTTTAAATATTTCTTTCAAACAAAATAGTACATTAATTAAAACAATTAATAATGAAGATGAAATGTCTGAAGTTTAGTTCAAGTTTGAACATTTCCATTTCAAATTTAGTATTGACATTTTCAGTTTCTAGATTTATTTTTTATTAAACGATTGATGAATGTAATTCTTTATCTGCATAAAAAGTGTTCCAACTTTTTAATTGAAAAAGTCTTTAATATAAATCAATCAACTTTTAATACTTCTATTCAACCACGACAGAAATATGTTGAGAAATTACGACAATTGTAAAATTTAAGAAATAGAGAATGAAGAACAAGTTTCATCAAATGATGGTATTAAATTATACTATGAAGAAGAAGTTTAAGTAGTATAAAATGACGAAGGTGCGTCAAACGAGTCAACTGCATTTAAACCATTCTACTGTAAAATTATTTTTAATACATTTAACTATACTAAAAAATTATTGGAGCATAAAATGTAAAGAGCTATTAAGTGTTTATTTTTTTTTTATTTCTCATTAATTTAATTCAACATTAATAGGTCATTTAATAAAATCAATAAAAAAAACTAAACATTCAAATCAAGAATCAATAAAAAAATAAATAAATTCATTTATTAATTAATTCCAAAAGTCGATGTAATATTATATTAAAGGTGTTGGTGATAAAATGGAACTTTATGCCAGACTTTAATAAACCAGTGTGGTGAGAAATATTAAATTGGTGGTCTCTTCCTGATAGTTATAATATATCTATAGTAGGATGTATGGAGCAGCATTAAATAGATATTTAGAGATATGTATTCTCTTTGATTTTAGTCAAAATAATTATGAATTTATTTGTGTTTAATAGAAAAAATTAATTATTATCACTGTTATTATTATTATTCATTAGCAGTAATGTGATGATATAACATGAAATGCCATTCTCATAAAATTATTAAATTTATGAAATATATTGGTGTTAATAATGAAAGTTTAATTTTTGGTGAGTGGTGGTAAACTTTTACCACACAATATTTTCTGTCACTTCAACATCAGATAGTTTTCAAACAAATATCCTCTATGACTATTCTGTCAATAAACACCCAGACTAATGAAAATTGGTGAGATTGTTCATGACCAAAAAAGCTCATAAATCAAGCCTTTTTATTGAAAGTGTTATTAAATTGTTTCAAATGAATGCGTATGTTAAAAAAATACAAGCTTTTCCAAACAAACGAAATATATGTTTCTTGATTTTTTGTATAATCGTTCCAATTATACAAAGAAAGATGATAAAAATAATTTTATGTAATAGAAGTATGAAAATTGCACTCTTTTAATTATACTCGTTGAATCTTTTTACTGCCTGGTATGAATAGTTTATTCAAATTTCACTTGCTTTATTACTTTGTTCTAGAATACTGTATGTTTCATGGTATCAATTATTTTCTCATTTGAGAAATGATGAAATCGTTGAGTGGAAAATTGTCATTATAACTTGAAAATATGTACTATTATTGTACACTGTTAATTAATCATTTTTTTTTTAAACTTTTAGAATGTTCTGAAATTTGAATGTAATTCATATAAAGTTCAAATCATAACTTAATTTAATTTATTTGATTACATTTAGTCTTTTGATTTAAACATTTGTGAATTCAGTATCAAAATAAATTGTTTTGGTTGGTGGTTGGAATCAAATAATCAACCCAAATTTTCATAATCGAAAAGTAATAGGTTTAATGCTGAAATGTAATATTGATATTGATGATTGATCAATGAGAAATTGATGAAATTATATATCAATATATTTATTTCAGTAAGACACAAAAATATATTTATTATTCAATATCAAATTGATTTCATTCATTCAGAAATTTGGATAAAAATTTTTTTAATAAGATGTTATAGAATCATATAAGCTAGTATTCATTCCAACCTTTCAATCAAATCAATTAAGTTCCTTCAAACAAATCCTTTCTCCTTGAGCACCCAACTTACTTGCTATGATAAATTAGTTTCTCCAATTAATCCAGAACAAAGATCTCAGCAATTATAACTGAATTATAGTATAAAAACTAAGAATACTGAATCCAACACTAACAATTCAAAATTAATTGCATTTGCTTCAGAATACAAAACAAGAGTAGTATTAAATAACATCATATCCCATTAATTATTTTGCATCCCTAATAGTTTCAGTATAAGCAGATATAAAATGTAAATGCAGGAGAAGAAAATAGTTTTCAAGTACCTAGAATGTATGTATATAGCCGTAGTAAAACTTTTTTCTGGGTAAATAGATATGAAAATAACAGCAATGTAGGTAGACAGTTTAACGGAGAATTCAAGTACTAGTAAAACACAAAAAGAGAAACTTTTTTTGTTTCTAACGACGTTTTAATAGTCCCATGGACTTGGTGCTAACCGTACAGCTTTCACGTTAATTGAATTCCATCGCGTGTTCCGAGGTGTGAAAGCGAGAAGCAATGGCAGGTTGGATAAACGGTGGAATACTTGAGGTAAGAATGTGACAATTAATTGCTTTTCATGAATTGAATGGAAACATTGTAAAGAAAAATTCAAATCGAGATGGAAAACGATTAATTTTCACCGTTGTTTTTAGAAAATCAGATAAGGAAATGAAAATATAGAAAGATGTTGATTTGGAATATCAAGTATTTGCATAAGAAAATTAACAGAGCTAGTAAAGTGTATGTATATAGAAGCAGTTGAACTTGTGAAGACATCTAGAACGTCTAACTTTCAATTTGATAGCTCAAACGAAGTTACGTCGTCAGTTGGATGTAATTGATGATCCTATCGGTGTAGGAAATCCGCGCTAGCATTTCGTTAATTGTTTCCAACTTCTAATGACAAGTAAGGGGTCGAGAGTGAATTTATTAACGGTGGAGCTTCTTATTCGGCTGATTTTAGCGTTCGTTGACACTTTAAACGAGGAATCTACGTTACGAGTTAATTAGTTTATCACAGTTACTTGATAAACAGATGCTAAAGTTTTTGAAGATGCTGAAATTTACTTTTCAAACAGTTTTTTTTTTTTTTGCTTTATAAAGAAGATCATTAACCTTTTGGATTCTTGAGAAAATATTCTTTAAAATAGGCACCATGAAAAAAAGTTGGAGAATTTATTTTCTGCATCTGCAGAGTGAACCATGTCCATCATCAATTTTCCACTGCAGTTTATTTATTGTAATTGTTTATTTTAAATAAAATTTGATGGTACTAAAATTTAACTTTTTATATTATAAGTTTATCAAAGTATATTAATATTATTAAGTAGAAAGAAAATCATAATATTTTTTATAAAAGCTCAAATAAAAAAATTCTCCACCAAGAATTCAAATAGCTTTGAAAGAGTCTAGACCAAGTATTGGACAAAAGCAAATTGAAAATTGAGAATTAATTATAAATTGAATACTATTAAACCCCCAGTAATGAGTATCCAATTAAACAAAATTATAAATAAATTTTTTTCTGCCTTTTGAATTTATTTTTCAATACCATAAGAAAATGGAGCAAATAGAATAGCACAGATGGAATGAATCAATAAATAACCGCTTCAAATTAAGGTTAATGAGATATATCTTTCAGCTAGAGTTGCTCCTTATTGAATAGTTGATGAGGTACATTAATGTTTGAATCAAATAAGATCAAACATTATAAGATCATTGAGATATTAGTACACTCAAGATCCTATCTAACTAATGGCTATACACTATTTACTTACACAAGGGAGTTGTCCTCGTCCCAGCCGACAATTTTAGTGACGGCAAAGCTCCCGAAAGTTAGAGTACGAAGCTTTGGAGGACGACTAGTCACATTTGTCACCATCACCACGTGTGGCCAGGAGTCATTGTCTAACTGTTTCTGTGGTAAGATCAAGAGAAACTCCCTTCCTGTACGACTGAAGAGTGGTGACTCAAATTGATCAAGCCATCCGCTGTTCTCAGCAAATGATAAGACCTGTGGAAAAGAAACAAATATAATAATCGATAATTTTATTGCCATTTGAATTTAATTATAAAAAGAAACTAAAGATGTGATAAGATTGGAACTACGTGATTAATTCTGGTTTTGAAATTCAGCAGAAGTTTATAGGAATGATTTAAAAGGAATTATTTCAATAAAATATTTATATTTATGTATAAATAAGACTAAACTCTATTTATTATTTTTAGTTTTTCTGCTTTCTTTTTATTTAAGTGAAAGAGAAGAGTATTATGATATAACCACCTCAGAAATAATCAACTCTCATCAAACATTTATTCTTTAGCTGTTATGATCATTCTAGATGGTCTTAGATAAATGTTCTGTAAATTTCGATGAATATATTTACACGGATGTTCACCAAGAAGACTCTTCATTTCTTGTTTATCTTTTGAAAATGTTTACCTTTCCATTTTTCCAGTTTCTCAGAGTGGACTTAATCAAGATAAAAATAAAATACATACATCTCTCTTCATCTTTCAGTGTAAAAGTTAATTATATATAGAAGCTTCATGTCGATCGTTAAATGAGTTTCATTAGATTCTAATCGATCAATTAATATAAATGGAGAACTAGTACTCATGAGCAGCAGTCTATATGATACCATTTTCTCTATTCTCCAAGTAGTGATCAATATATCTTAGAGTAATTTAAAATTGATGAAATTGTGAACTTTAACTGATCAAATTATTCTTTGTATGAAGAAAAAATTATCAAAGATTCAAAGAAAAGCTTTTTAAGCTTGACCCAGTCAAGTTCAACTTCAAGAAAATTTTGAAAAGAAAAAAAATCTAAGAGAAAATAAGACAGTAAAGAATGTTAGTATATTGCTCGTTTCATGTAAATATAAAGAATAAATATTTTTCATATGAGTAAGGTAAAAAATATGATGATAGAACAAGAAAGTAACAACATTTTAGATATAGAACAACTCGATAAAACGATGTGTTTACAAGTAAAAGTAACAAGTTTCTTCACTTTGTTGAAGGCAAATCGAGTAGTGAAGTTGCAACAGAAACTTGAAAGTTGTATGTGTACTAACCGTATAGTTGATCGAGCTCCTAACATCGTAGAGCTGAAACACTGCTTTATTCTGAATTCTGTTCATCCACGTAACTGACACCAGATTTTCAGTTGGAAATGATACTGCTGCAAGGACTCGTTCTGTGTTAGCCAGCTGTGGTGGATACTTGATTTCATAGATGCTGACGTATCCATTGTCTGCAACGACCCTTTCCAAATCTACATAAAACAACTTAGCTTTTGGGTTGGTGGTACCACTCTGAAATAATACAGAATTATTTTGATTAATTTTTTAAAATTTCCATTTGAATTGAAAGGAATGGTATAAATATCCACAGATTAGTGATTATCACTGATGGTCATTGAATAGTATTACCGACAGAGGTCTGGTGTATCGCATTAGCTTAAATTCTCTGTGGCAGCGTTAATCGAATCGTTAGGATTGGTAGGAGTCCGCGAGGGAGAATAACAACCTCCTGTTCGGACTGCCTGCAATAATATAATCCCGCGGCTGTACTCCATTCCCACGAGTTTGCTGTTTATGTGATCTCTTGTATTTGCGCGCTTTCCCGAACATGTGAGTGACGCTAACATGACGCTTGTGATGCATTTTGTAACACCTTCAAACATGTTCAATTCTGCGGTAGAAGTCTAGGCGTGTGATAGATTATATTTCCCGTTAATAAACGTTAATCTGAATTGATGTACTGAACTGGCGTTTTGAAACTGTATACAGTAAATGGAATGTTAAATATACTTTATCGCTTTTTATAACGATCGCCATATGCACTTTTGGCTTTGTCGGCGTTACGTAATTAACCTCACTTCGTGTGTATAACCTAATTAAATATTTTATTGCACTTATTAGCACACATGAAAGTCAACTCTTTATACTCGATATGTTAAAATAACTTGGAAATTGCTAGTTTTATTATTTACCAATTATAAATTATGATTTATTTATTTTTAAGGTTAAAAAAATTTTATAAATTTTAACAACTAATTCTTTAATGGTAAATTTATCATTAAAAAAATTAGTTAACTTATTTGCTATATAATATTTTGTTTTTAGTTCAACTCTAGATGTAATATTATATTTTTCAGCATTTATTCGTGTTGTCAAGTAACACTAATGGGTAAAAAGATCCCAAGACTAAGATGTTCGTAAAAGTAAAAAAAAGGTAAACATAAGTAAAGGTATAATGCGTTAAAAAACAAACTGAACCAAAATGATCGTCTTACTCATGGTATTAGAGAACTTTTTCCAGTATAACCACACAACTTTACGACAAAGTAACACTTCTGCATAAAAGTTAACTTTATTATTAATGTATATAGTGAATAAACCTATAAAACAATATCCGCAGCCTTTTAGATCTCTAGAAGCTAAGGATTTTATTTTACTACATCTTAAGAGATCTCAAGAATATCTTTATGATACGACATATGTTCTGAGTATATTTTCCATTAACGATATAAACTAGACAACATTGGAGGAACAATTTATGGTGGGAAATAAAAATACCAACCAGTCCTTCTGAGGTACCTCTTTCAAAGTCAAACAAAAGAAATTGAAGAAGAAATGAATGAACAAAGATAATCAGGAAATACATTTTATCAGGTAATTAACGTTTTTGATTTGTAAAAACAAATAAAGTAAATCCAATGCATTTTAAAGAGCAACAAATTTATCCTAATGTGACTACTTCTTTGAGATATTGATTCCAATTGAGCTCATTTTATCATGTCTTTTAGCATGGAGGATTCAACATCTAGTTGATTTTTTTCGTTCAAAATTTCTATTTTATTGTCAATTTACTTGAAGGGTATTTCAAGTTACAGTATTAGGTGCAATTTTCTGGGATCCATTAATTTTATTATTTCCAAAGACTATGTAAATCATTGATGAAAATAATTCCTCAAGAATATTGATGCATTTTCGTTACTCTGCAGTATTCAAAACTTTCATTCAAATTGCTCGACAATTCTTGGCTCTCTTCCAAACTGCATAGGAAAGAAAATAGAAAAATAGAGTGGAATTAAAACGCATTGGAATAGAGAAGATCATCAAACTCTTGCAATAAATTTTTCTAGACAAAAAATAGTAACTAATATTGAAGTTGCTAAAGATTCAAAATATTCTAAATGGATTTACGTTTCAGATATTTCTCTTTAGCATGGTTTTCCTTTGTTTGAAGAATATTTTATATATACATTTTTTAATTAACATTATTATTTTTTTTTTAGATTTGAATGATTTTTTTCCTGATCATCAAATACTCTTAGCTTACCTTTGGATAATGAATTGGAATTGTAGAAGTATACTGGAATGAAAGACTTCCTGGCAACCCATAAAAAGTTATATTCATCATCTGTGTCTGCATGTCATTAAAGTGTGCAAATACCATTTTCTTTCCACTTGGTGAAAACCATAATACTTTGTTAGAGTTGAATACTTCCTCTGAAAAAGAAAAACGAATACCAAAAGATTATTAATCGTGTTCTCAATATTTAATGTCACTTTAAAAATTATTGAATTAAAATTAGGGACAAGTAAATTGGTCAAGTAGAATGAATATTTTTTGTTTCTTAAGGCAAAAAATTAGCTTTAGAAGTTAAATAGCGGAAAAAGGTATTTTTATTGGAAAACGTAAAAATAAGAATTTGCCATAAGATATAAAAAAATGCCTGAGCACCTAAGTAGGAATGAGAGGAATGTTTCTTGATGGGGAAAAAAATAAAAAGGTTGGTAGAAAGAAAGCAACGATTTTGAACATCTTTAGTGAGAAGTATGAAAGAGTGTAAAGATATCCTTTGTCCGGAGCGACGTTGTGGAATGCTCTAACGTTTGCGTGCAGTGGACTAAGCTTTTTCAGAATACAAGGAAAAGACTCATTTTTTTTCTGGTGCTTATAGCGATGAAGGTCTACAAGCTAGAAGTGAAGAATTTCCCCTAGAAAGAAAAGAAAAAAATGGAAATACTTTAGATACTACAGAAGTCTTTGAATTTTTTCCTCAAACAAGTCCAGTAATCTCGAGAAATGAATTAAAAAAGATATTTTTTTTTAGTGAATTAAATTGAGCTGTAATGAGATTAACTTTATTTCTACCTTACTTTTTTTCTGTGCTGTGTAATTTATTTGATAATCATCTTTTTACTAATCATCTGAGAGCAACTGAAAGAAGACTACTGTAACTTTTTAAAGTGACTTAACCAAGAGAAGAGTCTTTTATCCAAAGTATTCTTAAAATGACCTAGCTAATAAGATAGTAGACAAGGTCTTCCACTAGTCAGACACATTCAGCTCAGCATCCTTCAAGAATTCAACTCACTAACAACATTACAGTTTTAGCTGCTGTTGTTCGTCAGTTGAACATTCTTCCTCACGTCTGACTATAATATAGATTCGTTTATGAGTTGGAATTAGAATAATTCACTTTTACTATAAGCATTTTGATGATGGAATGAATGGTAGTTTACATCAGCTAATTTACTATGAGTAGAATAACAAGATTCCTTTTTTTTCCTATCAAAAGAATTTTGAATCAAGCATGATATTGACTTTTAAAAAGTTAGATTTTAAGCAAATTTCAAGTAAACAAGCTTTCAACGAACCAATAAAAAATCATGTTATTAAAAAATTGATGTGATCTGGTAGCAATTGATCTAACTTTATTTACATAGATAAAAGAAATCGTATGGGGTAGAAAAAAATTTCTGTTTGAAGTGAAAACAATTTTTTTCATCGTAAAAGAGGTATAAAACAACCTGATTAAACATTTTTATGTAAGTTTTATTAGATTTTCGATGTTGAAGTAAAATTAACAAACTGAGAAATGAGAGATTTTCATGAGAATTCAAAACTTTGAAGTATTTTAAAAATGATTATTTTCATATTCTTATGTGATTTTTGTCTATTAATTTTTATTTGTAGCCTTTTTAATGGTTTTTTAAAATTACTTTCCACTGAAAATCTCTAGGGTTATTATTTATTTATGAAAAATTGTAGAAATGAAACTACATTACAATGAACATTCTTAATTTAAAATTATTTTCTATTCAACAAGGAAACTTTATTCAGCAAATCTCAAAACTAAATATTAAAAAATATATAATTCCAGTGGAAATGGAATTTCTTCATTGTAGTTATACAAGTATTTTACATTGAAAAAAAAAAATAAAGGAAATTGAAATGAAAAAAAGCTGTTATTCTCTAGGTCAGTGTAGAGGAAGCTGTTATATAAACAGCTTCAATGTTTGTTCTTCTTTAAGAAAATCTCGGGGGCAAAGTATTCTCTGTCGTCTCTATCGTCCAATCAAGTCGTTCTATCCGTTATTTATTCAACAGCCGCGGGTGACGGTCGGCTGAGAGATAGTTAGCTGCTTGGCGAATGTCATATTGAGACGTGCTCCTGGCATTCGAATCATTTTTCCATGGTAGAATAGAAATAATCCAAAGATATCTTGGTATCATTTTTTTTTGTTTTATTTGTATTTTGCCATATGAGGTGGATTAAACGAATATAAAACTGAATCGTTGTTGATTGTGGGGGCCTGGAGATATTTTGAAATCAATTTTCATCAGAAAAGTTTTATGAGCTATCAATCTTTATTATAACGAATCAACATAGAAAAAATTCCATAATATAAACTAACTCCAATTTTTCTAAAGTCAATTTTGAGTTTTGGCTTTCATTTTATTGGTGATGGAGTTTGACTTTTATAGAATTGCTAAAATTTTATAGAGTTCAATAAAAATTGTTGACTACATTTTAATAGAATTTTTTTAGTGTAGACTTCATCTAAAGTCTCTTTCTAATTGACGTGAAATGGAATCTTTTTAAAATTAACTTTAATTAATTAATATCTATTTAGGTTTTTGTAATTATCTGGGATTTAATTTGGCTCATGGGTTGGGCCTGTGTAATTGTTTCAAATAAATAAATTATTATTATTATTAAAAAACAAGAAAAATATTAATTTTAACAGCACCTTCACTACTAAAAGTAGTAGAATATACGGTGTAATATTGATCAAGATTTATAGTTGATTCATATGAGTGATGAAATTTAATTTTATCATTAATTTTTAATTGTTTAAAACAGTTTTAAATTAAGCATGTTAAATATTTCAAAATAAAAAAGACATTAATCAATTTAATAAATGATACTATACATAGATAATTAGAAAACGAGTGTATTAAGTTTTCAACTACATATTTTCATTATTTTATTATAGCATTGTACATTTAATGCATTTGAAATACTTTATTTTAGACCCGTTTTTTGATCATTAGATGTTCAGTAACACTTGGAAGTTTGTTTTGTTAATCTCCAGGGATTGCAACTATTCATACAACAACTTGTAAGAAGCATCCTGGGATCCATGTCTTTCATTGAAATTCACAATGTTTCTTAGTCTATCAGAGCTAATTTTTTTTTTGTAAATTCATGGAAACTTTTCTCACTTTAAAACTAGTGGACAAAACTGTTAATTTGTTGAATAAAAAATATCTTTAACACAGCAATATACAATAATCCTTTAGTATATTGTACACATTCAATATCTCTTATCTATTGTGATAATTCTAAAAAAAAAATAATGAATAAATAAAGTGTTGGTATTTCAAAACTGCATGCATTAAAAAAATATGTATTTTTGAGGTATTTTTTTTCAGGAAAAATTTTATTTTAATATACTAAAGATTATCCTTACCGAATGAAATATTAAAAAAATTATTGAATGAAGTATTGATTGTTCAATAGATAGAGATCAGATGGACTTCAATACTAATCGGATTCTACTCACAACTGAGGATTTGCGAATAGGATATTTCTAAATCCGCTAGAGTTCTATTAAGCGAGTAGTGATAGCAATTCGATTTGCTGAGTAGAAAATCATGATTTATACATTTAAAAAAAAAACGTGCTTTAAGAGTAGGAACGAGAAAAAAAGAACTAAAAAAGGTGTAAATACAAAATGAAATTAAATATATTTAAGTAAATGAATTATTGTAAATGCGTTATAATATATTAAATTAAATATAAACAAATTATATCTCTAGCTCAAATAATTTTCTTCAATTTGCAATTTATATTTTAATTAATTTGTAATATCAAATTTATTTAACATAATATCAGGCTAAATCTTAATTACATTAACTGAATTTCATTACTATCAATTGATGATTATATTTAATTATTTAATACATCATTAAATTAAAAACTAATGTTTTCTTTCTTATAATTGTATATAATTAATCAATTTATTCATTTAATATAATTACAGTAATCCTTATTAGTTTGAAAAATGCTTATTACTGACTATTCATCAGAAATAATTAAAAAATAAATTAGACTTTTTTACAAAAATGTAATTTATTTGAAAATAAAGTACTTTTGTATTTAAAGTGATAAGTAAATATGAAAATAGAGAAACTAATTGGACTCTTTTACGTTGAATAAACTCCATTATGGTGAAAGAAAAATTACTCAAATATTAATAAAGTATTCACATCAACTTCTCAACTACAAGTTAAATGTGGTGAAAATTATTTTATAAAAGTAATTGTAGTTGGCTACCGGTAAAACTAGGGTAATGCAACGAGTAAAGAATTATTTCGTTTTACTATTATTTATTTATTCCTCTTGTCCTCAATAATTTTATGAAAAAATATACTTTATATTTGAGTCTTTTATGAATTTTAAAATATGAAGGTGAATGTTGATAAGGGATAATTGATAAATGTATGACAAAAGCTACTCTTTTAATCAAATTATAATTTGCTTTATTTTTACGAGCTTTCATTTCTTTGTATAAAGAGATTTTAAATGTTTTAAATTAAAAACAAAAAAAATATTTTTAACTTTTTACACATCAGTAGTCTAATCATGGAAATATGGTGGATGAATTATGTCCACTTGAATTATTACTTGAATCACTCACATTAGCTACCCAAGTAGAGAAAAAATTATACTCATCATGTGAGTGAGTTCATAATAAATATTTATATATATATATACATATATAAAAGTGACATTTAAATGTGTCTTTTTATTCAACTAAAAATATCTAGGACAAGACCTCTAACTTTTTCAATTCTTTAGGGATTATTTTGTCGAGTGGTAGTTTTATGAAAAAAAATATATGATACAAAATGAGAATAGGATAAACCTGTAGATTAGTAAGTAGTTTGTGATGTGAGTTAATTCATGCATAGTTGATTTTCATTCCTTCAAATAGAAGGATGGAATTCCCTAGATAGATTGTAGCACAAAGTTTTCGACGGAAGCATTGATTATCATTGTCGTTTCATGAATGCTTAATATTTAATCAGAATTTAGTAAATACGGTTCGTATTCAAGTTCACTGCAGTGTAATAAATAGGAAAATTAAGAAATAGAGATAAGAGGAAGCGGATAAGGAAGCTATTCATGTGCTCCATTAAATTATTAGGGTAAATTTCTAGATTATGGCCTATTTTATCAAAATGCACTCAGGAAATTCTTTAAAAAAATGCTAATCTAAAAATAAAAGATTACATTTTGATGATAAATTAATATGATGGTACTTGAAAAAAATTTTAAAAATATTTCTTCAGAATATGTAGTTATTAAAATAATAATAAATAATTAAAATATTATAAAACATAAAAATGAGTGGATGTTTTATAATTCAGAATTGCTTTTTAATGAATCAGACAGATGAATAAAAATTAACTGTACTCATTTCAAGCTCGACACATTCTCTCAATTCCAAAAGAAATGTGCAAACTCTAGAAATAAAATTCAAAATGTAATTTTTAGAATAACTGAGAAAGGTATTATAAATAAAAAGGAATTAATTTATTAATAAAATTATTGGTGTCATTTTGTGAGATATCTTTGTTATAAAATGAGTACCATTAATAATAATGCATATCTCATGATACTTTGACGAAATAACAAATGTGTAATGTGTTTGAAAAATGAAGAAATCTATTATTTAATTTTGTCAGGAATACTTTCTCATTACGTTAGCATGTATATTTATGTATGTTATGTGCATATGCACATATTATAGATATACGAAAGGGAAAAGTAAAACGAATGGCAGTGCAACATAGCAAAAAATAGACGTCGACTGACGAAAGCTAATATATGAATGCGTAGACTGTAAGCACAGATCTACAAAACGTAAAGCACATGAATTATTGCTGCGACGGGATTTCGACGTACCTCTCTCTCTCTCTCACTCTCTTTCCTCAACATGTACACATACCAGAAATGGGTTTATACATGTTCGAATACGAGTCTACGAATGTCGTCTCCCGTGTGAATTGCCTCTGTCACCTCGAGATATTACTCTGTCGTGATAAATAGACAAAACCACAAATATTCGTTGGCAAAATAATACTCAAGAGCCACAAGCTCGTGATATCAAGTATTAACGAAATATCTTTGAAAATTCACTCGTAGGGAAAAATCATTTTTGATGAGTTATCAGATAGAATGCAAGAGGAATTATTTGCAAATGGATTTAAAATAAAATAATAAATTATTAACTTCTTGGTAGAGTCTGTTGAATAAAAAATTAATTTAAAAATTTTAAATTGAAGGAATTGGTGAGAATTATTTTAACGATATTATTTATAAATATTCAAGTACTGAATAATTTAAAATAATTAATTAAATGATTAATAAATTCTGCAGAATGTAGACTATAGCTTAGTGAGATAAAATTATTTTATTAAAAAATAAATGTGAGTTTATTAAAGTTGGTTTAAAAAAGTTGTTGATCTATTTTAAAGTTATTATTTTATTAATTAAACTTCAACTTGAACGAACAATTTTCCAAACAATCTTTCTTAACTTGGAATATTTTTAAATTCTTCTAACAAGATAAGTCTTTTATCCTGAGAATGTTTTAATAAAATAATTTTTTCTTGGAGTTATTTTATAGTTTATCGATTGATTTTTTTTTTTGAAAAAGAATATTAATTCTTGTTTAAAAAAAAATTAGAATTGTTTGATAGCTAAAAAATGTTATTGAATATTTAAAATGTAGTAGAAAATTTTTCAAAAAAAAACTTGCAAGCTAGAATTTCCATTCTCAATTTGAATACAATATTTGTTTCTATTTTTAAAAAATAAAAGATAAATTTAAAAAAAATGAAAGATAAAAAATACTGGAATATACACTTGGAATAAATGAATATTCATTTGATTTCAATTAAGTTCTCTTAGATAGAAAAAACTTTTCATTATAATTTGTTTCTGAGAAGGCAAATATTTTTTCTTGGTGGAAGAAAATTTTATTACCACGTTCGAATAACTGTAACTAGAAAAAATAAGCTTTTCAATAATAATATTTCAGTTTCCTGTTGAAAATTACACTTAACACACTTTGTCCAAGATTTTATGAAATTTCATCGTAAACTTTGTAAAAGAAATTAACGACAAAATGTGGAGGAAATAAAAGCAAGCTGCGTTAAATAAATGGGCTTTAAAAGCTTAAATGAAAATGATAAGTGAAATAAATTGAACTTTATATCAGCTCAAGTACATGATAGTATTAGATGCTTCATCGTACCTTCATAAACCCAGTCTGGTACTCCATTGTATATAGTCCTGAAAACACCATTCGTGGTAATCCGATAATCCAACGACTTTTCTGCTTCTGGTCTATAGTAAATATCGTTAAAATGGACAAATACCAAATCATTGCCTTTTGATGCCCATGTTGCTAACTGCAGTGTCGTCGAATTGCCCACTGACAGAAGAGTCTCATTCCTGTTAACAGAAAATTTATCATTTTTTATCGAATTCAATTATTACAACAAATTGATTACAATGTTTTATAGCTTTTATTTACAATCAATTTGTGGGATGAGTAGTTTTTTAAATCAGTCAAAATCAAATTAATCGATGCGATAGTGCAGTAGAGTGTAAACCCATAAAATTCATTAATTGAGATGTTGGTATTATTCATCAATTCAACTAGGGTTTTTTAATTAATATTTTCAAAACATTCATATCAATATTTTGCTTTAATCTATTTATTTATTATTAAGTTCGAAAATATTTCTTTTTTCTGAAACATTCATACTGATCAGTAGGTTCATGAATCTACAGCAGAGAATTTCGTTTATAAATGGGGAAAAGAATGATGTTCTATAAATGATTGGCATCGAGTAAATATCAAATACATGAAATATACATTCTACTTCGGATTGATTGGAATAACTATTTTTGTAATGTTTATTAATAGTCGCCAATTTTTCAGAAATATGAATGGTGTTTTTAAATTTAAAAAATAAATCCATTACTAAACACACGAATTAATTTTTTGCAAAGTATTTTGGCGATTTAAAGGGTGAAAGAAATTTTTTAAACAATTTTTATGGATATGCATATTCAGCTTAGATTTTAAGGTTTCCAAAACGTCCTTAGAAACAGTTATTGCCCTGTCCGTTCATGAGTTATAGGGGTTTAAAGTCAAGGGAATGATGAATTTTTATTTATAACTAGTTTTACCCTTTTTTGAGGGTGTTAAAGTGAATTTTCTTGGGCTGGGACCCGATTCCGTATTTCTACGCATCAAGACGAAGAGAATGAGTGGTCAAACTTGAAAATCGGAGAACTTTTATTTTTTGGCTGAAAAAAATGGAAAGGGGTACCACTTGCCATTTTTTGGGGTCGAAAAATCAAAGTTGTCCGATTTTCAATTTCGACCACTCATTCTCTTCGTCTCGATGCCTAGAAATGCGGAATCAGGTCAAACATATGAAAAATCAATTATTTCACTCCTAAAATGGGGTAAAATGGGAACTTGCTTCAATTTTACCATCAATTATCCTCCAATTATGATTTTAACTCTATCGAATTTTTCTCTCTCATCCAGATCTTTCATTCGTGCCCTCAATCAACCCCGTACCATCATTAGCATAAAAGTTATGCACATTTTCATGTCCCACTGGGAAACGTTGTGGGAACGAAATTTCTTATACGAGGAGGAATGTTTTTCATATCAAAGCTTGGATTTGGTATGTTGAACAAAGCTCCTAATACATGTCATTTTGATGAGATTGATATTTACAACAGTTACATAAAAATGAATTATTTTTCGACATTTGAGTTTATTGAAACACAAATCAAGCTTTATTACGGAAAATGGATTTTAACGGTTGTAAATAACCCTCATGTAGTTGGGGTCGTATTTGTATTCCTCGGAAGTATCAGTAATAGATATTTCGAAACTTGAGGAACGTGCCAACAAACCAGAATTCTCATAATGAAAGGCCACACTGTTTTGATAGAAGTGAAAGAGAAAATTGAATCGGACTTGATCAAATATTTAAACTATTTTAATAAATAACTCCATCAGAAAGCAATAACTAATTGCATCCAGATAGTTGAAGAAGAGAGTATGGGCCAGTTTGTGACACTTTGCATTATTCAGAACATTAGAATATAGATCTTTTGTAGTCGACTGTTAGGAAGTAAAGTTAGAGAAGTAACTGCAAGGAAGTCTCAGTGAGTCTGTGGACTTCAGAGGCTTTGAGTATTGTATGCTACCCTCGTCTACCTTCTTCTTACTCTCAAGAGGACATAATGTGTGGACTTGGCGAGCTGATCTCGTTGAGGAGACTGCAAAGTTAAAGGCTTTGGAATTCCATACATCCTTTGTACGATATATTGGCTAACAGGAAATTTGAGATTCCACAAAAAATTATTGCTTCTTTGATGTTTAAACACTTCATTTTATGATTCGACAATCGGACGATTCGAGAGTAAATAATTTCTATTGTTTCATGGAATAGATTAATACAAATACCCGACATGTAATTAGTGGTAGGTATAAAATTATACAGTTATTATATTAATCGTAAGAACAAAATAATTTTTTTTCTATTACAATAAATGTAATCAAGCATTAATCATTTACATTTGCTCTTGTATTTTGATTATCCTTCTAATCTTAACCCTTTTTATTTTGAATAAACAATAAATAATATTACAAGGTGGTTCCAGTTTCACGAGATCATGTAATATAAAAATTCTTTAACACCAACAGATTTCCAGTTTATTGCTGTTACAGAAAAGTTTTATTTCGTGTTTATATTACTTCTGAACTCCACGAAATTGCTACCGTCTATCTATATTTTTTTTTGTTTAATTATAAATAAGCACAAAGGAAATTCTAGACAAAAAGTCGTTCTTTAAATTCAAAATAAGGTTGGAAAAATTACCCTATTTTAATGCAAATTTTCTTCTCTATGGAAAATAATTTTTATTACATTCCCTTGTATTCTTCATTAATCATAATTACATTGCAGTATAAAATACATTCTCATTTTTTAAAGAATAATATTTACACTTTTTTCTTTAATGAAGTCATTTTTAGATCTTTTTTTCACCTCTTGTAATTTCTGGAATTTATTATCTTAGTTTTTATTTTTAAAAATGGTCTAAAATAAAGATAGAAGTTTATTTGGACTTTTATTTCCATTATTTTTGTAGTGTTTAAAAATTAGTATTAATTTTCTATCAAGAAGTTTTTATAATAGAGTCGATTTCTAATAACATCTTCACATTTTGAAGCATGAAGATGAATAAAAACTAATCAATGTTTTAAGAAAAAATGTATGTATGTGCGTATGTATGTCAGGTATTTTTTGTTCATGAAATTTCGAGAATGAACGAAGATATCAACTTAGTATAAATTTTATTCAGAAGATAGTACAATAAAGAGAATTTAAAAGAAGTTCCTTTTATAACTAACAATCTATTAAATAAATTAAAGAATAAATAATTGAAAATACATTTGATCTATTAAACAATCAATATTAATAACTGATCAGGTACAATATCAACAAAATATTATTACACAAAGCTCTTATACATGACTCTTAAGAACTTTATATTGTTTATAAATAAATTACAATTGTTATAACCAGAAATTTTTTTATAATCTTTATTGGGGTTAACAGAAGAAAACTCTTATAGTTAAATTTATTATGTAATGTTAATTTTCCATTTGAAAGCTCATACCTGAGTCCTTTCATTGTAAGAAAAGGACTCAACAATGAAATGCTAAATGGAAAATTAACATTACATAGTGAATCCAACTACGTCATTTCTCTCCCATTCATATTAAAAAATATTTACCAGACTATTTGCTGAAGTAAGCTAATGATGTAGGAGAATGACACGAAGCCATTTACGCTGATTCGAAAATCCTCTATACAACGTTCAAATCTGTGTTGAATTTATGTCGATAATACGTTCGATTTGGTATATGGTTTTACAGCAATAATACCTGTATTCAAGAGTGACAAGAGAAAGAATAAATTGTATAAAATTGAATACACTTGGAATACTTGAGCTGCAATCATTGTATACGAGATATTTTTATCAATCTCAACACATAAAGTACATCTTTAATATCATAAATAAATATTTTTATCAATATATTTATTACACAAAATATTTTTTTTATAATCCCATGGATTTACACATAGCAAAAATAAGCTTAAAAAAATTTATTTATAACAAAAGTCTGTGCTTTGATAAAAAATAATGCAGAATTTCTTAAACGATGAGTATCAAAGCTGTTAGTGTGTAAGGATAAAGTTCATTCAGAAAATATTCAAATCTTATTCTTCTGCATTTCTATGACTATAGAAGAGGTCATGGTGCACTCAACAACTCATATATCTTTTCAGCAATTTTAAAATGCAGACTATTAAAAGTCTTATTATTAATAAAAAATCTCCAGCATTGATTAAATAAATAAAAGATTGAAATACCCAAGATAATAAATTGGTTAATTCTCAAATATATCAAATAAAAATAAAGATTTGCATTTATTTGCAAGTAATTATGATTAACAAAATAATCTAATCTCTTGGTTTTATAAAATATTGATTGTATAATTTCTCATGAATGTAAAGTTATGATTTAATCTATTGAATAATGAAAAAATATTCATTTGTTATTCATTTATTCTTCTATTTCATCACCATTTGGTTTCAATTTTAAATTTATCAGTAATAAAAAACAGGCTGATGAAATACAAATTGAATGATGACTACAATTGAACAATTTTCTTTCAGAATGATTGAATAACAAAAATAAACATTTTTCAAAGTTGTTCATTCATAAACAATTCAAAACTACTAGACAGTTTCACTGGTAATAATTTCCCTAAAATATTTTATTCCTTCCCATTGCAATAAATTTATAGCTGAACTTGGATGATTACTCTCTAAAAATATCCAATTTTATCTCAATAACGAATCTAAAATAGTTTGTGGAAAACAGAATTTATCAAAAAGTAATATGAAAAGAACATTTTAGCATCATCTTTTGAATGGACTTTTGTCAGTATGTCATGAAGATGATCAATTGACACTCACTTCCTTCCTGCAATTAGAACTTGTCAGAACATTTAGGTGGCTGTGAATATTTATAGTATGAATGTTCCTTACTCTCAGCAGTCTCATCTCAGTAAGGGTAGTGGCAAAAAGCATTCCGCTTGAGTTCTGGATTCACCAGCAACTCAAGAGTAAGCATTGTCATCAAGAAATGTGAGGAAGAAATGGAGAGAGATACAGCATTATGTGTTTCACTTATCTGCTACGTCAACAGTTACCAACCACAATGGTGTTACATCGAGACATTGTCTACTCAACTTTTTAGAACACAGAAAATATTATGGTACATAATATTGCTTTAAAGAAATTCCATCCAAAGAAAATAACTTTTTTTAGCTGAGTAAAATGGATTTAATAAATGAAGGTAAAAGTTTGTTAGGCATCAATTCAATTACATGGAAGTTTCTTTTTGCAGAGTAAGTAGGTAAGAAGAGATAATTAAGTATAAATTCAAAAGTCGTAAGTAGAAGCACAAAGTACTGGAAGAAAGTGACGATAAATAGCACAAGCGTAACCTGATAGGAGTCAAGAAATTTTCACATGACTTGGCAAAAAAAGACTTTTTATCTTCTCCTCATTCTTATTTAAACATTTTCTTTTTTTATTTGATTTGTTTAAGTCTAAAAGTAAATTAATGTGTAAATTGGAGAAACGAAACTCTCTTAGATCTTTTACTACATTTGCGGAAAGGAGATTTAGCTCTTATGCTGTTTGTAATTTCCATTAGATGTATATACATACTAGAGTCTTAAGGTCTTTACCAAGATTAAAATGTAAATCAAAATTTATTTCTTGAGTTTTAAGTATTTAATATATCATCACTAAGAGTGTATTTAAACCACGAAATAGTAAATGAGTTTATTTGGTATTTTTACAAACTCTTTTTATCTTCAATTCCATTCTTCATTTTCATAATTGCCAAGTTGATTTAATTTTTCTTGTTTTTTTTTTTTAATAATGCTTTTGAAGTTACAATAAAAGTATTTAAAGAAGCAACAACTTGAATTGACAAACTCAATTATTTTGATGGTTAAATGATTTATAAAAGTAATAGTAAATAATGAAAGATAAAAAGAACTGTAATGACAAACTATTGACATTTAATTAAATAGGTACTTCTATTAGAAATTTTATTTGACAGAAAGAAATAATAAATAAATAAATACTCACAGAGTTCGTAGATTGACGATTCGGTATTGAGCAAAATACGTGTATCGATAAAACTGTAACAGAAAAATGAGAAACATGAGCAAACCAATTTTCCAACGTAAACACGTTTCATCAGTTGGCGAATTTATTTTTCAATTCAAAGCCAAAGTAATAAAAATAAAATGCTTCAACATATTCATTGAATCAAGCACACCAGTAGGTTTAGCTTAAATATATCCTTGGATGGATAAATCCAAAAGTCCTGGCGCAAAAGATGGCTATTAATAGTCAACAGTTCTCACCAATAAATTATAGCAGTGTCGGACCGAGAGATAACGTTCAGTATCGAGGCATCGTCATCAATAATGCTCGTCGATATGGAAGGATTCATAGTGCCCTGGTGCTATTTTGCTTCCATTAACTCTTTCAGGGATATGTCATAAATCATTTCTCTGTACCCGGCACCTCTGATATCATCGGTTGCTAGCCATTTCGCGGCCAGACGCTCTCTACCTTTCTCATACTCACATCCCCTATGGCTATAACACTCATTTCGGATCTACGTTTGTCCTTTCCGTCGACTGTTCACTACTTATCAAACTTCCCTCTTCACATCCCATCACTTTGCCTGTCGATTCTCAATAGTCGTAACGATTTTAGATTATTGACCATGCGCAATAAATACTCCTCAATATACCGATAAGACGCGTTTATTCAATTGTACTTAGTAATCTAATTATCACTTGCTTCTGATCCAGGAAAGTTACAATTCAATTGATTATTTTTTCAATTGATCTGTCAATTTTTTAAACGTTTTACATCATGGTGAATTTTTTTTTTTTTTTCAATTTAACATTCATTATTGAACTTTTGGAATAATAGGAGTACAATTATGTCTCTTTAATAATGAATTTTAAGCTGTCTTAAGTAATTATTTTATAAAGATACTTCTTGAGTATCAAGTTTACTAACAAGAACTCAAAATTTACGGTTGGATAGAAATATAGTTACTTATAAACTTCTAAACATGTCTGTGTCATTTTTGCACTTACATTTAATTCAAAATAATTCTCTTTATTTATCGTTGGAATTAGTATTGTTAATATTAAAATACATTACAAATATATAATAATTATTCTTATGAGTCGGTTGGTTTTTAACAAGCAAATAAAAAGATGTATTCATATTTAAAAATCTATATCTTTTGTCTTAAATTATTCTAATCACCTTTTTCTCTGCACATGATCAATAATTATTCATAAATATTAATCACTATTAATATAATTAATATTTATAATTGATTAGTGAATAATTTTTATATTTAAAAGAATTTTTTTTAATATAATATTTATATTTATTATTCTTAAATTAAGTTGGTTTTTAATATTAATAATTCGCTTTAAAATTATTTCTGAGTTTCCCTTAAATAAATGATCTATTTAAATAAGTTTATTAAATTAAAATTAAAATGGTATGAAAAGTGCAGCAAATATATTTTTATTTTTTTTTTTAAACTAAGTACTGAATACTTTTTCCACGACTCAGTAATTTTGAATGAAAAAACTAAATAAAATGTAAAACACAGATAAAAATAAAATATTAAGTAGAGTAAACTCGTGAATAGTCAGCCTCCCATGTTAAATCTCACAGATTTACTCGCTCATTCTTACTGTTTAGAATAGTAAAGGCTAATCTTTATTTTCAAACTATTCTTTTGTTTCAACCCACGTAGTGTTACTATTTTTTTACCAAAAAGAGAATAATAAAAAATTGTTTTATATTTATTGAGAAAACAATTGAAATAATAAACTATTGGTTCATCATATTTACAGTCAATCTATATTCACATGGACGATTGATGCAATTCTATAACAAAGATTTTAACTGAGCAATGATTTATCGTTACATCAATGGTGATATTGCTTGTTGAATAAAATCACATTCATGTTTACAACAGACATGAGCAGAATGCTCTAACTGAAGTAGAAGTTTATTTACTGGTAATAAATAATTCATTTACAACACTCAACCATAAAAACCACTGTTTAAACAATTTTAAAAACTGAATTATTCAAAAAGTATATCGTTTTCTCTTTTACCAAAAAAAGAAAAACAAATCAATTAATCAATAAAAAAAAAAATTTAATCTCTAATTAGATTGAAATATTTGAAAACATGTCTTCATCATATCGCATAACTATAACTGTCAAGTTGAGAATTAATTTCCATTTTGTAAATTAAACAATTCTGGGAGATGTCTTAAACTAAAGTTTAGTTTAATCAGATTATAAAAAAGGCAATTATCCCAATGGAGTTAGAGAAACTAGTGTAATTTATTTGGTGGAGAGTGAGACTGAAACCTCAGAGTTTCTTGCTTAGCCCAGCACTTTTAGCCCTCGTCCTAATCCTTCGAGCGTTTTTCGCATAATCCTTGCCGATTTTCAGTTCTCTTTCTCTTGGAATATCGTTAGCTCACTCATGCACTTAACACTGCAACCCTTTTGTCCGCGTTTGAACTCGTTGATTCTACTTCTGGCTTAGTTCCAATTGAGATATACATATTGAAAGAGAGATGGCTTCGAAATAAATCACTCGCTCTAAAGAGTTTGGTGAGGTAAGTATGCTCTTTAGATGAGAAAAATAAAATAAAAACAACAAGCTAAATAAAAATGGTAAAAATAATGATGAAAAAGTACATTTGTAGTGAATACTATTTCTTGTATATATCTTGACTATAAAATAAGAAGAAATACTTGAGAAGTTCAAGTTTTGATCTGGTATCGTAACCGGAACGAATCGATCGCGTTGTGTTAATAGAAAGTCAATTTGAAATTTCCGCTCTTTGGCTTTACTATTGTTCTGGAAACTACTTCTCGTCTTTCTTGATATCCAAGCAGTTATCACACCGATCAAATATATAAAATTTTACTTCTCGAGCTTGAATTTAATCGTTCTGGAATCTACTAGGGATTTTTATTAATGCTTTCCTGAAATTATTGTAACGATATCGCATTTATATTATCGATATTCTGAACTATCAATAATGATACTTAGTTTTTATTTATAGTTAATTTTCCATTAGGAAGTTATTGTAATGGGTCGATTTTTAAATTAGTAATTTTATAATATCGTTACGATTTGGGATATTTGAATGCATGTTAGAAGATTTAAACATGGATGTATGAACGTTTCTACGTGAAAAAATAATATACATACGGAAATTAATAAAATAATGATATATTGGTGAAAAATTGTAAGATATAAATATGTGCATAACTTCTATGCTAATAATGGTACGGGGTTGATTGAGGGCACGAATGAAAGATCTGGATGAGAGAGAAAAATTCGATATAGTTAAAATCATGATTGGAGGATAATTGATGGTAAAATTGAAGCAAGTTCCCATTTTACACTATTTTAGGAGTGAAATAATTGATTTTTCATATGTTTGACCTGATTCCGCATTTCTAGGCATTGAGACGAAGAGAATGAATGGTCAAACTTAAAAATCCGACAACTTTGATTTTTCGACCCCAAAAAATGGCAAGTGGTACCCCTTTCCATTTTTTTCACTCAAAAAATAAAAGTTCTCCGATTTTCAAGTTTGACCACTCATTCTCTTCGTCTTGATGCGTAGAAATGCGGAATCGGGACACCGGTCAAGAAAATTTACTTTAACACCCTTAAAAAGGGGTAAAACTGGATACAAATTAGGAATAATCATCCCCTTGACTTTAAACCCCTATAACTCATGAACCGACGGTCCAATGACTGTTTTTAGGGACGTTTTAGAAACTTCAGAATCTGAGCTAAATATTTATATCTATGAAAATTGTTTAAAAAATTTATTTCTCCCTTGAAATCGCTAAAATATAAGAAAAAGTCACATTTTTTTGAGAGTTTGCCGAATATTTTTGCAATTTTAAGGGTGAAATAAATTTTTTGAACGTTTTTCATGGATATGTATCTTTAGCTAAGATTCTGAAGTTTCTAAATACCTCTCAAAAATCATCGTTTCATTATTTGTCCACAAGTTATGGAGATCCAAAGTCCAAAGTAGATGATTTTTTGACCCTTACTTCGACTTTGGATCTCTATAACTCTTATACAATTTATCCAATAATAATCATAAGGAGGTATTTAGAAACTTCAGAATCTTAGCTAAAGATACATATCCATGAAAAACGTTCAAAAAATTTATTTCACCCTTAAAATTGCAAAAATATTCGGCAAACTCTCAAAAAAATGTGACTTTTTCTTATATTTTAGCGATTTCAAGGGAGAAATAAATTTTTTAAACAATTTTCATAGATATAAATATTTAGCTCAGATTCTGAAGTTTCTAAAACGTCCCTAAAAACAGTCATTGGACCGTCGGTTCATGAGTTATAGGGGTTTAAAGTCAAGGGGATGATTATTCCTAATTTGTATCCAGTTTTACCCCTTTTTAAGGGTGTTAAAGTAAATTTTCTTGACCGGTGTCCCGATTCCGCATTTCTACGCATCAAGACGAAGAGAATGAGTGGTCAAACTTGAAAATCGGAGAACTTTTATTTTTTGAGTGAAAAAAATGGAAAGGGGTACCACTTGCCATTTTTTGGGGTCGAAAAATCAAAGTTGTCGGATTTTTAAGTTTGACCATTCATTCTCTTCGTCTCAATGCCTAGAAATGCGGAATCAGGTCAAACATATGAAAAATCAATTATTTCACTCCTAAAATAGTGTAAAATGGGAACTTGCTTCAATTTTACCATCAATTATCCTCCAATTATGATTTTAACTATATCGAATTTTTCTCTCTCATCCAGATCTTTCATTCGTGCCCTCAATCAACCCCGTAGCATCATTAGCATAAAAGTTATGCACATCTTCATGTCTCACTGAGGAACGTTTGAGGAACAAAATTTTTTGATACCGGATGCAGTTTTGATTACCGAGTTCTTTCCAGCTTCTAAATAATGAAATTAAATAGTATTTATATCATTTCCTCTGTATAATACATTCATCTCCAAGCTGTCATTACACATACATATTCCATGTTTTTCTTGACAACACAATAGAACTATGGTGAATT